GAAACTCCACTCAAATATACAGGTTTGGTTTGGAGGTAAGAAACCTCCTCTGTTGGTGTGCTCCTGTGCCAAAGTTGAACCACCCAAACTATTCTGCAATTTAACTCCAGATTGTAAGCCAATAGCCACAAAATCACGACGTTACTCAGATGAAGATATGCAATTTATAAAACAAGAAATGGAAAGACTACAGACTGAGGAGATCATTGAACCTAGTTCGTCACCTTGGCGTGCACAAGTGTTGGTTGTTACAAACGACAAAGGGAAGAAGCGACTGTGTGTGGACTATTCGCAAACGATAAACAAATTTACTCTGTTAGACGCCTATCCCTTACCAAACATAGATGATCTAGTATCCACTGTAGCGACGAACAAGGTTTTTAGTGCCATTGATCTAAAGCAAGCATACTATCAAATACCAATTTCTGACGAAGAGAAGAAGTACACTGCTTTTGAGGCTGCTGGTCGTCTTTTTCAATTCAGAAGAATCCCATTTGGCGTAACCAACGGGGTGGCATGTTTTCAAAAGACCATGGACCAAATCATTAGAAAAGAAAAACTGAATGGAGTGTATGCCTATCTGGATGATTTGACCGTATGTGGAAAGGATCAAAAGGATCATGATGAGAATCTAAGAACATTTTTAGATGCTGTAACTAAGTATGGACTTGTAATCAACAACGAAAAGAGCAAGTTCAACCAGTCTTCAATAACCTTGTTGGGACATTTAGTTTCCCATAACTCTATTCGACCTGATCCAGATCGGCTAGAATCTCTACTGTCACTTCCTGTGCCCAAAGACCAAGTTTCACTAAAGCGAGTCCTAGGATTTTTCGCTCACTATTCAAAATGGATACATCGATTTTCTGATAAAATAAGAAACCTGACACAAGTCAATTCTTTTCCTTTGTCACAGGAAGCGGTTGCAGATTTTGAAGCCCTCAAACTTGACATTGCAAACTCAGTAATTACTCCTAGGAATGGGCAAGAGCCACTGGTAGTGGAGACTGACGCATCTGACATAGCCGTGGCAGCAACTTTGAGTCAAGATAATCGGCCAATTGCTTTTTTCTCACGGACTCTAAACAAATCTGAGAAGCTGTATTCAGCTGTTGAAAAAGAAGCTGTTGCCATTGTCGAAGCCCTTCGAAAATGGAAATCATTTCTTATCGGAAGAGACTTCAGATTATACACGGATCAGCAAGCTTTATCATTTATCTTTGACAAGAGGCATACAAGCAAAATCAAGAACGATAAAGTTATGAGATGGCGACTAGAGCTAACACCTTATCAATATGAAATAGTGTACCGACCTGGTAGGGAGAATGTAAAAGCAGATACGCTCTCTCGGGCATGTGCGGTTCGCTGGGACAATGCTAAGTTGTTTGAATTACACAAATCTCTCTGCCATCCGGGAGTCACTCGAATGTTTCATTGGATTAAAACTAAAAATCTAAACTACACTCTGGATGATGTAAAAAGGATGACGTCAGCTTGTCAAACATGTGCAGAAGTGAAGCCAAGATTTCACCAATTCCAAGGCAAATTGATAAAGGCAACCACTCCCTTCGAACGTCTAAATATTGACTTTAAGGGCCCTCTTCCATCAACAACCAGAAACCGTTACCTTTTAACCATGGTGGACGAGTATTCTCGTTTTGTATTTGCTTACCCCTGTAAGGACATTAGTTCAGCAACAGTTATCAGATGTTTTTCAGATCTATTTTTTATGTTTGGAGCCCCGTCCTTTGTACATTCAGATAGAGGTTCATCTTTCATGTCGCGAGAGCTGACGGACTTTCTTCACAAGTACGGAGTAGCTACAAGTCATACGACACCTTATAACCCTAGAGGGAACTCTCAGATTGAACGCTTCAATGGAACAATATGGCGAACCATCCTACTAGCTTTAAAAAACCACAACCTGCCAGTTGCTGCATGGGAAGAAGTATTACAGGAGGCACTTCACTCAGTCAGATCTCTTTTATGCACTGCGACAAACTGCACACCGCACGAAAGATTCTTTATACATAGCAGAAGATCTACCAATGGAGACTCCTTACCATCTTGGCTATCCGCTCCTGGTCCTGTCCTGCTTAGAAAGTTTGTAAGATCTAATAAATATGATGACCTTGTGGAGCCAGTTCAACTTTTGGAATCAAATCCACAGTACGCTCTCGTCAGAAGAAGAGATGGGTCAGAATCACAAGTATCCCTGAGACATCTTGCACCCGCTGGCCTACCTCCTGGTGATCTACCTCATGAAGACAACACTAATGAGAGAGAGATTGTTGAAAATATAAATTCAGACATTGACCACAATGAAGTTCAAAATGAAACTCAACAAACGGTATCTCAGACCCCAACTTCAGAGACGGCTGTGGGGGAACTACGTCCAAAGAGGAATGTCAAGCCTCCGTCATATCTAAAGGATTACGTATGCTATACCTACCTTGAAAACTAGTGGGGGAGAATGTGGTGATGTGAACATTATCACCTGATAATATTTATTATTTGATTTGTTTGTAAATATTGTATTTGTTCTTAACTAAAACATGGTTGTAATTTTGAATGAATAAAAGCCATACTTTTGGTTTACTAAGTCTTTCTTACAACAAACATACACTCACGACTTGGGTTTACACACACCAACATTTTTGTTAGATCTTTGTAGCTTTCATCGAAGTGTGCAGCATGGATCATTAAGATCACATTCTGGTGTATAGTACATACACATACTGAGTGGGTGCCGCTGGCACCAGCCAAGATACACCATTTTGGGCGGAGTGAACAGAACTTTGAAAAACCCACTTTAATTTCTGGATGATCTTTTTTAAAATTTGAGTAAATTTCATGTAGATTCCCTAAAACTAACCTCTTTCTTTCATATTGTTTTTTTCCTATGCTCACGACATCTTTCATTCCAGGTAAAACCCTAGACTGTTCGTCACTTTGGTAATATTGTTTTACCAACTCAACTACTTCAGGTTTAAGATGTTTTCCTCTTTTTGAGTCTGGTTCTGCTAACAAGCCTTTTTCTCTAAACAGTTTCTGTGCTTGTCTCACAGAATAGTCTGAAACCTGAAAAGTGTCTTTTATTCGTTGCCTTGACCAATTTAATGAAGCTGGTATAGTGAGTAGCTGAATCTGTGTTTTCTTCTTCTGTGTCAAATGTAGATCATCCTTTATGTTATTGATTAACTTGTCCATATCTGCAGCCTTTTCTTCAACAGTCTTTTCCAAAGTTCTTTTATCTTCAGGTACTTCAACGTCAAGAACCAACTCAATTTTCCTTTTCACGCTTTCCTGTAATTTTTCAATTTTTTCTTTGGCATATTTTGGCTTACTGTGTTCATTTAGAGCATGAAGTTTCAAGGGTGAGCAACCTACTTCTGTTAATGATGTATTTAAAGAAGAAATTACCTCTTCTTTTTGTAAATCAGGGTAATGCACATCAAAATCTTCACACTGTTCACTATCACTATCAGTACAGTCATCTGTTGTGTTTTGAGCTTTAAACAATGTTTTTCGACAGGAGGCACATAGTTTTTCTCCTGGTTTTATTTTGAACCCCTTTAAAATTAATACTTTGCTTTGCTGTACAGTAACTACTCTCAGTGTTTTTGTTATAGGTTTCTTATGTTTCTTATATGGATCGCAGCATTTCTTTTGTAAAAATTCAAATTTATTCAAAAAATAATATTTATGGTGAAAACAAATAGTACCACCATCATCCTTTTTCCCAGTTCTTAGCTTTATTAGATTTATTTCTTCTTCAGATAAATTATTGACATTTTGGGTACCTTTATTTTTTATGAAACTTGTTTTGTGGCATTCAGTTAATGTTAAATCCCCTATGCTGCATTTAACTTCCATTTTATATCTTAGTATAATATACAATTTTTTTTTAAATACAAAAACAAACACTAGTTTCATACATAACTTATATTAAAATAATACTGTAAGATAAACCACACTATATAAATTATCTTGCACAATACTGCACTTAACACTTGCACTACAATATTTTATGTTGCATCAAGGAGCACCAGATACTGACTGAGCAAAGTCCTGCCAATAACAGTACAACAATAGAATTGCATGTTAAGACTTGAAAAAAACCTGTTGCCACTTGCTCAGGAAGCTCAGGCTCCAAAGTGTGCTGACTAGGAAAGCCTGTTGTTACTTGCTTAGACAGCTCAAAGGCAGTATCTTATAGTTCATATATTTTAAATTACTAAAAATTATTTTATATATTATTTTATTTTTATTTGAATATAAAATGAAGTTTTTGAAACAGTTAAGAGGTTGAAATATGACTAAATTGATTTAGTAAATTAGAAACATTTTGTAATAGTGTATAGGGCAAGTTTTTTTAATTCCTTAAAATTCTTATAGTTCTGTAAATGAAACAAAAAAAAAATTAATAATTTGATATTTAACTTAATAATAACCAATGAAGGTATTAAAACCCCATGAATTTTTTTGCAGCATCTGATAGCTAATTTAATAAGGATTATTAGTAAAAAAAGGTTTTTGTGTTTATCTCATACCCTTTCCTAGATAATCCATTTTACGCTAAACTATGTCTCCGCGTTTTAAAAATTCATAGGTACAAACTAGAAATTTTTTTCAGCCTTATTACATTAAACTAAGAGGTATTAGTATTTTTTTCTGGAATCCTCATGTCTTAAAGAATAAGTACATGAATTTTCATGAAGATTGTTCAGTAAACATAAAAGTTATAAATTATTTTCTAAAAGTAAGCGAGTTTCATTCCGCGACATCGGATGGTTAGCACTAGCGGAAATGAAAAACTTTTAAGGGCTATAAAAAAAAAACGGTAAGAGATATTAAGTTAAAATTTGGTATGGTGACTTATCTTTATGGTTAGAACAAACAAGCCAAGTTTCATCAAATTCTGAGATGGTGGGTGAGATAATCATTTTTCGTTGGTTGAATTGATGTGGAATGACCCGAAATTAAGTAGGCTATCTTACCTCAGTCTCAGTTTCAAAGGAATTGATCATCTGAATTATGTTCCTATGATGGAGATGTTGTTGGATTTCACACTCACTTCGAAGACTAGTCAGTTCTTTTTGTGTCCTTCCACACTGGAAATGGTTAAAATACTATAAGTTAAATAACGGCTTATAAAATAAATAAAACAATAAACTAGCTACTGCTGAGCGCGCCGGTAGCTGCTTTAGCTCTTCAACACAGTATACTGTACTACTTACTACATTTTTAAATGCAAAACGTGACAGGATTTTTATTTTAATCTTTAGCGGGTCTATGAAAAGGGAAAATCAGCCCTAAGTTTACTCCATCTAAAATATATTTTACATTAACTTTAGTCCAAGACCCCTTTACACTCGGCAAGAAGTTCGCAATCAAAAGGTTTTACAATTTGCTGGTTTTGGCAATACTTAGCACAGGCCTAGGCCTACTTACTGCTCGTGGCAGAATCAACTGTGCTAGTGCTGCACACTTTAATAGGCCTACTGTAGTTGGTTAATCACAGCACAGTGTAATGTGGTGTTTGTTGAGCCCACTCCAGACATGTGTCATTCGCCAAGCACCGAGCAGCAACTCGCCAAATCGCGAGTAGTGTGGATAGGTGTTTGTCTATTTGGCATGCATAAAATGCTCTTGCTTGTGTTTTCCCGTTTATTGTTGGTATTTTTGCACACATCAAAGTGAACAATACTTTTGCTATTCCCGAAACGAACAGTTGCTCAGTAAACAACATAGGCCTATGTGTGTAGCCGTCAACTCGTAAATCAGTAAATTGCAAGACAAGTAGATCGCCAAACATAAAATATTTCGTGCTTTGCAAATGGTGCATGTCTGTTGGCACAAACAACCGAATGTAAATAGCAATAATATTTCTGAAAATAGGCCTAGGCCTACATGGTGTTGAACAAGATGGTGTTGGTAAGGCATGGCAACCAAAATGAGAAGCAACCTAATCTGCCATACATAAGTTAGGCTAACATGAATAATCAACAATCAATTATCATCTCATTTGTTCACCACACAGAATCTCATTAAAAAAAGCACCCTGTTTGTCTGTATCATAATCGGGTACAGTTTTTTAACTGGGCTATGCTAATATCGATTGAAACTATCGATTCGATTAGTAAACCTAGGCTTACATGAGATTTTTTCACCATCAGCAAGTTTGGTTGGTTAGGTTAGGTTATGATAGTTTATTTCATAATAGATATATTTAAAAATATCAATTATTAATCAATATTTTCAATTCGATAGTTTCAATCGAAAGCCTATTAGCATAGCCCAGTTAAGAAACTGTGCCCTCATAATCTGGGGAAACATAAATTAGCCTAGGCCTATGTTTCGGAAAGAGTTTGTTGTCATCGAAACGCTTTCTACAGCTGACACAATAGGTGGAAATTCAATAACAGAACTACAATGTAGACATACCCTAGTTTCAAATCAAGTTTAGGGTACAGTTTCTTAACTGGGCTATGCTAATATCGATTGAAACTATCGAATTGAAAATATTGATTAATAATCGATATTTTTAAATATATTTATTATCAAATTAAACTATCATAACCTAACCTAACCAACCAAACTTGCTGATGATGAAAAAATCGCATGAAGGTTTACTAATCGAATCGATAGTTTCAATCGATATTAGCATAGCCCAGTTAAGAAACTGTACCCCAAGTTTAACCTAACCTTAAATTTTGAAATCTAATTTATTTATTTTTACTTCAAATAACTTACTTAACTACGAACTTACTTTTCTTATTATTTTCAATGCCACTATTTCTTTTGTATCTCTTTTCTTTACTTTAAACACTCTACCAAAGGATCCTTCTCCGACCAAACATAATATTTTGTAGTTTTCCATAGCCTAAGAATACAACTTATTGTGAGTCTGAGTTATGGGGAGATTATACAAAACGTAGGCTACCGTTAATTATTTCTTGGATACTTTTATGATCTCATAATATAATAGTTTCATTGTAGGCTAAGTTATCAGCTTGTTTTATTCATGCAAATATTATACACACATTCCAAACCAAAGAACTTTCAAAAACATAAAACTAATAACTAACACAACCTCAACCTCAACTCAATCAAAACAAAACTCAAATAATTCGAAACAAAACAAAAAAACTGAAAAAAATGCTTCCCGATTCCCTTGATTCCTTTCCTATTCTATTTAGGTCCGTGAAGTTGGCGTACCCATATTAGCGTATCCACTTTTGATCATACCAATCGTAATCGTTAGTTCATCGTTAGTTCTCGATAGTTCCCAAATTTTTTCGTTAGTTCTCAAAAAATAAAAAAGTTATAGCCGATTATAAGTGGGTACGCTAACTTCACACTTCCGGGTTCTAGCACGCGCCGTTTTCTGAGGAGAAATGTTTACATCTATATACCAATCGTTAGTTCTTCGTTAGTTCTCGATAGTTCCCAAATTTTTTCGTTAGTTCTCAAAAAATAAAAAAGTTATGAGGCATACAAAGTGGGTACGCTAACTTCACAATTGTACAATTTCCAGCGGGAACAGTTTTTTTACTATAAATGCCTATATCTATATACCAATCGTTAGTTCTTCGTTAGTTCTCGATAGTTCTCCAAAATTAACGTTAGTTCTCAAAAAATAAAAAAGTTACGAAGCATTAAAAGTGGGTACGCTAACTTCACAATTGTACAATTTCCAGCGGGAACAGTTTTTTTACTATAAATGACTATATCTATATACCAATCGTTAGTTCTTCGTTAGTTCTCGATAGTTCTCCAATATTTACGTTAGTTCTCAAAAAATAAAAAAGTTTAGAGGAATACAAAGTGGGTACGCCAACTTCACAATTATAGAATTTCCAGCGGGCACAGTTTTTTTACTATAAATACCTATATCTATATACCAATCGTTAGTTCTTCGTTAGTTCTCGATAGTTCTCCAATATTAACGTTAGTTCTCAAAAAATAAAAAAGTTAAGAGGCATACAAAGTGGGTACGCTAACTTCACAATTGTACAATTTCCAGCGGGAACAGTTTTTTACTATAAATGCCTATATCTATATACCAATCGTTAGTTCTTCGTTAGTTCTCGATAGTTCTGTAATATTTACGTTAGTTCTCAAAAAAATAAAAAAGTTACGAGGCGTACAAAGTGAGTACGCTGACTTCAAATTTATAAAATTTCCTGCGGGCACCGTTTTCTGACTAAAAACGCTTATATCTATTTACCAATCTTTAGTTCTTCGTTATGTCGTGTTAGTTCCCCAATATTATTACTAGTTCTTAAAAAATAAAAAGGCAATAAGGTCTTAAACGTGGTTATGCCAACCTCAAACCCAAATCATTCCTAGCGTGCACCCTTGTCTGACTAAAAGTGCCTATATCTTAATATTAATCGTAAGATGGGCTCACTCATTTATTTTGTTAGTTCTAAAAAAATTAAATAAATATACGTATAGCCAATAATCAATAGATTAACTTATTTAATGCTTCTGATTTCCAGCGCGCACCTTCATTCAACGAAAAATGCTTACAGTATACTACTATACAACTAAATAAATATTGTCTCGACCCCGCCATACCCAATACGCCATGCTAGTAATGTGTTGTACACATTTATTCCATCCACTACTCCAGTCTCCAGTTTGTTCAAGTCCGTATGACCTTCCAGTCTCGATCCGTGCAACTGTCACTCGTAACGTGTTACGTTTAATGATGTAATTTTATAATACTAATACCGAACACAAACAAATACAAACAATACAAACGATTAGTTTAAATAACCAAACAGAAGTTCTTTGATCGTACATATTTTATCTGCTTAATCCAATTCAAATAATCACTGCTTATAAATTACTTTATACCATTTTACTTAGCAGACTCTGGTTTTCATTTTGATGGATAGTTTATTTTGTTTCCATGATGGACTTTTTATAAAATGCACTTTTTCACACGACTAAGTAGGTATAAATATGATTTCATTGCTTATCTAAAACCAATTTTTGGAAGCGTTGTCTTTTTTGGATGTTCTAATTAACTGAACATATTCAACTGTTAATCATTTTGATAACGTAATCAAAATTATCACCCCTAAAAAATAATCTAACCGAGTGACACCTGCAACTACTATTGCGAATATCACAGATAAGCGCTATCCTGGAACTGATAAGCAATCCTTTCTCTTCGAGAGAATCATAATGTGATAGTTATTCTAATGTCAGTGTTACTTTGATTTTCATTGTGTGAAGATGAATCAAATTACAATGCATGGAACTAAAAATTGGTATATAGATTTAAGCGTTTTTAGTCGGAAAACGGTGCCCGCTGGAAATTTTATAATTTTGAAGTCAGCGTACTCACTTTGTATGCCTCGTAACTTTTTTATTTTTTTTTTTTTAGAACTAACGTAAATATTGGAGAAATATCGAGAACTAACAAAGAACTAACGATTGGTATATAGATGTAAGCATTTTTATTTAAAAAAACTGTGCCCGCTGGAAATTCTATAATTGTGAAGTTGGCGTACCCAATTTTTATGCTTCGTAACTTTTTCATTTTTTGAGAACTAACGCAAATATTGGAGAACTATCGAGAACTAACGAAGAACTAACGATTGGTATATAAATATAAGCATTTTTATTTAGAAAACTGTGCCCGGTGGAAATTCTATAATTGTGAAGTTGGCGTACCCACTTTTTATGCTTCGTAACTTTTTTATTTTTTGAGAACTAACGTAAATATTGGAGAACTATCGAGAACTAACGATTGGTATATAGATATAGGCATTTATAGTAAAAAAAAACTGTTCCCGCTGGAAATTGTACAATTGTGAAGTTAGCGTACCCACTTTGTATGCCTCATAACTTTTTTATTTGTTGAGAACTAACGAAAAAATTGGAGAACTATCGAGAACTAACGACAAACTAACGATTGGTATATAGATATAGGTATTTATAGTAAAGAAACTGTGCCCGCTGGAAATTCTATAATTGTGAAGTTGGCGTACCCACTTTTTATGCTTCGTAACTTTTTTATTTTTTGAGAACTAACGTAAATATTGGAGAACTATCGAGAACTAACGATTGGTATATAGATATAGGCATTTATAGTAAAAAAAAACTGTTCCCGCTGGAAATTGTACAATTGTGAAGTTAGCGTACCCACTTTGTATGCCTCATAACTTTTTTATTTTTTGAGAACTAACGAAAAAATTGGAGAACTATCGAGAACTAACGACAAACTAACGATTGGTATATAGATATAGGTATTTATAGTAAAGAAACTGTGCCCGCTGGAAATTCTATAATTGTGAAGTGTGCGTACCCACTTTGTATGCCTCTTAACTTTTTTATTTTTTGAGAACTAACGTAAATATTGGAGAACTATCGAGAACTAACGAAGAACTAACGATTGGTATATAGATATAGGCATTTATAGTAAAAAAACTGTTCCCGCTGGAAATTGTACAATTGTGAAGTTAGCGTACCCACTTTGTATGCCTCTTAACTTTTTTATTTTTTGAGAACTAACGTAAATATTAGAGAACTATCGAGAACTAACGAAGAACTAACGATTGGTATATAGATATAGGTATTTATAGTAAAAAACTGTGCCCGCTGGAAATTCCATAATTGTGAAGTTGGCGTACCCACTTTGTATGCCTCTTAACTTTTTTATTTTTTGAGAACTAACGTAAATATTGGAGAACTATCGAGAACTAACGAAGAACTAACGATTGGTATATAGACATAGGCATTTATAGTAAAAAAACTGTGCCCGCTGGAAATTCTATAACTGTGAAGTTGGCGTACCCACTTTTTATGCTTCGTAACTTTTTTATTTTTTGAGAACTAACGTTAATTTTGGAGAACTATCGAGAACTAACGAAGAACTAACGATTGGTATATAGATATAGGCATTTATAGTAAAAAAACTGTTCCCGCTGGAAATTGTACAATTGTGAAGTTAGCGTACCCACTTTGTATGCCTCATAACTTTTTTATTTTTGAGAACTAACGAAAAAATTTGGGAACTATCGAGGACTAACGAAGAACTAACGATTGGTATATAGATGTAAACATTTCTCCTCAGAAAACGGCGCGTGCTAGAACCCGGAAGTGTGAAGTTAGCGTACCCACTTATAATCGGCTATAACTTTTTTATTTTTTGAGAACTAACGAAAAAATTTGGGAACTATCGAGAACTAACGATGAACTAACGATGAACTAACGATTGGTATGATCAAAAGTGGATACGCTAATATGGGGACGCCAACTTCACGGACCTCAAATTTATTTTTTATTTTTGTAGAATAACATTTCAAACACGGAATGGCGGAACTGAAACTAATAAAATAAACCTAATGTTTTTAGTGAAATGTATAATTAAATTTAAAAGTTCAACAAGGCCAATGAATATACAGGGTGATTTGTACTCAGTGTGACAAAATTTTTTTGGTGTAAGTACAAAGTAAATGAAGTGTGATGATGCATATCAAATGTTCCAAGTCTAAAAATTAGCTTCCCAAAAAATTATTTTATGTTTTTCAAAAATAACCATGGTTTTAAACTTAATACAGCGATTTCTCAATTACCTGTATATGGATTTGAGTAGAAAATGTCATTTTCGTGTTCTACATTAAATTTTGAACAAGAATAATGGAAAATGACGGAGGATCAGTTATAAAAACTCCATTGTAAGTAGATTTAAAGATAAAAATTAAAGTATTTGATAAAAATTTTAAAAACAATTGTCTATTGCATTTTTCACACCCTGTATACAAGAAAGTGTCGGAATATGTTAAAAACTGCACCATTTTATAAGCTTTCCAACGATATGCTACACTATTGAGGTTTAAGTCTGCTTATGTAGGCTATAATGGTTTGAAGACTATAAATCATGGTGTCTTTAACATTTAAAACATAGAAAGTCGGCATGTATTAAGCAAAAGTTGTATTTTTGATTCAGCTTGAACAGTAAAAACAGTAAAATAGTTCCCTGTTTTCTGGTATTCAAACCACTAAAACAAACAAAAAAATATCTAAACCTCAATAGTGTAGCATATGGTTGGAAAGCTTATAAAATGGCGCAGTTTTTAACATATTCTGACACTTTCTTGTATACAGGGTGTGAAAAATACAATAGACCATTGTTTTTAAAATTTTTATCAAATACTTTAATTTTTATCTTTGAATCTATTTACAATGGAGTATTTACAACTGATCCTCCGTCATTTTCCATTATTCTTGTTCAAAATTTAATGTAGAACACGAAAATGACATTATCTACTCAAATCCATATACAGGTAATTGAGAAATCGCTGTATTAAGTTTAAAAGCATGGTTATTTTTGAAAAAAATAAAATAATTTTTTGGGACGCTAATTTTGAGACTTGGAACATTTGATATGCATCATCACACTTCATTTACTTTGTACTTACATCAAAAAAATTTTGTCACACTGAGTACAAATCACCCTGTATAATAAGTGATTTTAATCCACAAGCGCTTTCAGAAACTACCCGGATATGACTTCGAAAGTCATAGCCGGTTGGTAATGTTTGACCACCCGGATATGACTTCGAAAGTCACACTCGGTTGGTAAAGTTTTACCCAGTGGTTTTACCACCCGGAGGGGTTTCGGATGTTTCCATCGTCAGGCTGTGTTTAAACTGATAACTGATACAAAAAGCTAATGCAATAGACTCTCGCTCATCCGGATCGGCCTTGTCCGGACTCCCGGTAGTCCGGATCGGCAATCGTGATTTTTTTTTAGCAGCTCAGTACCGACCGCTCAGTACAGTAGAAGTCCGATTATCCAAGCGAAACGGGACCGAGACTACCTTGAATAATGAAAAAAATCGGATAACACGGCGGTAAAAATTATTACCGGTGGAAGTGCATATGCCTGGGCTATAATTAATTACTGTGGACCTGGAACAAAATTCGGCCGAAACAATTATTACCGGTGGAAGTGCAGATGCCCGGGCTATCATTACTGTGGACCTGGAACAAAATTCAGCCGTAAAGATTCGCCGGGTCAGCTAGTAAATAATTAAAAATAAAATCAGGCAAACGGAAATTCGCTCAATCTGCAGGTTTTGCTGTGACGGGGGTATTTTGATTTCCCCCTATTTAAGTTGTAATTTTTGTGAATAATCAGTTTAGACATGTTTATGCCCAGGAGTTGGTAAAAACATGTAAAAATTATCTATGGCAGCCTTTGAGAAAGGGGGAAATACAATCTTTTTCCCGCCAATCTCCAGCTAGGACCGATGCTGGCTGAGCTGAAAGTTGACTTTTTGGTGGACTTCTTTATTGGATGGAATTGGAAGTAGAACGTTGAAGTGTTGTTGAGCAGTGGAATCTGTTTCTAGAGACTAGAACTTATGAAAGTAACTTTATTCCAAAGATTTTTTTCTAGATTGCTTGTCGCTAAAATTTAAACTCTTCTAGTCTAGTGATTGGGCTTGTTTCGATAATTCTTAATAACTATTTGCCAGTTCATTTTCAGTGCTTGCGATAGGCCTAGGCAAGATTAGGGAATAGACCATACGCGCCAAGAAGCTGCAAGTTATAACAAGAGGTATGATTATGAAAATGCAAGTAATATATTTTATTTCCTTACTTTATAGCCTAGGAAACACATTATAACTTTTGCTGAATGATTCTTCATGGAACTGATATATCGTAGGCCTAGGCCTACCATATCAACTTTATCATGCTTAAGCTAAGTTGCATTAGGCTAGTTTGCTGGATGTGTTTTTTGTCTAAATAATGCTGAATTCAACTCATGCTTAGGACAGAGAAACAAGAAAAAGTGTATGCAGTTACAGCATGAATAGCTTAAGTCCAGGCTATCGTGAATAGGCCTAGCCCAAGTCCAGTCTATCAAGTATGGCATCAGGTTACTCGCAACTTAATTTCTCTCTAGGCCTAGTACGTCGTTCCTCTAGTTCTATAGAGGAAGGCTATGGTAACTAACTTATCCCCACCTAGATGTAGGTAGGCTATTTATGGTTACACCATTTATACAGGGTTGATATACTGATATTGAAACAATCAATAGGTAAACTTATTAAAAGATTGAGATTAGATAAACAAAAAAGTGATAGGCCTAAAATGAGTCCAGATCTATGTTTTCATAAGGGTTTGTTTAATTTCAGTTGTGAAACTGAGTACAGTAGGCCTAATAAGACATTAAGTTACATTTGTACCTCCTCTCGCCCTTTCTAAAATTAGTCTAGAGCAGATTAGTCTGGATTAGTAGCGATGCACATGTCTCAGATTTGCTCTGCCTCTTTATCAGCAAACACAGAATAACAATTGGTAGTTTTCTTAGTCTCTATAACTTAGGGTGTATCAGTTGGTATAACTTATCCAGTTTCATTGTAGGCTAAATACTTTACTTTTTTACTTTTCTTTGAAATGGCGACCATACAAAGTAGGTATTTTAAGCCAAGTATGAATGGAGATGAGTGTATGATGAGTGGCGCGATCTTGTAGTCTTGTTAGTGACTAAGGCCGACATATTCCTTAGATACAGCTGTTAATTAATAACTTAGCCCATACAGCTAATGGCGACTAAGGGACCTACAGTTTATAGTGGAATCCGAACCACTTATTTTCCTTGGTATATACAAATTGGTCTAATTATCAGGATAGTACTGCGGATAGTCGTAGTACTCACCCGTGCGGACGATAATCCACACCAGGGAGTATCGCATCTACAGTGCATACCTATAAATATCCACAATTCGTGACCTCCTAGTAGCTGGATTACAGGACGACGCCACCCGTCCCAGTCTAATCCTAATCAATAAAATGAGATGGTCGGATAAAATGCCAAAGTAAGTGTTGATTTGACATGGAATTACCCTAAAATGAGTTCTCGAACAACAAGGCTAGGTTACCTAACCAGCCACAGCGTGCTGTATGCAGATATGCTCTCAACCTTTTTTTCTTTGCCCCTATAAATATTCTGAACTTTTTTCATGCCCCACACCCATCACCCACCAACGTATACTGTACAATGATTATTTACTATAACACATTAAAATAAACAAGGTAGGATGGATCCATGACAATTTAACTATGACAATTTAAACATGACGTATTTAACTTACAAGTGGAATGAACTGTGGGAGAAGTACTGGTAAGCCTACAGCAGATTGTTTTCAACCACACGACAAGCAACTGGAAGTAATAACTGTTATCATCTACTGATTCTGATCGGCAATGGCCTAATGACGACACTTCACTACAACTACAACTAACTTACATCTAGAATAGTAGGGAGTGTTGCACGACATCCAAATGTCACAACGTCTAATGTTATAAATTAAGTCAGTGTCACGCCATCCAAAATATAATTTTTGAGCTGATTCACGACGTCCAATATAAAATATTTGACTGAGTTGCAAGGCCTCCAATTCCCAACATGTTTAAAAGTAGGTCTACAGTAACTGCCATAAACATAGGCCTATAGTCCTCGCCACCCTTAGTTGAGGTAGCCAAAGGCCGCACTAGATAGGCTATACGCCATGCGGCCTTGGGCTGCCTCAACTTAGGGTGGCGAGGACTATAGTCTTTCTACAAGCTTTGGACGTCATGGGATTAGTCGTTGTGCAACAGCACACTAATTAGGAGAGAGGAAAGGTTAAAGGGGGAAAATACAATCTTTTTCCCGCCAATCTCCAACTAGGATTGATGTTGACTGAGCTGAAAGTTTTCTTGGTGGACTTGATTGGAATTGGAAATTGGAAGTAGAACGTAGAAGGGTTGTTGAACAGTGGGATCTGTTTCTAGAGACTAGAACTTAAAGTAACTTTAGGCTATCTCAAGGATTTTTTTAGATTGCGCTTGTCGCTAAAATTTAAACTCTTCTAGTCAAGAGATTGGGCATGTTTTGATAATTCTTAATTAACAATTTGCCAGTTCATTTTCAGTGCTTGCGATAGGCTTAGGCAAGACTAGGGAATAGATCTACTTTTAAAAACTTAGCTGTAGCACCACATCCAAAGCCGCTGTTTAGCCAGTGTTGCACTACGTCCATTTGTGCTAATAATTGTGCTGATGCAAGACGTCCAGAGTTCCTGCATACGGAGTTGTCTTAGGTTAGGTTAAGTTAGGTTAGTATGCATGCTTGTTTTTGTGTACATATTCTTATTGTGTATATTCTTCATTACTTGCAAAAAGACAGCATTTTTCATTCTTAACACACGGTGACATAAGTTAGAGCCTACGACATAAGTTAGAGCCTACACAAGGTAAAAAATATTCACTTCTTATGTTTGGATTTTATGAATGCTGCCAGTAAAGTATCCGACAACTTAAATCTAGCTCTTTCCATTGCAATGATAAGTTAGTTATTTTATGGAGTTCATAAGGACAGTAAAGATAAAAGAAATGTTTTGTGTTTTCAGGTTAATTTATCAGAAGAATTATGGCTAAAGTCCAGTTGGGAAATGTGGTTGTTTTGGATAACCCGTCACCATTCTTAAACCCATTCCAATTTGAACTGACTTTTGAATGCATTGAAGAATTGAAAGAAGGTAAGACTTGTTTTTAGGCTATTTGTTAATATCTCTAATATCTCAACCCTAATTTTTGCTCAATTGTAAATGTTGAACCTTATTCATGTTCCACTCCCACTTATCCATGTGGAACTGCATAAGGAAGCACACTATAAATAGTGATGTTGTTATGGAACTAACATATTTTATTTCGTCTTTTATTTTTGCAGATTTAGAATGGAAAATGATCTATGTTGGCTCAGCTGAGAGCGAGGAGCACGACCAAACTCTGGACACCATCTACGTTGGGCCTATTCCTGAAGGGAGGCATATGTTTGTTTTTCAAGTAAGACAGTGTTTTTAATTTATCCAGCATTGCTTCCAGGATTGATTTATGTCAAATAAAATAGGTTTATATACCTCACGTTGGCAATCCTAATGTAGTCTTGCAGGTGATTAGTTTCAAAACAACTGTTGTTTCATCTTCAAGCCTTTGTCGTCAGACGTAAAACTATTTAAATAGGTAATTGTTTATAAATAATTGTTTTTGAATAATTTTACGTATGACGACAAAGGCTTGAGAATGAAACAACAGTTGTTTCAAAACTAGTCGCCTGAGACTACATTAGGATTGAAGACATGAGGTTTGTAAACCTATTTTATGAGTGTATTTAAGTTTATCCAATGTTTTAAAAGGATAATTCTTAAGTAATAACAAGACAAGGATTTGGACTGTTCCCTTATTTTTTAACCTTTCCTTCCGGTCTGAACTGTAGTAGGCCTAGGCCTAAGTACATTCTGTTGATCAATATTTTGTATCCAAAATTAAACGTAAAGTGTTAAACTTTTGATAATTGTTTTGAAAAGTTTGAGTCTTTGATTTTTTAACACAATTGGGGCTATATTGAAGATCTTGTTTGTGTTAAAATAGTAATGACAAAATACCAAATGCCAAATATAACCTAAGATCTGTTGTATTTCCAGGCAGACCCCCCAGATGTCAGTAAGATCCCAATCGCAGATGCTCTTGGAGTGACCGTCGTACTACTCACCTGCAGCTACCGAGGCCAGGAGTTTGTGAGGGTGGGCTACTTTATCAACAACGAGTATCAGGACCCGGAAATGCGTGAGAACCCACCTGCCATTCCACAGTTTGACAAGGTACAAAAGACTGTGCTATTCAGGCTATTCAAATATGAATTTTCGGTCCTAAGAAATGTAATACAGTACATCATTGGTAAATTTAATAATGATATTTACATTTTAAGTAGGCATACTGAAACCTAGGTCAGATAACTTTAAAAGTCTGGTAAAGTGGGACGTTACGTAAACATGTAAAATTATAAATAATTATTGATGATAATTATTGGAATAAGTAAGTTATTGATACTGTAATTACATGAATGAAAAAAATTAGCAAAATCAAATAACCTATATTAATGACTCATTTATCATTGTTATTTCACAAAATATTCTGCACTAAAGGAACTTTGAAATAATGGAAACTGATTATGTTGGTGACACAACTGTACCAATTTACTATCCAGGGTGTCTAGTAGTCGGGAAAATCGGGAAAGTCGGGAATTAGTATTGAATTTCAAAATAGTTCTTGAAAAGTCGGGATTTAGTCTTAAATTTGATTTCAAAGTCGGGAATTTTCATGATTTTGCCGCGATCGTCGTCTTGCGTTTACGTAAGTTAGTCATAATTTCTTACTCATTCTGACATACATTGCTTAAAATTTTCCTAGATTATAAGTTTTTTAAATAATTAAATATTCTTTGCAACACTTTAAGCCAGTGTGGGACAGTTATTGCCCTATCACACGAAAGTATTGCTAATGAAACGCAAGATATGAGAATGCTGCTAGGTCAAACGACCTTGTGGTTTTAAAGTTTTCTACATAGGTTCTATACATAGAAGGAGGATGGCTTTCCAGGAACTCTTTCTTTCCTCTTGATATTGATATTTTAAAGTTTAAAATTATTTTAGAAAGAAAAGTTAGAAATAAAAATACTGTATTCTGATTTATAATTTTTAACTGTACCAATACTGAAGTTATTTAGATGAATAGAAATCTTTACTGCAACATGTTAAGCCAGTGTGGGGCATTCATTGCTCCATCACACGAAAATGTTGCTAAATTAACGCAAGCCATAACTGCCGCAAGGTTAAATAAACTTGTGGTTTTAAATCTTGCTACATTTCCAGTGTAATTCAACAAGTCCTAAAACACTATAACTATAACACCCTTTACTGTATCAGCTCACTCACCCCTTACTTTGCTGGATACATTCCCCGCACAGGTAGCCTATGTAGACGGTCAAATGCAAGGTTAAAAGATGCCGCCTACCTCTTTAAATTAAAAAAAACTATTAGATGTAATTTATCAGGGTGTCCACATTCTGGAAAGTCAGGGATAGTCAGGGAAAGTCATGGAAAAAATCTGGCCATTGAAAGTCATGGAAATAGACAAAAAGTCATGGAAATCCCCAATGATGGATAGATTTGACGGGACTTTTCAATGCTCTAGTCGGCTGTAAACCGACTATTTTGGCAATTTTCAGGATTTTTCACAAATGCACGACAATTTAATTTATTACAGTTGTATAGGTTTATGAGTTTTGAGTTTGTAATAGTTCAATACAATCTGTCCCTACTATATCTTATAATTGAATTTAATATTTGTAAAATATTGTTGCAACAGTAGTGTATATTGAAATGTTACAACTTTATTATTACAACTCAAATTGGAATACAAATAGGCTAGGGCCTATTGTTAAAATGTTTGGAGTTGTCTCAAGATAAGTCTTTCCTAAGTTAAAAGCTTAATTTAGTAAACTCTAAACTCAATAAAATTCAATAATAAAAAGTATATCGGAAGGAAAAAAGAAAGTGGCTCGAGAGGACTTGGCCAGCTATGGGGACAGAGGAGGCGGGATTTCTTTTTTCTTTCCTTATTTTGAATACAATATTTTTGCAAAATTTATTAGGTACTCCAGTGTTAATACAAATTTCTGTATTTCCTGTGAAATTTCTTGTCTAGGCAGTATTATCTGTGTGTGTATGTTATAGGCCTATATATATAATTTTCTAGTAAAGTTTGTGAGTCATGGAAATCAATGGTAAATGGTCATGGATAGTCATGGAAAGTCATGGAAATTAATGAAAAATGTTCTGTGGACACCCTGTTTATACTCCAACTCAAGTTTCTTTGCTATTTGTTAATTCTCTTCCCCAATGGAAACTTTGGTGCTCAGTACATCTAAGATATGAACAATAAGAGTGGTTTTTTTATATTACTCTTTATAATAGTTTTTAATTTTATAAGAATTTATCCAGAGAGAATTCCTGAAACAGTTTCCTAGTGCCTTCACGCTCAAATGAGCCCTGTGTGTTTGTATACTAAACATGAGAGTTGTGATGAGTGATAAAATGGTTCAGTATTTGATCTTTCCTTTGTCATGGAATTTTTTTGAATACCAAACACTAAGCACTGTGATATTGTAAGACAGGTGGTGTTTACTATCTTGTTATGCTTACGGTGCAACATGAAAGCGAGTCAAAGTGCCGTTAAACCGTTATAAGTCTAGCGGCTCATATCTCGTGACATTTAAATATCAAGCTTGTTCAGTAAACTTTTTTTTTACCAAAACAACACACTAAAATACTAAAACAAGTGAATCCTGGTTTTATAATCAAAGTAAAGAAAGGGCAAAATTAAAAATTACCATAAAATCAGTATTTTCTCAAAATTATACAGCTTCCAAGTTTTAGACACAATTTTATTATGGTAATGTTTGTAAGAAATTTGATTTGTAAACCTGAAAATATTAGGATTTTTGTAAAGATTTCTTTAGGCCAGGGTTTTAAAAGATTTTGTAATGTACAGTATAGTGCCTAGGTTTAACAGTAGGCTTATCTTATTGAGGAAAACAGATTAAATGTGCATCTTGCCCATTCCTTTATATAGTTTGGTATATTTTGAAATGTTTTATTGGGTGCATTCATCATGTCAAGGGCCTTATTTTTTCAAAAAAAGTTTGGGTTGTTTGGCCAAAGGTGTCAGAGTTTGTTTTTAACATTAAAATTTGTACAGGTTGTACGAAACATCCTCGGATCAGAACCAAGAGTCACTCGGTTTAAAATCAACTGGGACGATTCTGAAACACAAGTCTCGCCTCCTAATGACGGACAGCCACAAGCAGCTGCATTACCAGAAGAAATATCGGTGGAAATTGGTTTCAACGAGAACAGCTGCAGTCAGAATGCTATGGAAGTGATGTGAACAGTGGAACTGTGTCAAGCTGGATTTTGTGGGTTCATCCTTCAATCTTAACGGATGTTTAATTACTTAATGGACTCAGTGTAAGAGAACTCAAAGCCTTATAGGTAACAAAGTTAGTGGTTCCACTTACGTTGACTCGTTTGTTGCAAAAGTCTGATCCTATCGTTATTGTTTGGCGTTTCTTTTTTTAAATTTTAACTAAGCCTTATTTAGGAAGTAAGTTTATTATTTATTTCAGTCGTGTTCAGTAATGTTGATTGTAAGTTCTTTTCTAGAATGAGTTAAAAATTTAAATTTGAGATACTGTAGCCTACTCATTTGAGGTTTTCCTACTAAAATACATTTTTATCAGTTACTGAAGCACAATGGTTTAAAACTGTATTTTCAATAAATGATCCACTGATACAAAATGTGATATATAGAATAAGACATGGTCGTATTTTTAAGACTACGTGCAGTACAACATGTGTTAAATTGAGGATTGAAGTATCTTCTTCCTTTTATCAGGTTTGATTTTTCATTGTTTTTATGGTGTAAATAAAAGATAGATACTCTTTTTAAATGTAGTTTATTGTCATACCTTTTCTCTGTTGAACCTTGTTAGAGGACCTCTTAAACTCCTTGTTTATGAGTGAACACAGTATTTTTATGACTTCCGACTGGTACCATGGAACTAAGAGATACACAGGTAAACCAACCACATGGTGCCAACAAGTTACATTAGACACCTGACTTTAATTTGTTGCAAGTGTTTTAGTCATGGCTGCAAACTGGTATTTATTAAGATTAGGCAAATGTGATATTATAATGAAGCCACAATTTTAGAAAAAAAAGAAAAAAAACTTAAACATCACTTTTTGGAAAATATGCTTGCTGACATTATTAATAGATTAGCTAATTAAGGCTTGGCCTGGGGTGTGAAAGTTGGACTTCATTCCGTTTCTTATCGATATTTAAAATCAATACTCTAAGTCTATATTTCTTGATAAGAAATTTGGAAAAAATATCTTTTACATGGATTAAACAATTAAAGTCCCTTTAATATGATACGTAGTTTGTGTATTAGTCAGTTTTTTTTTTGACATGAGACAAACTTGTTATAATAGTTTGGTAAGGCTCATAATTTGGCTATATCATCTATACATATAATACCAAAAAAGTAAGGTACAGAGGAAACTCGCTTATGAGACTACCGTGCGCATTCAGATCTAGTATATTGTGCTGGAAATATACAGTAGCCTACTTGTGACAAAAAAGGGAAGAGCCCTAGCGGCAAGCACTGTGCGGAAATTCCTATCGCACAAGGTCTTCCTCCACCGTGAGCATTTGTAGTACATGAGAGCGAGGAGGCAATGATGGACTTTGCCCTAGACACCAGCAACTAGTGCTAGACACCACTTACAGGGCCGCGTTTAGGGTCAGTGGAGCCCTGGGCAAATTCAAAATCAGCGCCCCCCTTTTTTCTAAGGTGTGGGCGGGCAGTAGTTGTATGGCACCAGCCAGGCGCCCCTGGGCGTATGCCCAGTCTGCCCGTTTATAAAAGCGGGCCTGCCCCATCTTACGTCTGTGATATAACCCAGCTTTACAATTTGACAGGCCACCAAATTTTAATGTCATTTTATTAATTAAAGCTGATAAAAACAAATATTTGGAGCTCTACAGGACAGGAAAAACTAAAATTCTTTTACAACATTGGTTATATTTGTATAGTACCTTTATAAAAGACATACATTTTCTAAGATATAAAATGCAATTAAATTTTATTCCAAATGCCAACCTGTGCAGGTTTTTATATTTGCTCTACAAATTGAGATACTTAAAAATTAATTTTAAAATTTGGTTGCAATTTGCATTGTTGTTGAAAACAAAAACACAATGTTTTGGTAAATAATAAAAAAAGACATTATATCTTTGACTATCCATTAGTCAATGATATTGCAATAATACATTCTGACTTAAATAAACTTATCACCCATTTAGGTACAGTTAGCTCTAGGGCCTTAAACACATTTTATTGGCATCACAGATCTAATTAAAATTTCCAAAATTAGTATTAGGTTTGTTATTCTTTACAAAATATTATTCAGCCTTATTTTATACAAACACTTGTTAATAACAATATCCTCCATGCTTGACTAAAGGCGTTTCTTAAAATGTTAAAAAATACCTATTTTTTCACACTTTTACGATTGATAACTTCAAATTTGTATGTCATCATCACATTTCTTATAATTTTATATAAATATAAAAGGATAAAAACCATTAAAATATTAGTCTACAGTCTACACTACAAAAGTGAAAACACTTGAATCATCACAATATTTACAACATAATCATTGGAGTATGTAGATTTTTGGGAACATTTTTAAAGAAGATTGCTATACTAAAATATACATATCATAATGTGAATGTTCTAAAAATTAAGAATTTTGAGTCTTTTACTTTTTAGAAAATAACAAACTTGAGTTATACATTTTACTATGAATTAATAGCTAAATTACAAACAATAACTAATGGTAACTACTCTGGGGTAAGATAAGGGATTTTGTGGTATAAAAATTTTCTGCAGATATATTTATTATCAATCATAACTGAAAGACTTTGGAGGGTTTTAAAACAAAATACTGGCAAAAATATGGCCTTCATTTGGGCAAGAAACAATTGTAGTTTTCAAATTGATAAAAACTTTAGGTAACAAAATGCATCGTCATAATTATGACTACTAAATTTTTAGTGTACATAAGGGTTATCTGATACTTAATAACTATTACCACAATACCGTAGTTATAATTGTGGTAAACATGAAAAACACTATATCTATGAGGATTAGTTATATCTTTACTATTGATAAGGGTGTGGGTTCAAAGATTTAATTAATTAAAGGACTGTAAGGCTAATTTAAAACTATGAAAATGCCTTCTGTTGGAAAGTAAACAAGTTTTCAATTTGTTTTGTGATTTGCATCACATTTAAGTACAAATATAGTTATTGATAAACTTTTTGTTACAAAAAGAGGAAGGGAATGGATCAATACATTATTTTAAGGCCCAATATAAACCTTGAGAATAATAAAATGCCATTTTGACTAATATGCAAAACTGAAAAATAATCTAGTCTAGTCAGTCAAAAACAATGTCTTCAGTTATAAACAATGTTAGAACTAAATTCAAATTGCAATAATTTTACACCGATGTCTACAAGATTATTGAGTAAAACACAAATCCAAGAACCAATGAATACTTTTAACCCTTCCCGGACAGGCGACTTTAATGGCCTAGGACAGGCAAAAATTATACAAATAAAAAGATTAATTTTAATTATTTGTGTTTTTTTATACCTGTATACGTCAAATAAGCGCAATGGAACAGCTCATACCATCTATAGTTATTTGTTTAACTAGTGGGCAAAGTGGCACTTTGCTGCGGCTCTTGCGGAATGATCTCGAGTGCAGCAAAGGCCTTTTGCACTCATGATACACATTATATTTTTCCTACAGTCACTATAAAGCATATAAATAATTAGTCTTTCAAACACTATACAACACGTTTTTAGGTTCAGCTGCCAACACAAATAGGTGCCCTAGAGAAAGTAGTAGCCTACCCGGTCCGTATCACTCCGCTATTTTTCCTCGGCAAGAAATGTGCTCCGCGACTTGAGAATATAGTTCCGTATGTTTTTGTAATTTGAAGTGGTTTCCGCACCTAAAAAAAAGGCTTTAAAGGTATTTTCTTGTTTATTAAGATCGTAGGAATGTTTTAAAACGTTTAAAAGAAAAGTCCAGAAAGTTCAGAAATACCGAAACCCGAAACTATGAACACGAAATGACAGGTTAAATCGTGGTTATAATAGTCAATCAGCTGCTCATAGTATTATTATCTTTAGGTGTTGCCAACCTATTTTCAAGCGTACACAGATTACGTGCATAATAGAACCACGCTGTTTTGTGTTGTTTCGTTGGAATCCTGATGTGCGCCAAAGTATAAACTGTACGACAAAGTATAAAAATGCAGCAATTAGCAGCTTTCTGTACTATAAACAGTACAAGGAAGCCAACTTTGTCAGGTGACTGTAGGAAAAATAATTGCATATCACTATTTCAAGCTGCTAGATAGACAACAACTGCAGCTTTTAGCGCCAACAAAGTCAACGTGGTGTTGCGCACGCATCATTGTGGGGGTGGGGGGAGCGCGGGAGAGGGCGGTGTGTCCCTTTCAAGGTCGCAGTGGTTATGGAGAGTGTGGGGAAGTAGCGCGGTGGTAGCCCGAGACATTTGGGTACTGCAAAAACACCAGCCTGGTGGATATATCCGTCACCCGTCTGTGAAGGGTTAAATGTTTTTCAGATTAAATAGATTTAATAACAATAATAATATTATAGTCCACTAATGAGTTTACAAATTAAAAATAAATATGATTAACTTTTACTCTATCTTTAAAATTTACAGTGTTGGTATAATGCAAGTTTGCTTAGTAAAATTGATAATGCATTTTTGGTAAAAAAAAAAAGAAAAGTAGTATATGGTAGAAATATAACATTTAATGTACAAGGTCTGTAGAAATTTTTAGGACTAGAGATATTCTAAACAAAATTCAATTCTTGTAAATATTTATACAAATTCTTGTGAATAAGAATATTTAATATAATATTGCCCTTATCACTTTATATCCTGAATAGGGTTTCATAACATATTCCTATCTCACTGAATTTTATTCTGTATAAATGAAATATTTTGCAGATTTTGGGCTTGTCTGATGTTTAACGGTTATTCTAAAGAACAAGTGTTCTTTTATTACCGTAGTTAGTTATTTAATAGAAATACAAATGAAATGAGGTGGTTAAACAATTAAGTTGATAAACATACAATAGTTAGTTGTGGAAGGTAACAAACATACTATCAAGAAACATTATGATTTTATTTGTGTTTTGTGCTTAAAAGCACCCTACAATAATTAACTTTTCTTCATAATAGTTTTATTTTAAATTAGTATATATACATAACAACAGTATTTTATACTTCAATATAGCACTAAATCTTTATTTCTTTTTGGCAATTGATCATTTCAGAATTCTCACTTACAAAAACACTATAATATACTGTATATATAAAACATTCACTAAATAATCTTAAAACTAAAATCACTCTTAGTGTAAAGTCTTACTCATAAAAAAAGTTGTAAATAAAAGGTTACAAACACATAGTAAAAATAAAAATGTGTAATATGTTCTATGCACTGTTCCTACTTTTGGAACCATGTACGAACGAGTTTTCATTGTGGAGTCATAGCAGCCAATAAAAATGAATTTTGTTATTGAATATACTGCTTATTGTTAACTACAGAAGAGTGCCGATTATACGAATGATAGTCATCCGAAACGACGGTTAGCCGAAATCGCCACCAAAGACAGAAAATTTAGATTCACTGCCAACATTATGAGAGCGGTCAGCAGGAGTGCACGCGATGCAACACTTCAAGCGAAGCGCCACAGTCGTTGGCCATGGTGATTGTGCTATCACATAGGCCCTAACCTCACTTTGTGTCAGTGACATCAGTGATCGTTGTATCAAGTACTTAATATATCTGACAAACTTATCTGACAAACTGCATTAGATCAAAAACGGTGCGAGTGGTTCAAGCTTAGCTCATGAGTTTGGTGTTGGAACTCGACAATCACCAACTTTAAAAAGAAGAGGAGTATCTATTACAATACAATTATTACAAAGTTTGCGTCTTTGCTAAATAGTGAGTACAGAAGCCTATGCAGTATACTATGATGCTCAATGGTCAGCTTATATGCAATGCTGAGTGTGTTATGCTTTATTGCTCTATGTAACAAACTAATGACATATGGTGAGATATGCTGAAGATTTCAGCGATATCACTATCTGTGCTGACAATTGCGGTAGCATTACAAATAATTAAAGCTTAAAAATTATCAAAAATTTTGTTAGTAGCTTAAATTATACACTTTATGCCAAGAGGAATTCTAACGCTTAACATAGAAATATGGCCATTTAACTTTGATGTCTGACTATCTGAAAAATCAACTATCCCAACACCCATCTGTCCAAATTTTTTCAGATAATCGACACTCTACTGTACAATCATTAATTCATTAGCTCTACGGTTTCAGGCATAAACCCATCATTGTTAGTTCCTATAATGAATCAATGATTGCAGTTAACCATAAATAGGACAAATTATTATTTTCTGTTAACCTGTAACACAAGAAATCAATTATTTTTGCCAATGTCTCACGATGTTTTAATAACTAAATGTCGTTATTTTCCAATTTTTATACTACTTGTGTTACATATATTGCCTTAGTAATTCACTTGGAACTTTAAATCAAGGTAATCAACACTGGGATAACGCTCCAAATTTTACCATCAACAGTTTAGTATCCAAGCATGTGTTTGATAAAAACAAAATTCCAGCAATCCCTGCCACTGATATTAATTAATCTGTTGGACCAACCTCACTCATACAAGTTCTTGGTAAATGGTCAAGTTTGATAATGTTTCTATAAGCTCAAATTTCTATCGTAACAACTATTCCGCTACCATTCCATTTCACGAAGTTGACTTAGGATAATCACAAAGTTTTGTCTGCTGTCATGTACCTAATCTTAATTGTTTTTACTATGCAACCGATGTCATTTGAGACTCTACTCGAGCAGGTTTAGCTGAGACTTGGGTAACAAATCAACGTGTGGGAACTCGCCCACCAACATGGCCGCCATCCACCTCAACTGCTCGTCCTTGGCTGTTCCGGCTATCGTGTATCCAAAGAACGGATTTTCCTTAGACCTGCGAACAATTTAATCGTCATTAAACCTAAAATACCTTACTAATACAGACAATGCTAGGGCTATTCCAATCAATTTTGATCAAAAAACCTAAATAGAAGCTTAGTTATCACGAGAGCACGCACAAGTATGTATTGTGCAAACTTCTCTAATTTCACCCCACACTGTAAATAAAACATGTGATTGGAATGTCTTCCATTTGTTTTGATTTACTGTTTATATTTTGTTGTTATTTCATCATCACCATAGCAACCCATTAATTTGTTTGAATTTCAGATTCATTTTCGTGCTTATTTGTGAGCCTATTTTAATTTATAAAGGGACTCTGCACATCTACAGGTAAATATCTTTCATTTGGTACCAACCGCGTGTAATTCGGTCCAGTAGTAAGGTCAGGCTAGCTGTCATAAGTTTTGCAAAAGTATTTTAGTATATAAGATTAATAACAACTTATATACATTTTTGACGTAAATATCATTAATAATTTTAAGTAACCACTTTTATTTTGGTTGTATGAAAATAAAAAAAAAACATTTTTTAAGTCTGATTTGATTGCACTTGGGTACTTTGAGAAAAACTATACAACCAAATTAATAACACGTACAGTAAAACCCCTTTTAACTACTGCCTGTATAACCGAAACTCTAATTTTATTTTATACTAGCTGTAACCCGCGGGCTTTGCCCCGTTTAACTTCTTAATTTTCAAGATTATCTCGTTCGCATGGCTCAATCACGTCCTGGTTGAAGTTTGTTCGCTACGCTCACTCACCTTTAGGTTGGAGCTCGTTCGCTACGCTCACTCACCTTTAGGTTGAAGTTCGTTCGCTACGCTCACTTACCTTTTGGTTGCAAATTAGCTGTTGTCATAAATGTAAAAGAAATAATAGTGCTGCACCCTGTTGGTAATTTTTGTAACTTTAATGCTATTGAACATCACAGAACAGAACCAACTTGTTTAATTGAAACAGCTGTTAAGATTCAATAATTTCATTTCTCATAAGGTTAACATGGGAAACTCCAGAGCCACTGGGGCGGAGCCCGAAAGGATTTTTGAAATAAGAATATGCCTATATGTTAATCGGGAATGTGAGCTATCATCATGCCAAATTTCAGCCCAATCCGACCAGTATTTTTCGCTTTCACTTGTCACAAACATACATCCATACATCCCAAGAGGATGTACAATCCATACATCCATACATCCAAACTTTCTCATTTATAATATTAGTAGGATAGATAAACAACAAAAATTGTATTACAACACTGTTAGGCATTTGGTGAAGAAGGGAAACTTTTAAATAAAATGTGATTGTATCACTAACTGTTTTTAAAGAATTAACTAAAAAACGGTTTTATGTATGACAGACAAATAAATTGACTATCGTTAACAGGTGGAAAGTGAAAAATATACATTTTGCTTGTGAGTGGGGACTAGAACAGCCTCAGTCCGGTGGGGTTACGGCTCCCTGGAATGGAAAATCACAAAACTAACTTTTTTAAATATATAGGATTTTTGTGAGGATAGCAGGCTTACCTGAATAGGAAATAATCCAAACTGGTACAGGATACACACAACTGTACACTGTTCTTGAACTGGCCAACATATTGGACCTAAAGAAAACTCTCTCTTACTTAGTTGAAAATGCTGCCAGTGACAGTGAACTATTCCAATGTTGTGTTTAAGAAGAGTAATGTTTTGTGTATCCTGTAACAGTTTGGACTCTTTCCTATTCAAGTAAGCCTGCTATCCTAAAAAAAAGAAGAAAAAAAATACTTAACCTAGGCCCTTTTGCTTAATGTTACATACTCAGCTTCATAAATATATAGGAAAGGACTAGATGGAAAATTGGAAATAAGGTTGAGAATATGAATATCATTACAATTGTTACTGTATACCAGACTAGCTGTACCCACGGGCTTTGTCCCATTTAACTTCATAAGTATTAATAATAAATTAAAAATGACTAAGCCTGTGGTTATATTGGCTCTATTCATGAAAAAAATCTGCTCAATTGGTCAAGTCGTGTATGCATAATTATTGTTTCTGTTTTTGCACTCAAATGTCATTATCAAAAATTTTCTTAATTTAGTAGATCATTATTGTGAATTTTGCATGTTTGTCAACTTATTTATTGTTGCTATTTATTTATTGTTGTTTTTTATTTATTGTTATTTATTGTTTTCTCGTAGCTTGTTACAGTTCTGAATTGAATCACATTTGCATCTTGTTAGTTCCTTAAATTGTATCTCTATCAATCATCTATGTATTGGCGTCAGTCGTTGAAATGATAAATAAATAAATAAATAAGTCGTCGTCCTGTCCTAATGTAGTTTTATGTAAATGAGCTCGTTCGCATGGCTCAATCACGCCCTGATTGAAGTTCGTTTGCTACGCTTACTCACCTTTAGGTTGGAGCTCGCTCGCTGCGCTCACTTACCTTCAGGTTAGCTCGTTCGCTACGCTAACTCGTCTCCAGGTTGAAGTTCATTCGCTACGCTCACTCACCTTTTGGTTGCAAGCTGTTGTCATAAATGTAAAAAAAATAATAGTGCTGCACCCTGTTGGTCAACCTATTAACTCTTTAATGCTATTGAACATCACAGAATCAACTTGTTTAGTTGAACCAGCTGTTAAGATTCTTTAATTCCATTTAAATATGAGTACTAATAAGGTTAACATGGGAAACTCCAGAGCCACTGGGGCGGAGCCTGAAAGCCCGATCAGAATAAAAACTACTTTGTTTTCCTATTTAATGCCCAAAGAATCGGTGTACCGAATTTCAGCCTCCTAGGTAAATGGGAAGTGGGAGAATTAGTGATGAGTGAGTGAGTGAGTCAGTGAGGGCTTTGCCTTTTACATATATAGATTGACATTTACAAAGTAAAACACAATTCAAATACACTGTTTTTGGAGTCTAAATAAAATAGAGTTTGTTCACCCTAAGTTCCCCAGAGAAAAACAAATTGTGCTGTACACTGTATTGATTGGATGAGGCTATTATGTGTTAACTGCTTGGATGCATATTTACTAAGTTTTTATAGTACAACAACTGTATCATTAATATACACAACAATAATATCAAAACAATAATATCATTGAACTGCAGAAGAATAATTTAAAAACTCTCACCTTTTATTTCTGTTATTCTTGTTGATGAATGTTATGGCCCACCTGTAACAAAGTTTAATAAATTAAAAGACGATAAAAGAAGTTATTGGTGTGTTCAGATTATCGATTTGGTTTAATGTTTTAGGGCCAACTAAATAGTTAAAATAAAAAATAATTTAAGGGTCATACAATGACACATTTAAAAGAGGAAAATAAGATTATGTAGGCTATTTAATGCAGTTTTAAGTAACAAGTATCATGAACAAGAAGGTTGTAGTTATCGTGTTGTCTACCAGCCGTCACACTCCTTGGTATGAGAGGCCTGGTGTCATTTAGTAGTGAATGTATTAAACAAATGATTTATTACGTGAATAAGTTGGCTTTTATAAATTACCATGGTAAAAGACATACTAAGTGGAATCTATATAACTAACTAAACCAAAATTTGTAATTTTCTTTCACTAAGAGACAAAATCATAACTCAAATGATTGCTAGCTAGGACATTAGAACCATTTAGTTCTTAGGTTTGCTGCAAAAGGGACTTACTATCTGTCTGTATTAGAACATAACATTTGCGTCAATAATTATAAAATAATTGTAGTAAATTTTTACCTGGTGTGAGGGTTTCTTTTTGGTTCGTGGCCGATGTACCAAACAATGTCTTCTATCTTCCATTCTCCTAGTTTTATAGAACCCTGTGCAGGATTATCATAGATTATTACAAACATCCTGCAAAAAAACTACAACCCTACAATTATTACCATTTAACCATGAAATTTAAATCCATACAATTAATTAACACAGACTAATTAATTTGCATAACATATCTTAGTTAAGCGAATGTTCCACTATGATTGTAGCACTATTTTGTAAACAGTATAAACATATTTTCATTCAAGAATGAGTTGCCAATATTGCCTATGTAGCCAAGTGTTTATAGTGCTTGCCTTAAGATCTGAAGGTTGATGGTTCAATTCCAAGCGAAATCATTAACAGAGCCAGATGCAATTTATATCCAGGCTATCAATTAATGATGCTATCTTACAAAAGGTCGACGTTAGATAGTAAAAAGGGTTTAGATCGTTCTCTTACAAAATTGGTAAAAAATGCCGATTGCATGGATAACACCAACAATGGACAAGGGCAACATTTTGATATTTATTTGATAGAGCAATCAGGATATTATTTCTTTCATATTCCATACTCACCGCTTTGTCCTTGTAGTAGCACAGTTTTGCTTGACTGAACTCAAACAAATGGCATTTGAAGCTTTTGGATTTTAAATCAGCAAATCTAAGTTCACCACATTGTGCAACAGGAGGTTTAGCCTGAAATAACAAATTACATTGAGATTGTTGCTTGCTACAAATTGTGTATTTATATTTAAACCATACTTAGTTCCAAGGAGAACAAGAAGGAATAAGATGCAAGGGAAGCAATTCACACTATATGGCCAACGGTTTTAACACTATTGTAACACTTTTTGTCCTGCATAATGATCTCTTAAGTACAAAAACAAATTACAAATATAGACCTTCAAGTGACCAGCTGTTTTAAGGCAAAGTGTAGAACAAAAATAAAGAAAGAGGACAAACCAATTTCTTGACATTCAGTTAACCATGAACATTTACTTGTTCTGTCAAAGAAAGTGAGTTTTCCCAATTCCTGAGGAAGCAAATGTTCATTTTGATACCCTTGGAGTCTACAAACATCAGTTTTACGGTTAAAAAATCAAATCACACCTCTTCTAATCCCTTGATTGTCTCCCAAAATCTCCCTTTATTATTATTAAATCCCCCTATGTGTATTGAACTAGTGATGCACAAAAGGAAGATTTGGATATATACTTAAAAGTCCATTAAAAACTAATATTTTTACTTGGAGTAATTGCTCCAATACTTTCCCTTGAACTAATATATTGATATTTGTTTATAGAATAATCAATAATTAAAATTATCACGCAAGTAAAAAAAATGCAATACTATCTCTGTGGTTATGAAAAAAATAATGTGCGCTTAGAGTAAAAATGTGACTGTCTCAATAACATAGTATTTATATTTTTTAGTCCACTGAATGGACAATGTAATACCGGTACCAAAACAAGAGAAAACAACCGAAAAAACCAAATATTTTTAGGATGTGCTGAGATCAACCCCATACACACCAAATCCGAGACGCTATCACTCACAACACATAACGGTTTACTCACAATAGGTTGTAGATTCTGCAGCAAGGTGTTGATGACCAGTATGAGACAGTTGTCCTTGCAGTCTGCGTCGTCCCAGTAGCCCCAACGCAGCACAGTGTCCAGCACTCGCTCCGTGTGGTGCAGCGGCCGATACAACGCTCCTCCCAACACTGACTCCAGGAGACACAACTCATGTCCATACACATTCATGTGTGTACACAACTCCATGCATACGTCCAGCGCCTCCCGCTGTGGCGATACCTATAAGAGAAACAAAACAACCAAACTTTGAGTTACATGCTTTGATTAAGAATGAACAAAAACGACAGAAAGATAAACCTGAATGTGCTGCAGCCTGGGTGTCAAGCTTAGAACTACTAATATTGGACTTTGGATTCACCATTATTGTTACTTAAACATCACCTCCCTGGCCAGGAGGCAGCAACGAGGATTGAAGGTTAAAAACTCTCCTCAGTATGCAACTCATGAGAAGGGGCATAGTTTGATGGAAGAGTGCCCACCTAAATTAATAGTGAACAGAGGTAGTGGAAGGGATAGGTGGTATTTGTGTGTTGCACTTCAAACCAGACTTCATGTTGTAAATTTTCGCTCATCTTTACTGTTTGAGTCCATCAACAACTTAGCTATTTAAAAGAATTTGAATTTTTGTGTTATGATAAAAAGGTATGGTTATTGATACACTCAATAATCTCAGGAGTTAAATGATTAAAACAGGATTACAGCTAGGAATAATTTAAGCCAAATACAAATTAGATGAGTTTTGGATGTGTTTTACCTTCAAAATAGTCAGAGAAAACATTAATTTTTTACTCCACTAGGACTCTTGCGTGTAAACGCGGCATTACTCTATGTTAACTTGAATGTTAATGTGCTGAGAGTAGATGTGATACTAACCGTAACGCTGACACAATCTCCCTCTCGTTTACCGATGTACACCCACACTTTGATATCACCCGAGGGTCTTGTAGTCTGAGGAGTCGTCTGACTGCTATGATGGTAGCGCTCCAGAACCTGCCATCAAACATCGTGTTACATCAGAACTATAACCTTCAAATTTGTATTTTAAACTCGGTGAACTGTCATTGTATTTTGGGGAATGTTCCAATTCAACCGATTTTAGATAATATTAAATCCAGGCTTAGTGGTGTTAGATGGAGCGAATGGTGGAGTGCAGGGCTTCCGTCTCTGAGGCCCCAGGTTCAAATACCTCTTATCATCAATGAATTTGATCTAAGTGCTAATGACAACACCTCTAGGCCTAGCCTGAAGTGATGTAAATACAATGTTAAGTTAGAGACTGGTTAAAAAAATGTAAGGTTAATGTTGTGCATTGTGTACCATGTTTTCATTTTTGTTATGCGTTTCTTTGTGTGTAAATTGCTCAAGGACATCACAAGATGGATTATTTTAAGGCCCTGAATAATCCTATAGCTTTCCCTCAGGGGTAGTTGTCTGTCAACTACACGGGAGGCCTCTGGTAGGCTGGCAACCCCGAGGTACCCTAGCCAACCCCCAGAACTCTCCTCTTCTTCGTTCTGGGTTCTATGGCCAGCTAACTTCCTCTTTTTGCTGGCCCTTCTTTCTTCTTCGCTTTCCTATTGAAGAATCTTCTTCCCTTCTCCTTTTCCTTTCGCTTTTGTTTCTTGTTTCAGCCAACCTCAGTGGTGTCATGCGACCCGTGCCGAAGAGGTGAATGCCACCGGGCTCCCCAGCGGTGGTGCGTACGGAGCCTCCAGGACACCGGGCGACCTCCTGGAGTAATCAGCCTTACCTGGACATGCGGGGCTCTGTCTAGGCTCGACCTCCTACTTCCCTTGCTACTCGTGGGAACACCATGGAAACAAACAAAAAAACTCAACCAAAACCAAACCTCGGAGCAACTCTAGAAGTTGCACCGCCCACATCTAAGGGGTCAGCTCACTCAGAGCAAGACCCCGCTCTTGAAAAGAGTGCACCAAGAGCACAGGAGGCTCTAACGCTCTCAAAACCAGGAACTTCCACTATGGACGAATCCCCGCTCACACCAGCTACGCTGGAAAGAGAAGAGGAGCTTTTAAGCAGTCCTAAAACACCAAATTCCACTGAGACACTTGATGACGCCACTGAGCGACTTAGTCATCTTAAGATGAAAAAACCGAACCCCTCCACGGCACAAAGAAGGGAGGCCTTAAAGGCAAAACTTCTAGAAAGAGGGGAACAATTCGACCCTGAAAAATGGCGCAGGGGAAAAAAGAAAAAACCCAAAAGACCACAGGAGGTAAGGATACCAGGCCCAACTGCGGGTCCAAATGTCGAGACGAGGGTGACCAAGCGCCCTAGAGGCGCAACGGTCACTCCACCCTCGGCAGAAGGACCTGCAAAGAAGGCCAGGTGTTCTACCCAGAGGTCTGAGGGGGTGAAAGACGCAGGGGAACCTGCAACGCCCAATGAAGCATCCTACAGGGACATCACCGCTACCAAAATTGCCATTGTCCCTGATAACTATCCTGAGGCTAAGTTAAATGACGAGCAAGGAGAAAAAATTGAGGAAGCAATCCTGGAAAGACTCCAGCCCTTAGAGGATGGTTCAAGTCCAGCGTTTGCTGGAATCTATATGGAAAAAGGTGCCCTCATCATTGCCTGCCTCAGCGACGCCACCAAGCGATGGCTGGAGGGTTTGTTCCCGGCTCTCAAGCCTTTAGAGGAGCAACTCACCCTCAAAGCAGGGCTGAGAAAGGACATCATGAAATCCACGAGAGTATTCTTCAGAGCACATCCAAAGTTGCTGAAGAAAACTCCAGAAAAATCATAGAAATGTTTACTATGCAAAATCCCACTCTCAATGTCAAGGAGTGGAAGATACTGCCGGCCAAACCAGATCCGAAAGGGTACGGATTCGTCTGTTTCCTGGATGAGGTCTGTTTCAAGGCTGTGCAGTCCACCAACTTCAGAGCCAATCTAGGTTTCTGGCAGGTCTCACTTGTCACAACTCCGGTTAAGGACAATGCTCAGGGTCCTCCAGATCAACCTACAGCATAACAAGGCTGCCTCTGCCGCCTTCTGCCAGTTCTTCCTCAAAGAAGGATTTGACCTGGCACTCATTCAAGAACCATGGCTGCACCAAGGAAGAGTTGCAGGCCTGGGAGAATCAAAGGGTGAGTTAGTTTACTGCACTTCCCTAAGGAATGCCAGAACATGTATTCTCGTGAGGAAGGGCCTGAACTTTCTAACCTTAAACGAATTTTGCTCCAGAGATCTCACTGCGGTGTCAATAACTTGGAGAAATGGTGGCAGGGAATGGAGCACAACAGTAGGCTCGGTTTACCTGCCATACGACTCCAGGGAACCACCTCCATCGAGAGAGCTTGAGCTCTTGGTGGAAGCAACCAGCGCTGGTGGTCAACAACTACTCCTAGGTTGTGACGCCAACGCACACCACGCCAACGGATGGGGAAGCTCGGACACCAATCCAAGAGGTGAGTCTCTCCTTCAATATCTAATTTCAAACAATCTGTATATCTGTAATGTGGGCAACCAACCAACATTTGTCACAAGAACAAGGCAGGAGGTCATAGACATTACTGTTAGTACAGAACGCATTCACAGAGTCATAGAAAACTGGCACGTAAGTAAGGAGGCCTCGTTATCTGACCACAAATACATCTGCTTCTGCATACTAAGTGACACTGTCACCTCCTCCTTCCGTAATCCCAGGAGAACAGACTGGTCACAGTATAACTCTGACCTACAGTTCCAGTTGGGATCCGTGAGTGGGAGGGTCAGCTGCTTTGCAGACATTGACCAAATTGCGACCGACTTGCAGGACGCAATGATCACTTGCTTCCATGACAACTGCCCTCTGGGACAAAGAAAACGCAGTACCAGCACTAGATGGTGGACTGCGGATTTGACTCGCATGAGGGTGGGTGTCAGGAAACTATTCAACCAATGCAAACGGAGCCGTATGTGGGAGCCTTACAGAAGGGCACTTACAGAATACAGCCTTGCAATAAAAAAAGCTAAACAAAATTCATGGAGACAGTTTACACAGGAGGTAAACAGTCTCAGTGCTGCGGCCCGCCTTCAGCGGGTTCTAGCTTCCAAACCTATTGGACTCTTGGGATCTCTTAAGGTACCAGGAGGGCAATATACCACTGGGGTTGGAGGAAGTCTCAAACTTCTCCTTGAGACTCACTTCCCTGGTTGCATTTTTGAGAGTGACGACACAGGAGTGTCCGGTTGCACGAATATAAGTTCTTGGCCGAGAACTGATCGTGAAAGCTGGAATACAGCCAGAAGGGTTGTCACTCTCTCTAAAGTTAAATGGGCAATCAATAAGTTTGGTCCATTTAAGTCTCCTGGGGGAGATGGCATCTATCCAGCCATGCTTCAGCAAGGACCGGATGCCCTCAAGCTCCTCCTATGTGAACTCTTCCGAGCGAGCTTGGCCTACGGGTACATCCCTCAGGCCTGGCGTCTCAGCAGGGTGGTCTTCATTCCCAAAAGAGGAAAAGCAGACTACTCTGATGCTAAATCATTCCGTCCTATCAGTCTTTCCTCATTTCTCCTCAAGACCTTGGAAAGGCTGGTGGAGAGGCACATAAGAAAGGGTGTACTTCTCAACACACCTCTTCATCGCAATCAACACGCCTACCAGCCAGGCAAGTCCTGCGAAACCGCTCTGCACGAGTTGGTCAGCAGAATTGAGGACAGCCTGGCTGCGAAGGAAATAGCCCTATGCACCTTCATGGACATTGAAGGAGCTTTCGACAATGTAACATACGGAGCAATGGTGCGGGGAGTTTGTGAGCGTGGACTCGAGCAATCTCTGTGTAGATGGACAGAGTCTATGCTTAACTCAAGACGCACCGTAGCCGACTTTCTTGGTAAAAAAATTGTGATCGCACCCACAAAAGGATGTCCACAGGGAGGTGTACTTTCACCCCTACTGTGGAACCTTGTGGTGGACGGTCTTTTAACTGAACTCACCAGCAAGGGCATCTTTGTCCAGGGCTATGCAGATGACATAGTCCTCATGGTACAAGGAAAATTCACAAACATTGTAGCTGACGTCATGAACGGCAACCTACAATGTGTTAAACAATGGTGTCTCAGAGAGGGACTCAACATTAATCCTTCTAAGACAGTCGTGGTTCCTTTCACCAGGAAAAAGAACTTGGATTCTCTTTCCAGGCTGAAAATTGGCACTACTCAGCTGGGAGTGTCGAGTACGGTCAAGTATGACCGTATGAGTAAGGACTGACACTTGACTCCAAGCTGACGTGGAACAACCACCTGAATAACGCGCTGCATAAGGCCAAATGGGCGCTCATGACGTCCAGGAGGTTTGCAGGAACCACCTGGGGAATTAAACCCCACAAGCACTCTGGCTATACGAGGCTGTGGTCAGGCCTCAGATTACCTATATGGTTCACTAGTCTGGTGGACAAAGGTGAATCAGATAACTGTCATAGCCAAGCTAGAAAGCATGCAAAGGCTCGGCACGCTACAGGCCACTGGAGCCTTCAGGAGCAGTCCATCAGCTACTCTAGAAGTCGCTCTTGGGCTGCTACCACTGGATATCTTCATCAGATCTGAGGCCCTCAAGGCGGCTTACCGTCTGAGGGTTTCAAATCTGTGGAGGGAAGGCCTGTCAGGGGCAGGCCACTGCGCCATTGCTAAGACGTTGGCTGAGTGTCCTGTGCTTGACATGACCTCGGACTTCCTAAGCAAGGAAGCAGTTTTCACCAAACCCTTTAATGTTGAATTCCGCTCCAGAGATGAGTGGAAACATCAGGAAGGGCACCTCCAAGATATGGAGAGCTTCGTCTGGTACACAGACGGCTCCCTAATCAATGGAAAATCTGGTTTTGGGGTTTACTGTCGATCACCCAGAACAGAACTATCAGGAAGTCTGGGACAATACTGTACCATCTTCCAGGCAGAAATCTATGGCATCTTGGCTTGTGCCAATCTAGGACTAGCCAGACGGTACCAAGACAAAAGGATAGTGATTTTATCTGATTGTCAGGCTGCTCTCAAAGCTCTTGACTCAAATGAAGTCACCTCAAAACTGGTCTGGGAGTGTTTCAACACCCTCTGCAGACTTGCATCACAGAACTCTGTAACTCTCGGCTGGGTCCCAGGCCATGTAGGCATTGGCGGCAACGAGAGTGCAGACAAGCTGGCAAAAAAAGGTGCGAGCAGGCCACTCTTTGGACCAGAGCCATTTTGTGGCATCAGCAAAGCGGCCGCTAAACATGTAATAAACAAATGGTCCAGGGGACAACACCTTGAGCGTTGGCGTAATTATCCTGGACAATCACTTGGCAAAAAACTGCTCTCAGAACCTAGCACCCCCTTCACTCGCTGGCTGCTAAAGCTGGGGAGAGGGCAGGTCAAGCAGGTACTTGCTCTTATCACTGGACACGGCCATTTCAGGAAACATCTCCACACTCTAGGAATTGTCAATGACAAGCAGGAGTGTCGACTTTGTAATCAGTCCGATGAGACTGCTAAACACATCATTCTGGACTCCGATGGAAAGCAGCCAGGTGATGAACCAGACGCTAACATTGGGCAAAAGCTCCTGCACCTAGTTAGGGACACAGGTATAGGCTTACCCACTTAGTGGCAAGTGGGATGCACAATAAGCTTCGGTTGACGTGCTTGGACCTTGAGTCCACCCTCACACAATCAATCAATCAATCCTATAGCTTCATAAAATCCAATAACTGTGCCATCCGAGTAAGAGCTGTGATCGAAATGTTGGTACGTAAAAAATATAAAACAGAATCTGGTGGCCAATCATAATGAATGAATTAAGGTAGGATAGAGTAAGAAATGAGGGATCTGAAGACTTAAGGTTAGTTGGAGCTTGAGAGAAGATAAAATTATGGTTTAAAAATTTGAGAAAATTATGAGACGAGAGAATTGTTAGGAAATGTTGTGGATTGTGATATAGGGAAGTAAACCAAGAGGTAGACTAAGGTGAACGAAGGAAGTGAAGAGAATGTGAAATGTCAGATGGTGGAAGGAAAGGAAATTGTGAATAGATAGAAGAAGTTGGAGATGCCTAGTCAACATCTAGATCCAGGAATAACAAAAGAGGATATGTATTTATGAGTCATTCGAGCATTTAAGAATATTAGATTAGGTTGGTAGCGAATCAATCTTCATACACTCTTACGAAAACAACTATTTGGTGAGAAATTACAACAAAACATTCAACCTTATTGTTACTTTAACTTGTATAGTTTCACAACCATATAAGTTAACCAAATCTCTTTGTAATACCAGGTTCTTTCTGTATTATCACAAGCAGAAGCATATTTCCTAGTCAGTGTTTACACACATACCTCTTGTATCTTGGCCTCTCTGGCCAGCTCGGCTCCGCATACATGGAACAGCTGGGGGTAGAGAGCGATCAGATCACATATGACCTGTGACTCAGCCCGCGACCACCCTCCTTCCAGACCAGTCTGTAAAATGGCAGAAAACAATTTAACAAATTACCTTCTGCATTTCTCCCCGTACACATAGAACTGGAATGAAGAAAAATTCTTGAAGCATTACACAAGTAACCTACTTAAAAATATTCTAATCAAAAAGGTATTAAAGTATGCACTTTGCCATAGTATGGTAACATTTTTTGAACCAAAAAGTACTTGTACACATTAGTATCCAGTGAGATTTTAGGATTAGGTGAGGTTTTAGGACGTAGGTTCCCATCATACGTCAACACTCAATTGATGTTGACATGATAGTTATGTTGTGGGATTGGTTTTGTTTTGACAATAGCTTATGGTGGTAAAAACTAAGATATAATACAGAGTGTTTAAAAAAGAAACATCCAGTTTTAAATGCTAATATCTGAAAACCTAATGAGCATAAAAATATCAGGATATATTTGCTTTACACGCTAAAATGTTAACCAACTGTAATGGTAAAAAGTTTTTAATGATGCATTAAAATTCAAAAGTGATATTTTTCAATAAGCTTTCCCCCATTTGGGTCATGGATTACTTTACTTTTGATTTGCAGATCAGTTTGCAAAATAGATTTTGCCCAGAACTTAGTATTAAAACATGAAACTAAACCTTCAAGAGATAGTCTTTGGACTTTATTTCCATATTTTAAATATGCATTTCTACTTTCGACAAAATTGTCTACAACGATGATGCTATTCCTATAATTTTATTATGTATATGATGTTTGATTCAGGTCCTGTACTTCTGTAGATCATACAAATTTAGTTTGATAAACCATGCAAATCTACCATTTTCCACTGAATTCAAATGAACACTATGTGAAAATGGATACTTACAATGGACTTTTATCCCATTTGACTAGGCATGAAATTGAAAGAACATTTTATTTATAGCACATTTTATAATAGAAAAAAAGGAAAAAAATATAGCTGAGAATAACTAATTAGAACCTTCTCTTCATTAGAAAGCCATGCAAAAAGATGGTTTTTTTAAATACATTTACTAAATCTTCCCAACCACCTGAAATTAAAGTACTTCTAGGTTTTAGATTACATATGAATTACTAACACACTGTCCTATAAGTTTCAAAGAGGAAAGTTGGTTAGACAGAACAAAGTATCGTAGAATTATGTTATTTACACAAAACAACTTTATCCATTTGCTTAAATGTTGATGTCATGATCAACCAGAGCTAAAAAGTTAAATTTTGTTTTTAATACTAATTGTGTTAGAATAAAAAAAAAAAAATTGTAACTAACGAATTGACAAACACAGTATTTTTTGTGTTCTTCTAGACTTAACTATGCCGAAATTTAACTATTAGCTTTTGACAACTAGACTACCAAATCAAAAATCCATTTGTTTTAAGATCTTGTTTCATAGATGAATTTATTGTTGCACTGCTTTTTTGTTTCATAGACGAATTTATTGTAAGCACTGCAAAGACAATCTATTTGCATTTTAACAAGGGATATGATTTTTACCACTGTTATAAATCCTTATTAGAGGCTTAGAATTAGTCAGGAAAACAGAAGAATGAGTTATCAGAAATAGTCCAAATGTAACTGGATTATAATTGTATTACACATCCAGTTTTAAAAGATTAACATCCAATGTATTAAATTGTTACCAAACAAACATTCCCTATACTTTAACCCTATTACCCTCCAAATGTGTGGTTAAGTACTACCATTGTTTTTTGGATACTAAAGTAGACATTCCATCTATGTGGACCAGCTGTGCAGCCAATTTTGTATTAAAAAGAACATTGTTGAATGAGCGACTAACAAAAAACAATATAGTTTATTCTATTTTGGTCCTTAACTTTTGTGACTGCCAATATGATACATAAAAAATAAAAAAAAATTTACAACAAGTCGACTTTTCAATTTGGCTTGGTCAAAACATTGGCATGTTCTACGGAAATCAGTAATTTATGACAGTACCAGTAACTTAAGTTAACTTCGTCCATTTTAATTATATAATAAAACTGGCCACAGCTTAAACCTGGGAATGAAAAGTCTAGTTCTATCCATATTCAATGGTTCTACCAAGTCAACCTTACCATCAAGCCACCATAACCGTGCCGGAGCGACCAAACTAACAAAAGTGAAAAATGACCCTACATGATGCTGTGGTACCTCTACGTGCATGAGTGTCGGTCCCCAGATAGCTGCGAGGTTCTCTACAGGCATCAAATTGCGTTCACACTGCAGACTGATGTGGTAGAGGTGACCCATCAGACGACGGACGGTTACATAGTTCACTGGAGGAAGCTTCTCCAGCTGACTACGGTACAGTGAGACCTTCTCCTCCTCACTGCACTCTAGTCCTACAACAACAGTGGCTGTAGCAAGAAATGTCAGCAGTCAATGGGAGCTGAATAACACACAGTGTATTGAGGAAGTTCCTTTCTATCAAAATGTCAAATAAACAAAATTGTAAATAAGGAAATGTAAATGGAAGGTGGAAGGCTTGCAGAAGCCATTTACTAGTAAGTTACAAAGATTATTCTACACTCTTGCATAAATATTCAGCTTAATGGCATACACAAGTGTGTATCACTGACAGGTAATTCAGTAGATGGACAATGATTGTTTTCGAACATGGAATAACTTAATTTGATTTAATACAAACCCAACACACCAGACCACTTTGTAAAATTAAAGACAAAGATGAGTGAAATTTGTTAGCTTTAACCTGACAAGGTCAGCAGAATCTTTGTCTAGGACCATTTATGAATTAAAAAACACAGCTTACCTTCTTTACAAAAAAGTTTTAACACTTCATTAAATCAGATTGGAAATAAAAGTTCGGGCAATTTGTCAGATTGATTGTATTGACGGTGTTTTTGGTTAAAAAATCCATAGTGGTCCACTATGTTTGGCTAGCATCTCATGGGCTGGACAATATATTCATCTAACTCTCTTCCGAGGTAAAGTATTCTTTAATAATTAGTCAAAAGAAATATATTAATCTACTACTTACCACCAGCGTTACACAACACTTTGTGCAGTTCTGTGGTGAGTAAGGGCTCGGGAAGGTCTCTAAAGAAGCGTTTCAGCACACTGGCTACGTCATGTTCTGTGTAGTCATTTCTGGTGATTTGAACGGCCCATGCGTCTTTTTGGAACGCTGTGAGTAGCTTGGCGACATTGGTGTTACTACCACTCCGCCGGTATATTCCTTCAGTCATACTGCCTGCAACCGTAACATAACATCTGTAATGGATTGGCTCATACTTTTAGAACTCGTTTTGAGTTCCTAGATCTTTAAGATAACTAGACATATTTCCAGATTATCTACCTCCTAAATTGTAGTTCAGTTTATGGTGTGGTTGCCACTAGTAGTAAAATCTACTAATATTAAACTTATAGCCTACAATGTTATTTGATGATACCATACCACACCACTTAAGAGTTAAATTTGATATGTGTTTTTGGCCTTGAATCCCATAATACCGCTTATCCTGAACTTAAGATACTTAGGCCACTGTGGTGTCGTAACACTTGAAGTTAGTGATGTGTCAAAATCGAATCTCAAAACCACCAAAACTTTCGGAAAGTTGCTATTTTGAGATCTTTTTGGCAAGTTTCATCATTCAAAACGAGGTATTGAGTTGATTAGAAATTAATCTCATATTAGTGTTATTACATCAATGTCAGGAGTTTAATTTATTTCAGCCCCTCTTTATTGTTTATAAACAACTATGTTTTTTAAGTTTAAAATGCATTAGTCATGTTATTTATGTTTATGTCAGTGTCAGGAGTCCAATTCCGTTAAGTCTTGATTGGATAATAAACAATCATACCCTGTAATTTTAGTGACCTTAACCAGGCAAGCAAGTAAAAATGTTTCACATAAATGTTTTGAGAAACATCAAATTTTAGTTTCAGTTTTGAGATTCAAAATTTCTGGTTTCAACCATCACTGTTTTAACTACTCTGCTTCATAAAGTCCTATAGTCCTGCAAGACTAAGGTAAACCCTTGAACAGCAAAAGAAATATATAACACCTATAATGCCAACAGCTAATAGCATTATCAATCAACCATCTGGCACTAACCGAAAATAAATCTAGCTACAATGGAAGCAAGCTTTTAAACCCACTCCCTCGCCACCTTTAGGAAATAACAAGAGAGATACTTCAAGAAGAAAACATGACAATGACTCTTCGAGAGGATATTCTATCCGTATGAAGAATTTCTCACTGGAAAAACATAATATGAAGAAAATTCATACAAATAATCTGTCCTACAATATGCAGATGTTGTATTTTTTTTTTTTGAAATTGCAATAGATTCAATTGACTATATGACAATAAACACATTTTGTTCTAGATCCCTACCATGCGCAGATACGAAGTTTATACACTTGTCGATGATGGTTGGCAGATCGTCCTTGGTGAGTTGTTGGTCGCGCAATGTCGGACCATTGTCCACCGCAGCTTCGTGAATAACACGGCACCACGCTCGCGACTCATGCGGCTCGTTCATCTGCAGGTAGTAAGCACAGTTGGGCCCGTCCACTCGTATTTGGGGTCCTTTGACGGCCACTCGTGAACAACCTTCTACACCGGCAAGATCCTGGAGAACTAAACAACACAATGAGTTTAAAGATAAAGTTTTTGCATGTACTACTTTGCAATGGGGTAAAACCAATACAGTGGAAACCCAATAACAAGGCCGTCAATAACAAGTCACCCTTAAACATGATTAGTTGAATATTTTTCATTGTCTTTCCTAAATTCAGAAATAAGATAGTAAGACATTATGTTAGCAGTTATCTGTTACAGTTACCTATTAATGTATTAGTAAGATCGTATTGTACTATACCAAGGTGAAATTGGATAGGGTCCATCCAAAATAAGTTTTTAAAAAGCTTTTTCATTATTTAATCACCTTTGGATAAAAGGTTGTATTATTTGTATGATGATGGTTTAATAATATTGAACTAAACCCCATTAGGCCTATATAAGTAAAGGGGGCACCCTGATATTTGGGGGGGACATCCCCCCAATCCAGCCCCCTGGGACCACTGGGATCATGCTGGAAAAATAGCAGAGATCTAATAAAACTTTGAATTTACTGAATACATGTGTTTCCAGTACAATAATTATACAATCGAAAGTATGACAATTCCATATTTAAGCTTTGTGTAGCCAAAGGTATCTAATTCAAATTTTTGATGTTTCAAATTGGGCCGTAAAATTAATTGTAGTAGTAATCCCAAGTAGAATGAAATATATCAAACATACAGAATCCTACTCAGCACCAGATTTAAGGTACTTGAGTCCCTAGGCCAAATCAACCTGAGCGGTCATCGCTCCTTGGTGGAACTTTCTGCGATTGCGGTGGAATTGTAACCATCTCCTGAGATCACAGGGGTATTATCATAGCCACCTACGATCGTAGACATCTTTCACAATCACGGGGACATCACCATAGACACCGGACAGAACTAACAATAAAATTGGCTTCAACTGTTCCATAAGGATGAGAAATCTACTACTAACCAAATAACAATGAAACTCTCCAGGTCACTAGCTAGAATTCACAGCTGTAATAATATTAGGGGAAAAGCAGTGCGTCTAAACCTAAAAAATAATGTGCGATAAATATCTTTGATATAAGTTTTTATCACACACTTACATCAATTATAATTTTATTTAAGTTTTCACAACAATGAGTTCAAAGATTTATATTTATCATGAAAATGTATGTTTTGATTACGAATAAAAACTATCACATACCATTCTTAACAGATCAGACCAAAACCCAAGATAAAATAAATAAATACGTACATAATACAACAATCAAAATGACTCTTTCCCTTCTAGAATAAAATTGTTAATCAATTGATAAATTTACAGTAATAATCGGAACTAATTCATTGATGTAAAGGTTTCAAGGTCAAATTTCAGTATGACTGTCTACTCTACTTATACAGAGTGATTCATTATAAAAGTATTTGTTTAATGGTTAGTCAGATTCTCTGAAACATCTATTTACTTTTCGTTTATATTAGATGTTTATAAAATCAAAATCAAGTAAAATATTGAAACCCATATCAAAAGGTTACCAAATAATTTACCATCGTAAAATATATAATTTTAAACAATAGAAAAAAAATAACTTTAACAAAAACCTTACTCTCTTTCAATCAAACAATATATTTAGAAACAGATTAAATCAAGCTGAATAGAACAAAAATCTAATGGAGATCAAGAATTCATGTACTAAAAATATATACAATGGCCTTAAGTTTTAGCCACCCTCCAATGGTTAATACATTAACTTTGTCAATAGTCAAAGCTTTAGCCAACGCTCGAGAGGCTCAAAACTTTGCTGATTTTTCTATATATTTACTTCTGATATGGAAATTCTACATAGTACCAAGAAGACATTTGAAATCCGGTAGGCTTATTTGTAATTTATGAAAAGATAGTTAGTTTCATTTTTATTTTTTTAAAGTGTTTATTTAATTGTTGTTTGTGTCTGCTGGAGTGTAGATAAGTAGTTATCTTTGACCTAAAAAGCAATTTCTAAAATGAAATACAGTAGTCTTAAATTATTAGTATGTTAAAATAGTGATTTTTCCATGTACTTTAGCACAAGATGCAAACTATCCAACAACTCAAATTTCTTTTTTGCAGTGTGAAAATGATTTTGATTGACAAGATTTATTTTGATTGTTTTACAGACATAATGAAATGAAATGAAACGTTTATTTATCCCAATTTCATTACAGAAGATAATAAAACAGAAAGCAAGATTAACTAGTACAATTATTGTCAGATGAATCTGCCATACTTAAGGGATAGGCCTACATGGGCAGGTGCCTGTGCGTAGGCCTCTCTGTTATCAGTCTACGTAATTTTAAGGGCAAAAAACTGAATACGGGAAAGATCTTTTTACTTAAATATTTGAAAGAAAACTTTATGCGTTTGTGAGAATGTCGGCGACGACAACCAAAGCCAGTTCAATCAAAAGAAGACATTTAAAGGGTGAACTACGACATTTATGTAATATTAAATATGAACATATAAAATATAAATAAAATATGAATAATATGAACACATTTAAGATTAAAAGAACAAATACACTAAAAGTAGTTTGTTTTTTTTTTGTATTATTAACTTCTTCAATTATTATTCTTGAGAAAAAATATATGCGTTAGTATCTTGACAAGGGACGTTTTCAAAAATGTAAGGCCAGTTTGCAAATCTACGCGACACGTTCTTTCCAATGAGACGTCAATGGATAAAATCGCTTAAGAAATGGCGGATTAGTTCAACCGACAAACTTTGTGTTCGCATATCAATTATATAGATTTTAAAAAACAAACATACAAAATTCATATTCTGTTGTAAATTTAACTGTAAATTTTGAAAGAAAAATACGGTGTAAACTTGGTTATCTAATGATACTAAGTGTATTATTTGAATAAATATATATATGCACCACTTATATGCACCCAGTTGAAGAGTGTTCAAAATCATAGTGTTCTCTTGATGCTTTGATCTGGTTGAACCAACAAAGATTATGGATTTAGTTACGTAATTCATTTGTTTATCAAACAGCTGTTGTAAACAACTGGAGAGTTGTAAAACAATGAGTCACTATTGGGTAGACTGACGACCGTGACCTCAAATGAAACTCAATCAATTGCCGTTAACCGATCACACACAGCAATTATGTCGTTAAGGACCAAGTCAGAACATAAAACATCTAAATACATCTTCCTATAAAATAATTGGGAACTAAAAATAAAAAAAACCCTTTAAACTTAAAAAAATGAAAATAATTTACTTAATTAAAATGTGTATTATCGACACAAACAAATTATAAAAAAAGTACATAGGCTACCATTAGAAAAATATAAAATGTTGTTTCTAGTTGACAAATTTCAAATTAGGCTAACTTACCACTTGGGTGTTTAATATCAGGTACAAATAAATACAGCTTACAAATCACAGTAGTAGGCCTACTATTTGCTCAGAGGGTAAACATGCTTTAAACATTTCTATTTACCCTGTTTATACAATCCAAAAGATGTAATTCAAAATCTAATTGTATAGTTTGTATATTAAATATTAAATAAGTCTAGTTACAAATTTTAAATTAGGCTTTGTTATAGCCTATATTTGTCAACTGTAAGAAGAAAATATGGCCAATGTTTGTCTTTCAACTATATGTCAATATGACGAAAAAAATTTGTTAACAATAAGTAATAACTTAAAATCATAAATAATAATTAGATTATAATTGAGTTTTAACAGCAGCAGGAAGGAAGCTGCTAAGATTACACTAGAGTGACTCATGCTAACAATTTGTCTCCTTATCTTAAAAGAGATAAAAATTGAGTACTGCAAGCTAAACTAAACTGCTCCATAACTTTACGAGCCTCATCTTTAGTTCAGAGTACAACCTATAGTGCATAAATTACAAGTACAAGTTCTTACTTTGCATAGATTACAAAATATAAAAAAATGTAGATACAATATTATTTTATGGATATTATTAATGTAATTTTGTTATTTGGGTAGACCTATTGTTGTTCATATATGAGGCATACTGTACTAGTATCATGTATTAGCAATTTCAATTAAAGCAATGTTGGTACAATGTTTATGTACGGTAATTAATTTACCAGAATATTGAATGTTTAACAATCCTCTGCGATGCGCATCAAAACTTTTGATTAATTACAGTAACATTCTTGGAATAATGATCAACAGTTATGTAATTTAAAATCTTCATATCAGATGTATGATTCACTCGTGTAAACAAATTGAAATATTCACCAAACCATACATGTATTGTATTAAAAAACTGTTATTCCCGTGGTAGAAAATGATCTCACCATATTATTGAAAAATAAAAACAGAAGGACACGACACAATACTAGTTCTGAAATAAAATTCCTTCTTTTAAAAATTCTTTTGACTACCTGATATTAAAGCAAAACTTGAAACACAACTAAACTAAAACGTTGTTTAGATACTGATAAAATGCTAAAATGGCAGTCAGTACCATAATGATTCATTCAATGTTGTATTTAATACAATAACAATACCGCTTTTAAAACTAAAGAAGTATTATGAGAACCAGGGGCGGCTCCAGGAATATTTTTTTGGGTAGGCCTTACAAGGATCAAGAAAGGACGAGAGGTTTGAAGAACTTCCCCACAAAAAGGGCGGAATTTTAAAATTTAAATGCAAAATAATTAGTTTGAATTATTTCCCTTTATTTGAATATAATTAAATTTCTTTATTTGTTTATAATTTTGAAATATCTACCAAAGTTTTTGGTACGTCCGGGCCTACCTGGCCTGCCCTCTGGAGCCGCCCCTGAGAGAATGCATAAGAAAAATATTATGATAGTTTAAAAACAATCGTAATTTGTTTAAATAAATTATACAAGTGTAAGAAAAATTTGAAAGGAAATGAATAAATTACTCACCAACACATCTTGCCTTTCGCAGGTCTATCTCGCACACTTTCCTTTTGCTTGGGTTGAAAAACAGAGTTCGCTTGTGAAGAAGAATCCAAGCAGCTACCCAACCTCCACTGATTCCTTCCTAGAAATGTAATGTTGTGCATAACTTTTATACTAAAACTTTTTTTAACCAGGATAGTATAAAATACTTCCGCCGCAGCAAACCTGCAGAAAAAGCAAATTTCCATTTACCTGACTGAATTTCTACTATAATATTCCCAAAAATTTTCAAATTTATTTTTTATTTAAATAACGTTAATTTTAATGAGTACTTAGGTTTGCTGCTATAGGGAAGGTATTGAGGTGTTTTTTATTCAAATGTTGATATCTTAGTATGAAAGTGACTGAATTGCCAAATTTGATTAAAATCTAAACATAAACAAGCAAACTACAACAGTTTATTCTCCATAAGAATAACATGGGAATTTTAAATTTACAATTTTTTGTATTATCTCCATAACTGTTAATAGGGCACAACTAAGCTTTAATGTACAAAATTATTTCTTTTTTTAAGCTCTACAAAATGATCTGGAAAGAAATTGTAAAATTTTATGTTTTAAGCGTCAAAAATGGGAAAACCCAATTTTCACCCCATAAAACCCCCCCCACCTAAACCCCCGTTCCCATAGTCCGATCAAGCTGGTTCGCGAACTCGTTTGAATAAATGTAGGTTTACACGTTTCTACCAAATTTCATCAAAATCGGATAATTTTTGCTCAAGTTATCGCGCTAACGGACACATATATATATATATATATAGGCCTATATAACAAAAAAGTAAATCGGTCCCGGATCCCGGTCTTACCATGAGTACTACGGTAATAGCATATTCCCTATATGGGAAATTCACTAATGTATATGGGAAATTCGTTAAAAGTAGTTAATGAAACAAAAGTCTTTTAAATTGAATTCTTAACACAATATATGTATATATGAATTTGAACAGAGGGTAATTTTGGTCTCTGGGGACCTTAAAATTAAAAAATAAATCGGTTCTGTGTCTTGGTGTTACCACGAGACCTACGGTAATAGCTTATTCCCAATATGGGAAATTTGCTAAAAGGGACCAAAAACAAACAAGCTTAAGGACAAACTTAAAAATTTCCACCTAAATTCATGAATAGGAGATGCTGTGTTTACCTGAGTAATACATGATTTGCAGAGTAAAAATATAAATAAATAATCTAGTTTGCAAAGATTTAGAAGCAATAGTTGACATTGTCCAAGATCACGCACTATCCTAACAAGAGAACACCAATAGTCAACTAGCATAATGGCAAAATCGTGAACATCTCCCTTGATCACGGAAACATCATCATCAAAATCATCATTCGCAATTGCGGCAAAATCACCGATAGTTGGAATAAATCCTGTCCCAAGAAAATCCTTTGTTTAATTGTCAAGAATATTTTCCCCAAAAATTTCCTGACATTTCAGGTGGTGTCCATCCCTTTACTAAACTAGTAGGCTATGTTGGTTAATGAAACTAAATCTCCACAAAGGATTTTTAAAATCATATCTGGGTAAGGATTTGCAAGGTCTCACCTTAAAATAGCACCAGCCAGCCCTAGTGTAGTCAGCTGTTAGTCTTGGAGGGAACACGAGAGTCAGACTCTCTAAGAGTTTCTGCATCCAGATTCTACGTTCAGTAGTTCCCGGAGACCCCAAGAGGTGGGGCTTGTCTCGCTGAGAGCAACTGATCTCCATACAGTAAATGTCCTCTCCATCATTGCTACAAAATTTTTGATTTGTCAAAATGATTTGGTTAACTTATTGAATTTTTGATAATGAGGTGGTTAAATACACTAGCCTACATCTTTTACTCGATGTACAGCAATCAGTTTGGTTATCTTATTTTGAGTCTAAAGCGAAACTAAGTTTATATTCCTCTGCATGAGTGCTATGTATTTTGTCATGCCAAGAAGGTGCAATAGGCTACCTTGCAAATATTGCTCAGTAAAAATTCAGATTATTTAGGACATTTCGCCAAGAAATAAAACTATAAAATTACGTGCTTAGTTTAATTACAAAATTGAAACTAAAGTTGGTAATGATGTTAATTTCTTTAAATTTTTGTAGTTTTAAGTTTTTTTGTCCCAATAAGGATAGTTATTAATATTTTCAACCATACTTGCTAGTGAATTTTGGGCTAGCTGAAAATATGTTGATGCTTATTACACAGCGTAATAATAATTTACCTTAGCTTGGTCTCTCTGACAATCTGCAGACTATAGATGAGTTCAACCATGATAACATCTTTGTTTGAACTGTTACGTTCAGCAGAAAACATCAATCGACCTTCGGCCAACTGACACCACTTCTGAACAAAGTCTTTTTGCTTCTCTCCTCCTGAAGGAGATCTGAAGAGGAAACCACTGTGCAGAGGGCCTGAGGCCAAGTTAATTACTGGTCTTTCTAGGTTATCTTCAGAGGAACTTTGGTCTGTGGTGACCGTACCAAGATCTTCACCTTCTTTAAGTTTTGATTTCCTTATCACGCCAGGAGACCACTGTGAAGTATCGGTTACTTTTTTGAACACTTGTTTCATGTTCCGCACTATGTTCGATGATCGTTTCTTTCCCGCACACAATTCTCTGTCTGGTGAACCACAAGGAGTATTTTCAGCTGTCGCACTTTCATCGGGAGCTTGATTCTCTTTGCTTTCACCATTTAATGTTTCATCACTAACCGCAACACTGGTGATAGGTCTCTGATACAGAAAATATTCCACATCGTTTGGTATTTCAGGAGTTTCTTTTGACTCGTCAGTTATTGAATCGTATCTGGTGGGAGGTATTGGAAGAGAAGCAGTCTCAAACGTGTCTTCCAGCCTCATGAACTCATCAGTGTTCAAAACTGGGAGACTTTCGGTTTCTACTTTAGAATCCAGTTTAGTTTCAGCATTTAATCTCTCATAAAGTGGATCAAATTCTGAAAATAGCGTCTTAGCAGAAAATTTGTTTTTAACTTGGTTGGTTGCCAGATTAATATTTTCTTTGAACTTAGATGACATCAAAGGATGCCAATTTGTGTACAGCTCATTTGGCACAGACATCGAGCTTCCTTCACTTCCAGTACTTGATACTGTAGATTGCTGCCTTACAGCTTTTGAATCTGATTTATTATTAAACTTTAATGGTTGTAGAGGTTTCAAGGCGGTTGTTTTGTGTTCAGTGTCAGAAGACTTTATTTGAAATTTTTTCTCCGCGTCTTCATTTTCCCGAATAGTTACGTTGACATACTGTTCTGACGTTGGCTGGACATTAACATATTGTTCAGTCTTTGGTTTGGGGATGTGAACTGTGTCATAAAAACTCCAAGATTCTGACCTAGATACTGCAACTCTGTCATGATCACGCATAACAAGAGGGTTGATCCCAAGAATTTGTCCAAAATCACTCTCACTGACACCTGGCCCCTTGGTAACGTTTTCACAGCTTTGTGACGAGTTTGAATCGCTTCCACCTCCACATAAACTTAGGTGTTTCAAGTCAGGTAAGTCTTCATATGTGCTGGCACTGTCTATGTCTTGCATGGAGCTAATTAAACTTGGGCAAGTATAATAATCACCTTGGCTTCCTGAGTGACTCGACCTAGTAGAAAGTTCATCATATAATGACTCATCGGGTAGCGGTGGGGGAGGGTATTCAGGTGGTGGTAAACTAATTTCATCATCTGAATCATAAGCGTTATCATATTTATCTCCCTGAATAGGAGATCCAAATTTTATCGAGCCAAAAATATCTTCTGTCGGTAAAGACTGGCATCTATCTAATCTTGGTTTTACACCGTCTACTTCTTCTTTGGCATTTACAACCGGTACAGCCGACTGACGTTTATGCAAAATACCCCTAACCGACCTCTCAGTTTTTAAGCCAACATTTTTTGTGGTTTCTATTACAGCCTTTCCTTTACCTTGTACGTTTTCGCTGGCAGATTTTAACTTATTTCTTAAGCTCTTGGTTAAAGTGTTGTAACCTTTAGTGATGACATCTTCAAACGAGCTGGGTGTGCTCTCTGAACTTCCCTTGTCCTCTTGGTTAAGAGCTGATGATGGGTGGGATGTCATCTTTACAGCCGATGACCTAGGTAAAGGAACAGGCTTTTTCAGCTGTTGATTACCACTGGTGTTTGCTTCCGGGTGACAAACCGGACTAGTTCTTGGCAGAGGTGTAGGTTTTGTACCAAGCTCATCCATTTTACCCTTAGGCTATCACCTGAAAGAAATAAATTACAGTATATTATTTTTAGTTAATCAACAAGTTATATAAGAAACTAAAATATCAAGAAGAAAATTTCCAAAATCACCAAAATGAGCTCATAACTGGAAAACTACCTAGTCATGAGTAGTAGGGCCTATACTCTTTGGAGGGGGGGGGGGCTACATTTCCGCACTGAAATGTTAATCGTCCTCCAAAAATTACCAATGCGTCCCTTTAGTGGATGACCCTTCAACGGTGTCTGATTTTGAAACACGATTGGTGACATGTAGTTTTTTCCGAGTGTTGAAAAATTAGATAAAAATGTATTAAAACCATGTATAATCAATAAAACTGAGAAAAAACGTGAAAAGGGTCTATCTACTCATTCTCTAGTCACATAGTTTTATCTGTCTCCAGCAGCAGCATGGACGCTCCTCACCCCTAGCCTAGAAAACCATCGTATGAATCATCATCTTAAGACTATCGGCTAAAAGAAAAACCATCAAATGAAACACCGGAAGGTTGAAATCAGTCGTTTGTCCCATCACTACTAAAATTGGTACTTGCCTGATTTACTGTACCCAAATAGAAAGTAGGCCTAGGCCAAATGAAACTCTACCCAAGTTTTGGGAAGCTAAGAATGGTTTGCTATTTATTAGACAACATTCAGTTTGCTTCACTAGTAAGTTTAGAGGTTGTCCAGTGGTCGAAAAATCAACCAAAAATATTTAATGTAAAGACGTCTCTATTTTCACCCCACGCTGTAAATAAAACAGGTGATTTGAATTTCTTCCATTAGTTTGACTGGGACGGTGGCGTCGTCCTGTAATCCAGCTACTAGGAGGTCACGAATTGTGGATATATATATGCATGCAAGTACTGTGGATGCGATAGGTACTCCCTGGTGTGAATTAACGTCCACACTAGTGAGTACTACAACTATCCGCAGTATTTGTTAATACCACGGCAAACATGTGGTTTGGATTCCACTATAAACTGTAGGTCCCTTAGTTGCCATTAGCTGTATGGGCTATTAATTAACAGCCAGCTGTGTCTAAGGAACATAACAGCCTTAGTCAAACTAACAAGACTACAAGATCATGCCACTCATCTTACACTCATATTTGGGTTAAAATATGCACATATAGTGGCGCCCCCATCTTAAATAATTGGTTGATTGATTGATATGTTTATATTTTGTTGTTATTTAGCCACCAGCATGGCAACCCATAGGCCTAAGGCCCATGTTAATTATTTCCAAATTTAAAATTAATTTGTTGTGCTTATTTTTGAGCCTATTTTATTTTATAAAGGGATTCTGCACACTTAACCTACAGGAAAATATCTTTCAAAGAGTATGCGCAGATTTTCCCAACGATGCACACGAGCTGAGAAAAAGGTTTTAAAGAAACATGCTTGTCTTTAATAAATAGATGTCTGGCTGAACTGGGTGAAGTAAACCAAACGCATAGCAAACAATAGACTCTAGGCCCTATTTCCTGAAAACTTAACCTATAAATGTGTTAGAATGTCTAATGAACACAATATATTAGACCCTACTTACAAAAGGGCGATTAAGCTTGAAACATTTACTTTAAGCCTTAAATCGTAGTTTTGAAAACTGAAATCTAGGATTTCGTATTTTTTAGGTATTATCGTGTGAAGCTGTCATAATCACAAGACACAAAGACATTATTTATTTAAATATTTTCTAGTCTTGTCTCTTGCTTAACGTCTACCTAACACTGATGACCCCCTAGTCCCCACACTCCATGAAAAGAAAATAATTTTTAAATTATTGAGCATTTTAGAAAAACATGTCTCTGTTAATATTCACTTCTAAAATTTGACATACGCAGAAGACACTTCACAGATCATGCAAAATAAACACTACTAAATGGTAAAGTGATGACTCACAGCTGATCACATTCTACATTCTACTACTTCACTATCACTTCCCATCCCATGGCCGTAAAATTACGACGGTGAGAACAAAGCAGATACAGTAGTAGAGGCAGCTGGCAAGGCAAAGACAGAGAATAACGAAGTACCAAGTACCATGGAAGTACGTAGAATTTATACTCAATGGTAGAAGGTAGAAGGTGCAGAAATTTGTTGAGATCGTGTGAGATGTTTTATTTGACATCATAATTAAACCATTGATAAAACATAAATAGATTTAAAATAATTCCCCTTAATTTTTTTTAATTTTTATGTTTATTTTACCAAGTTATTGTTAGATGTATTGTGAAGTATGAAGAACTTAAATTTTGATTAAGCAGCCAAATAAGGACTATCACGCACAGGTCATTGTGACCCATGTGATATTTTATTGTTGTATGTATTGCTGCAAAATAATTTGTTATAAATAAATTATAAAGATTTCTCTCTCCCTCTCTCTCCCCCCCCGCTCTTGGCCTTTTCTAATTATTTAAAACAATGATTAAGTAGTATTTAACTAATCGTTGTTAATTGGCTTGGCTGCAAAGGCTCCATCCTACCATTGCCTTTGAATATTATAATAATAGATTATTCACAATTTTTTTGTCAAAACTGAAACGTTTTTCAAGTGTGGTTCACGCTGGTGACTAGTTGACTTTATGTTTCAAGAGTGTGCTATAGTAGTTTACGCAACGATTGCGTCAAGTGAGTCTTTACGACACGAGTAGAAAATTTAAGGCACGAGCCTTGGCGAGTTGCCTTACAGTTGCGTACACTACTTTACCTAGGACCGTTTTTTAATTACTATCAATCTGGATTTAATTACTAACAATAACTACTGATAACTTTTTAGAGAGGTTATGTTTTCGTGTATTGTCATTGCTACTGAAAGTGATGCAACGACTTGTTGTATAATCAGCTGATTTCCTGTAATAACGTGTTTGTTAAACTTCGTTAAATATTACATTGCTAGCAGCATTCTTACCATAAATAATATTGTATCAGGTACAATTCGGCAAATATTTCATTTATTTTTGGACTTCCGCCAACTTAATTAAGAATACGCGAGTATCAACATGAACAAGTCGGATCAACAATTAAATTGGCCAACTGATCAGCTGATCAGCTGATTAGTTGACGTTCGAAGCATTACAATTTTAATTCTTTTATCTCAATACTTGAACCTCATTGGTCCGTTACCTGTGTGGATATGAGAATACCCCCGCCGCAGCAAACCTGCCGTCTAAGCGAATTTCCATTTGGCCGAATTGATTTTCAATTGATCTATTTAAATAACATTAGTTTTAACGAGTACCTAGGTTTTCTGCTACAAGGAAACTAATAAAGTAGTGTGTTTTTAGTAAAATATTGATAGCTTACTATAAAATAAATAAATTTGCCAAGTTTGATCAAAATATATCCATAAACAAGCAAACTACAACATTTTACAATATTCTCCATAAGAATAACATGGGAGTTTTAAATTTACCATTTTTTTAGTTTTCTCCGTAACCAATAACCGTACAAAAACACTTTGATATACTGAATTGTTTTTTTTTAAGCTCTTTAAGAAGGTTTAGAGAAAAATTGGGAAATTTTGTGTTTTGAGGGTAAAAAGTGAGAAAAACCAATTTTTACCCCATAAAACCCTGTTCCCATGGTCCGATCATGCTGGATCGCGAACTCATTCAAGTTTATCCCGCCTTACACCTTCAAACCAAATTTCATCAAAATCGGATAAAAATTACTCAAGTTATCGTGTTCACGGACACACATATATATATATAAATCTATATATATATATATATATACATATATAAAAATTTGAACGAATGGTGTTTTTGGCCTCTGGGTACATTAAAATGAAAAAGTAAATCGGTCCCGGGCCTAAGTCTTACCATGAGACCTACGGTAATAGCTACTTCCCTATAGGGAAATTCGCTAAAACTATGCGGATATGAAATGAAACTATGCGGATATGAAAGTTAACAGCTGTAAAGTGAAACTTTTCAATTCTAAGAACTGGACTGGAATGGCTACTTTAAAAAACGGTCGTAGGTAAAGGTATTTAACCAATGTTTTCATTGTATTTTCAAATTTATTTTCTACGGTTTGAACCATATCTTGACCTTTTTCAGAGTAATTTGGACTATGGTATCATAGAGGTTTATTCAATGACGGTATACTGTACCATAGACTAACAAACACAAGTAACTTCCCATCCCATTGTAAATTTTCAAGCTCGTTTTTCGTGTTTAATTCATGTCCGGGTGAGGGGTGCACAGGTGGCTACAATATTATAGCGTCGACGAGATTTTGTTTCTATTATTTTAGAGTCAATTTCATGTGTTTTACCATTGATAAAACATACTCCTCAAGGAGTATGTATATGTACTCCTTGAGGAGTATGTTTTATCTATGGTTTTACTGTTTGGTTATATAACTAGAGGACGAGTTATTGTTTATGAGTTTATCGTTTTATTTGGTTTAAATGACTGAAATAACAAGAAACAAATTGTTAACAAAGCACGACCTCTAGTGCACCGGAAAGAACTAACGATAAAATTGGCATCAGCCATGGCCACCTTTAACTCCAGGCTGCGGCCTTGTAGAATTGCTGGCAACGTCGCAAGTAGGGTTGTTTGTTTAGTGTCAGACTCCCTTAAGACAACATGGCAGACAGGTGACACCAGCTCATTAAATCACACTTTAATGATTAAAATTTAAATTTATGAACATGAATTTATTAATATTGAAAATAAAACATATAGAATTAAAAACAAAAATAATCTGTATACCTAATCAAACATATTTTGTAAAATGGCGATTGCCGTATGTGCGAATAGATAAATAAAGCCGGAACAATAACAATTGAAAATCTATATCTGTACATTTAAAGCGTAGTCCAGTAAACAAGCTTTCTTAAATACACAAATTACTAGCTGCTTCCAAACAAAATAGTTGATACAGTACAACCCTAATTAGAGACGTTGCCAATTCGAAGGCCGCGGCCTGGAGTTAAAGGCGGCCGTGCTTCAGCTGATCCATAAGGATGGGGAATCTACTTTAGGGGAGTATGTTTTATTTATGACTGTACTCAGTTTTTACTGTATCTATTCTCTCCTCATATTTTAAGGTTTAACAACATAATCTTATTTGACAAGAGGGGTTGTTTGTTATTCATATTGAAGAGTATTAAGAGTATGCTAGTAGATTTCACGCAGTTATAGAACAACAATATCGACAAATACAAATCATGTCCTTTCTAGCTACTGTATTCAGTGCCAGAATAGTTACTTCGTGGCCCTAGGCCAAATTAACCACCCCTAGGGACACAATCTATTCCAACTATGTGGGTCACCAATCCCGAATTCAAATATGTTTATGTAAGCAAGTAGGTCGAACTTACCCGCGATCGTTGTGAAATCGTAAACATCTCACAGGATCACGGGGGAACTAATTTCTATTACCCGTGATCGCCTTAAAAAGTTAAATAAATGAATTTTAATACTTTTAATTTAGAAAATCAAAATTCAATCTTTGTTTTGAAAACCACTTTGTAAATTAACATATTTATGGATATGGTAGAATGAATGTACATATAATCTCTATAGTCACTAAGTTTGGTTTTAAATTGCAATAATTTCCCTTGCAAGTTACATGGTTTTCCTTTTGTTTATATGTGTGTTGTAAATACGTTTGTATGAACCTCATGTAGCGCCATGTACCTAGGATGCCTGATGCATAATATTACCATAGATTAAACATACTCCTCAAGGAACATGTCCTTGAGGAGTATGTTTAATCTATGATATTACTATTCAATATATTAAATCAATGCTATTTACTCATTCGAGGAATTCGCAACCTTCTAACATAGACTACTTCTAAGTACGGTAATAATTTGTCATCAGTCAAGGTGTTTGCTTTATCTTAAATTGTTGTAAATTCATGAACAAATTAAGAATATAGGTTTTAAATGACACATGAATAATTTATTTTAATACAAATCTAAAAGTGATAATTTGATCAAATACATACACTTTCTCAGTAGTATAAAACTTAATAAATTTATTTTAATTATTTAGTAAGGTTGCACGCTTGTTTATCAGGTGACTAAAATACGCATTCTCATTGGTTATTTAATAACATGCTTGGTTAGGAGCCAATCATTTGGTTTAAGTGTTTGCTACCAGGTGCCAGGAACTTGGGTCAAAGGGGGTCGTAAAATTCAATTTTAAAATTTGTTAACTAATTTTGTTCTAAGGTTTTAAGTATTGTGCGTCGAGAAAATAAGCCAGATACTGAGGATTCTATCATACGTAAGTGTAACTTCATTAGAATACAAAACAGGTACTGCCACAATTGGTTGAGTAATTGAGTTGTAGATTGCTGTTATTATGACTTTGTAGACCTTTTCACAGTAAGTTAGGTTGACAAACAATAATCTAAACAAGTCGGCAAGTTTATTCTTATCAATAGGCTAGATCTACAGCTTCAACTCATTTATCATACCACTGATACCAAAATCGTTTACTATAAATCAACTCAATTCACTAAAGTGCATATTTTTGTCTTAGTCCCGACACAAATTGTTTGTTTACAATTAAAAGTTAAAATACAGACAAAAATAAAGTTTATAAGTTGATTACATTTTAGTTACGCCTACTTATCATTGACATTGAATCCATCCCTATGCAATAGCCTACATTACCTGCTCTGAAATGAAGCCAAAGCAAGCTCCTAATTTAATTGAGGCTGTACTTTAGTTTACGCCCCACATTTACTCACACATCATGATTGTTTAGGTTAGGTTAACTAGCAACTTTTGGACTTATAGGCTATTATAAATTCAGTAATTAAATTTCACCCAAACAAACATTTTTTAACCCTCCAAAGGTCCATAGTTTAGGCCTTAATGTCCACCTATTTTTGGCCCCTTTGCAAGGTTTTATTAAAACGGATCTGAGAAGCTTAAAACAATGTTAATTCTAATGTTCTATATACCATTTTGTTTGGAAAATCATGGGCTTCAATATTATATATAAAACATAAGGAACATTTTTCAAAAAAAATTTTTAGGTAAAAAAAAATATAATTTCGAAAATTTTCAAAAAAAAAATAAGTTCGCGCTCAATGAAATTGTATAAATTATAGGCCTATAAATATTTGAAAATAGCCACTTTGTTCTAAATTTAATGAGGATTACAAATATATAATCATATAGCGAGGTAAGTTATCAAATAAATAAGTTATGAGCGAAAAACGGATTTCAGTACATAGCGTTTAGCTAAGAATGCATAGCCTAACCATAGCTAGGAATCTGGCTGATAATTTACATCAATATCACTACCTACTTCTTCAGGATCATCAACCAGCACTTCAAAACCACTTAAATCTTCTTATAATGCACCACGTATATCACTACTTTTGATTTTTAACACTAAAACAATGATAAACATAATAAAACACATCAGTCATCGGTCCGAGGTTAAGTAACCTGTTTACTAATATGCACGTCAGCTGTCTGCTAACAATTACGATCGGCTCAGAGAACAAACAGCGCTTAGAGACTGACCTTTAGAAAGCTTAGAATCTAATGAAAAGAACGATACCTAACTCGATCCAGTTCAATCCGATTCAGTCAGTCATAGAGCCTTCGCCGTAAACGATGTTTGTGCGTCTTAAACTAGACGCGTGACCCTACACAAAGTGTGTTGTGCGTCTATTTTTTGACGCGTGACCCTCGGAGGGTTAAATACCCCTGCCGCAGCAAACCTGCAGACTATCTTAAGCGAATTTCCACTTGTCTGATTACATTTTATTTAAATATTTCCATACCGGTATATGACATATTTATTCCCAATTTAAATAGTATTAGAAATTTAAATAGTACAAGTGCTTAGGTTTGCTGCTACGGGGAAGGTAAAAAGTGTTTTTGACCAAACGTCAATAAACAATTATTAGCAAATTTATTTAGGCTAAGTTATTTCATCCTATACCGTACTATTGACGTATGGTCAAAAACAGTAGTTTATAATAAGAGTATGTTTATAATAAGACAACAAAAATTACAGTGATACCTAGACAATTTGTTTAGTAATGAATGAAGTGAAATGAATGAATGAAATGACTTCTTTCCATTGTTAACTTGTATATAATTTAGAATTACTGACATAGGTACCCAAGCTATTCTACAAACCAGTTTTGTACCGAGAAGCACTCCAGAAAAAAGACATTTTAATTTGATTGACCTGATTTGATTGTCTTAGAGACTCAGAAAGGACAAATGTGGTTGATTTGGCTAATCGTAAAAGTGCATGCAGTGGTTCTAGATCTAGGTCTTACTATGGTAGAATGGTAGTAGCCTTTCTACTTTCCTTGTAGAGACATTTGTTAAAAGTCGACACTAGCACCCTTTACAAAATAAATTTAAACTAGTCAACCAACAAAATTAAGAAATTGTAGCTACATATTAAGGATATTAGGTACATCTTAGCTGTATATTATGTATCATAGCTTACTTAATAAAAAAGCTGATGTATAATTTTGATCAAGAATGTAAAGAAAAGGAGAAAGAATTGTTTTTCTTTTATTAATAGGACATCAATATAAAGTTCTGTGTTGGTCACTCCACATAAAATAGATTGCTACAATAACCTAATCAGTAAAAAAAGTTGTAAAAATTAGATAAATTTGGGATAAAGTCCTCCGTATCTTCGCACATTCTATTCTAAGAACTCTTCTTAAAATTATCTGAGTATTTTTATAACAGTGTAAAGACTTTGGACTGTGTTAAAGTTCACAACTCGTAAAGGAATTGCGCCATTTTTGTACGTAAATTACTATCTGGGAAAAATGTTTGTTTTGATACGCTACATATATTCCATTTATTAGAGCTGCCCTCAGCATATTGAAGCATTATTGAGTAGTATTCCATTGAATAACTTTATCTTTTGTGGAATTTAACTTTGTTAAACTTTGGGCACATGGTTTTTTTCTTTCTTAAAAACAAGGTTAGCTTACATTAATGTTCTAGGAATTATTTTATTTATTTTGTGTTAAACTATTATAATTTTGGGATTTAGTATTTATTTCAATTTTTTTCTGCAACAAATCAAACTTAAATTTTTCTTATATACTTGCATTAGATTATAGTTCCTTGTTTACTTATGCCGACATATTTTTATGTTCATAAAATTATCTTATTGACTTCAAATGCTGGGTGGGAAAACAAATAGAATGTTGACTGATAGACAAGCTGCAATATCATTGAACACATAGTTTCTCTGATGTGGTTGTGAGACTCTGTAGTTTGTCAACTTGTCACTTTATTGTTTTAGTTTGTCATTGATAGTGATCAGTTTTTAGGTTAGTTACTTATTTCAATTTTTTTTACAGAATTTTATTTAGTGTAAAAAATGTTGAATGGAACGAATGCTGTGCTGCTGCAAACCATCTTATACCTTGCTAACACCAACCTACCCAATGATACAAGTGTGAGTTTGGACGTGGATAATAACAAACTGAAACAGGTGGAAAATGGCGAAGGTAATGCTAATTTTGTATCATTATAGTCTAATATTTTCATCTTTACAGTACTGTATTAAAAGCTTTACAAATACAATTAATTTCAAATCACCCAAAGTAAATTGAGCAATTGATAATTACTTTCAATTCTTGGGTTATAAATAGTTCATTCAACTTCCGCTTCAAATTAAGAGTTTGCTCGAACACATCTAGATAAAATACAGCCTATTTGTAAAAAAAGATTTAAAAAACCAACAATCACTTAGTTTTTGTTGTCAACAGGAAACAGGACTACTTTCTTACTTCAAGTACTTATAACTTTGTTTGTGGTAATCTCACTAACTAAAGTATAGAAGTTTTCCTCTATCATGTGTATTTTGTGCCTTATTTAACCAAATTTTCCCGTGGATATTGCAGCAGGCAGATAAAATGTTAAATTAATACTTTCTCTAAATTTAATTATAAGTCATCTCGTTTAACTGGTCACTCTAGTTGACAAATCAGGCCAGTTTTACTTTCTAAAAGACTTTAATGATTGTATGCTATATTTTTTACCTTGGGGAATAAATAAATTTAATTATTCAAGTAGGCATTTTAAAGTTGCACTATATTTAAAATTTAAACCCATGGAAAGATCAAGATTGATTAGTAACTTTTTTATAATGTTGTTCTTTCTGTTTTTGAAATGTTGCTAAACAATGCCTTGTCAGAATTACTATTGTTACTGTTTACCACTAAGTATTAAAAGTCTAGCAGAATTATATGCAATTTTAAGTCCATTGATTGGGATGTCATCTATTTAGAGGAAACCAAATCTTTATTTTGTGAGGGAAACGGGCAACTGTAAATCTTTGATTAAGTAAAGAAAATGTTTGTGTTTAAGTTTAAGTTTGGATGAATATGATGTCAAATTATTAAAGCACATACCCTAAAATTGTGGGGTTCTTGACATAAAGTCTGTTAAAGATACAGCACCATTGTATGTTGTCAAGTTTAGCCTAGGATTAATTCAGAAAGAATTTTTTTTTATTTATTTACCAAGCTTTCTCCAAATTTCTATTATATTAACTACGATAGACGCTACGCTGCGAAAGAACTTCCATCTTTATTTGTAGGTCACAAAGTATGATTTATAAAGACCTAAAAAGATAGGGGATTATTACCAGCTAGATGTAATAAAAATACTGTTTATAACAAAATAATATATGGACATGTAAATTTTGTTAACGAACAATTTAAAACAACTGTGGGACAAATTTTGATCTAAACCACAACCACATCACTGTTGTAGGTCTAGTAGTTTACCTAGAGAGTGCATTGTGTTAGTAAAACCGCTTTTAGCAGAAGCCCCAGATATTTCTCAGGAAAATAAACTAATTCTAAATTGGTGTGAAAAATTAGGTTACCGCGTAGTAAAAATAAAATAATTATCTCCAGTTACGCTTCACTTGCAACGATGACGTCAGCAGATGTTGTTTTCACACTTTATCTGAAGAATTTTAGTGTAATCAATAGAAGAGGTCACTAAAGTCACCTATGATGTCAGAGTGAGCAATGTTCACTATTGTATAGTATTGTAACATTACTGAATTTTAAAAATTTGTTGAGTTTACACTTTGTCAAGAGTAGAGAGAGTGGTAGAGTTTACAAAATGTCTGCTGTCATGGCTGTTGCCAACTATGCAGTGTTGCCACGTATCACCAGTCAATTTGTTGAGTTTAGCTTATCCTTCTGTCTATAACCATTGAGAAGGTAGAATCTACTCCTACTGGATTAAAACTGATATGTTAGGGTAAATTTAAGATGGCACTTTAGACAACATGAACACATGAACAAAAAACTGCAATATAAATTTACTATTTAAGAAGTCTCACAGCAGTATACAGTCTCCGTTTGGGTGTGATAATAATCTGTGAACAGGTTGAAATTGATAGACAATGTACATCTTTTAAATAATTCAAATATGATTGCAAATATAACAAATAGTGTTGGGAGATGTCTGTAATTTTATCTGTATAATTGTATCAACATAGGCTCAATGCTAATAAAGACATAATTAGAAGACAGTTTCACATATTAAGCAAAACTTAACAAAACTATGCAATAAACCTTTACAAATATATTACATCCAAACTTAAGGCCTACGCATACACAAGACGGAAAATAAATATTAAAATAAGTACCTGTTACCATCTTGAGTATTAAGTAAGCAAATTGCAATATTAATATTGTGCATGGTTTCAGTTTAAGAAAATATTTTAATAACAATAGCACATATGTCTGTACAAAAACATTTTATTGGTAACAAACTGGGAAATTCAATTTGTAGCTTGAAAGTTATCATATTCTTGGAATTTGGCTGTGTTCCATTAACTTGGTCATGGTCAGTGGAGGGAAAAGCCAATGTCTTATGTGTCAACAGAAGGTTATCAATAGTCTTCATTATTGTCCTTTTCTTTTTATACATGTCTGCCATTCAGCTGCTGATAGATTATGCAATTAAGGCATAATTATCTTTTAGCGAATTTTCCTATAGGGAAGTAGCTATTACCGTAGGTGGCACGGTAAGACCTAGACCCGGGACCGATTTACTTTTTCATTTTGATGTCCCCAGAGGCCAAAAACACTATTCGTTCAAATTTTTATATATGTATGTATATATATATATATAGACTTTTATATATACGTCCGTGAACGCGATAACTTGAGTAATTTTTGTCCAATTTTGATGAAATTTGGTTTAAAGGTATAAAGCGGGATAAACTTGAATGAGTTCGCGAACCAGCACGATCGGACCATGGGAACGGGGCTTTACGGGGGGTTTTATGAGGTAAAAATTGGTTTTTCTCACTTTTGACCCTCAAAACACAAAATTTCCCAATTTCTCTTTAGACTTTTTTAAAAAGCTTAAAAAAACAAATAATTTAGTATATAAAAGTATTTTTGTTCGATTATTAGTAACGGAGAAAATTAAAAAAATTGTAAATTTAAAAATTCCCATGTTATTCTTATGGAGAATATTGTCAAATGTTGTAGTTTGCTTGTTTATGAATATATTTTGATCAAACTTGGCAAATTTATTTATTTTGTACTAAGCTATCAATATTTTACCCTAAAACACACTTTATTAGTTTCCTTGTAGCAGCAAACCTAGGTACTCGTTAAACCTAATGTTATTAAAATATATTTAACTGAAAATCAATTCAGACAGATGGAAATTCGCTTAGTCGGCAGGTTTGCTACGGCGGGGGTATTTAATCTAGGTACAGTACTTCAAACTCACGAAGTGTCACTCTGTTTTGTAGTTTAAGCGTTGAAAAAAACTACTTCCCTTCCCACTTATACTTGACGAAATAAGATTTTGTATACTTTTTGTCTCATTCATATGTTATTCATACATCTAAATAACAAACTAAAACTGACTCACACACTCAGTTATCAATTCCTCGTGTGCAAAAACCATTCTAGGATGATAAGTTGTCAGGTGTGCTTGGTGACAATGATGTAAGGTGCTGTAATAAATATGATAGTTAGAACATTTTGTTTGCATGATTTATGGTTCTCTGTATTAGTATTGTTGTGTACTTTTGGATGTTTGTAACGTTGCAATGTTGTAACATTGTCAATTTCTGCAGAACTGCAAGAACAGTGTTTCCCCGGACTGGGTTGCTACTCCAAGACGTATCCGTGGACAGATGTCAACCGCCCGGTGTCCAACTTCCCCCAACCCCCTGAGAAGGTGAACCCGCACTATTGTCTGTACACTCGCAAGAACCCCAAGCAATGTCAACACCTCTCGTACTCGGCCCCCACCACCATCTATCAGTCGTACCTCATCCCAACTCAGCGTGTGTACTTTATTGCTCATGGGTTTCTGGAGGGTGGCGACCAATCATGGATAAGAGTGAGTTTCACAGTCTGTTGGTGAATGCTATAAATGCATTTCACTAGAGCTTTATTTTCTGGAAAAGTACTATGCGAGGACACAAATATGAGATTTTGTGACAAAATCTCAACTCTCCTGCAAATTATTTGAGTTGTCCAGATAATCTGAATAAACGGAAGTTTCTCATGAAAAATTAAGTTTAAACAAATATTTAATCTAATGTATTTGTATTGGATAAAGGGGAATGGGTAAAATGTCTTTGATAGTTTCAATACACACACATTGTTACAAAAACCAGCCTTTGTCAGTTTTGGAATTTTAGTGTAATACTTCAGAAGTCCTTGACATTCATAACTTTATAGGGTATTGTCTTTAAACTTAGGATTATAGTTTTTTTTAAATATACTAAGCGATGTAAATTAAAAAGAATCAAGGGTTAGAAAGTATCCGTCACAAACTGCAGATTTGATTTCTAGGTTAACATTAGTCAATTCCATGCTAATCAATTCCATGTTAATTTTTCCTTTTGTCATTGTGTTGGAATTTGGAAAAATGTTCGGTACCGGAATACATAATGGTTCATTTGTCTAATAAATAAACAACATTTTTTCGCTAACATTCTGGTTCTCTTGTAAATTATCTGGGTTTTAACTTTTTCATCATTAGGCATTTTTCTCCTTTCAAACTATTTTATTTCTTAACTCTACCAGTATAAATACTAAGCCAGAACTTTTTTACTTGACTACCTCACAATGTTAGGATTACAGGACCCATAGGCCTGGACAAAATAAAAAAAAAATAAAAATTATATAGGAAAGAAAATTAATTTCACTTTGCCTGGTCAAATAAAGAATATTTTGTTTAATTAAAAAAAAATAATAATTGTAATAAATACATGAAATAAGCCACCAATAAGTTATCAAATAGTTATACAATCTATTTACCAAGCTACAACGCAGGAAAAATTGTATAATCTCAAGTTAAGACATTTTAAACAGTTTTTTTCCAGAGGGGCCAAATAGGATTTTGGCTATAGGACTTCAGAGATCTTTCTACTCCAATGATGTATACATAACTGCACTACTCATGTCTGTATGTGACTGTTGTATGTTTACAGAGGTTGACGTCAGAGCTACTCTCCAGGTATGATGCCAACGTGGTGGTGGTAGACTGGGGCTCTGGGTCTGAGCCTCCCTATACCCAGGCTGTGGCTAACATTAGACTGGTCGGCACCATCACTGCACTACTCATCAAGGCCATGTCGGTATGTGACGCAGTATAAACTATATAACGCTTGTTAAGTTGGGTGTTAACCAGGCAAATATACTGTAAAAGTCTGATTTAACCCAATATCGAACGGTCCGGCACTTTCAATAATTCGGCCACAGTCTAAATGCCAACACACATCAGTTGTCCGATTGAGGCTGTCAACACACTTTATCTCAGGCCTTTTCCTTTGCAACTATAGGAGAGAGAACATCTGCTGATTTGCCCACCGAGCAATTTCTTCACGTCGGCTTGCAAACGGACGGACGTGTCTGCGAGCTGACAGACGTGGTGTTTGTTGACCCATTTAACAAGCATGGTTTGTCTTCCAAGAGACGAATACCAGCTGTGTGTTCGCCTTTTCGGTCTTTCCATATAAAATATTTCTTGAAGACTGTTTTAAACTGTAACAAGCTGCTATACCCGTGCTTTGCAACGGGAAGAAAATGTGACCTAGAGAGGTATTAAAGTAATTCTGATGTGTGTTTTAAAATACTGCAACTCTATGATTTAGTTTGAAATATAAACTGATTTAAAAGTGTAAACCTACTTACTTTCAAATTCCTACTTTTTATGTTAATATATCCAAAAGTATATGACAACTAGAGGTGTGCGGATATCCGAAAAATCGGGTCGGATTCGGTTCAGTTCGGATATCCGTATCCGAACCGAGCCTAAATTTGATATCCGACACTATCCGTTATATATCCGACTTTTTCGGATAGACAACATATTTTGACGTTTTGGACAGAAAACTAAATCTTCATAACCATCATTAGTTTCCCAGTACAAAAATTACAGCAATAGGTTTCCGACGATGTAACAGCCAAGGACAAAGAAGCCGTATGATGCAATACCGATGTCTAGTTTAGTTGTTATCGGCTGTTTTGCTTTACGATTAGATTCGTCTGGAACGAACAGACATAAAGCAGAAAAGAACTACCACGGTCAACTCGTGCTTGTCTCCTGATACTAGGGGCGCTATGCGTAATAGTTTTTTTTTTTACAGTACTGTTTTAAAGTATAAAAATCTAGCCTACTTCTGTGCTGTTACGTAAACAATAGATTTAATGTTTCCCGAAAAAAGTCAGAATAGAAACAATAGAAAAGCAACACAATAGAAGGGTGGGAGGGGTTGGGCAATGACCTCGAATGGAGCGCGGGTAGTAACTGTGAGTCGAGTAGAACGGGAGGGAGGAAGGGGTGGGTACGACCTTGAAGCTATAGACTAGCACTACTTCCCTAAACCTAAAGGACTGGCGAGTGGTATTCCAATGACAGGACAAGATACGTTGTTTTTCGGGTATTCATTGCCCGGTTTCACTTTGGATTGTCTTATTGTGTAGAAACTTTGAATAATCAAAACAAAAATAAAATTAGAACTAACCACGATTATTTCATTGATTGTGTATATTAAATGATTAAATGATAGGGACCAGGGGAAATATACAATTACAAACTTTTGTCATGATTTCAATTTCAACATCAAAATACAATATTGCACAATCATGATATTTTAGGTCATTGACCTTTATTATGTATCCGGTATTGCTGTTTCAGAAGAGAAGCACGTTGATAAATTATAAATTGATATTCCCGTGGTTAAAAAGAATTATTTTATAAACCTATAAAACAAAATCATAAAATCTTACATAAAGATAATAACAATAACAGCAATTGTAAAAAGGGTATAAAGATAACAACGTCATTATACTTTCTCTTTGTTCTTTTATTTCTTGGGTTTCCCTTCATCACGCATTCAACAAGTTGCCTAGTTGCCATGATTACTAATCACCCATGTCGTTATCATCTTTTGTGACATAGAGCACAGCAGGGGGTAAAACTGGACGAAAATCGGTACATTTTTACCTATTATTTAATTAATTACCAATGTACTTTATTGGTACTGTATTAATAAATTGGCCGATTTTTGTCAAATTTTACACCAAATTTATTGAAATTTCAAGGTGAATATCAATAAAACAATTATTACCAAATATTTTTATTCATTTAAAAGATCGATTTGTGGTATTGGGTTCCCCACTGAGTGCAGTCGAGCGGCACTAATGAGGGTTGAACCGCCTTGGGGGTGAACAATAGACCGCTTATCAGACCCGACCCTCCCCAGTGGTCTGGAGAAAGCTTGTAAAAAAACTATTGTTCAAGCTGACTTGACATTGGGCTGCTTCAACTTTAATTTTTTCAAATGAACTGTGATGTTTCAAAATCAAAAACAATAATTTGGGACCATACTGCATAACAATAATGGACTGCAATAATTGTTGAATATACAATCCATTTTTAACAAACTAAGATAGACTAAGACTATTCAAATACAATTTTAAAAATTATCTTGGTATTTTACTTGGGGTAGGTAATGAAGTTATGTAGGCTAGTGTAATTCTCGGTTCATCAAGGTTCTACTGAATTATGTTTGGCAGTGAATAATTGTAGAATGAAATTTATAAATTCAGGGATACACACCTTTTACAGAGTTATAAAGCCTAATTGGCCTAATTAACTTGCCACAACATCAAATCTAGAGCCCAGCTTAGTGCATTAGTGATGTTTTCTAAACTTGGCAAACCCGGAGAATGCCACTTAAGGCCAATAATCCGTTCCAAAAACGTAAGGAAATACAATGTGAAAATAAACTTGAGAACCTCCTTGTCTTGTGAGAACCAGGAAACAACATAAAACATAACCTCAAGTAAACAAGCCCAAACGTTTTGACATCAGTCCTGCTGAGCTAAAGTGTTGTGTGAAGATTTCGGCTGCTAGTGTACTTAATTCAAGCAACCAACTTTTGAAAATAGATGTTGTGAATTGTGATTTTCAAGAGAGAAAAAACTGTGGACGTGGCTAATTTTAAATTCTATGATTTAAAATCGTCATTTAAGTTTATTTACACAGCTTTACAGTGTTTTATAGGTTAAAAATGCACATGCAGCTTATTATTAACCGCGCCGAATTATCCGAATCCGAAAATATCCGAATCCGAACCTCCCAATATCCGATCCGATCCGAACCGAGCCTCAACTATCCGATCCGAATCCGATCCGAAATTAAATTTCACTATCCGCACACCTCTAATGACAACATACCTTAGTGTAGCAATATAGCATCAATTGCTTCATATTGATGCTTCACGAATGACATGTTTTACCATTATTCTTCAACTTTAGTCAAGCCTCTTTACATGTAGCTTACTATATAAATTAAAAATGAAACTTTGAGCAATACTTTACAAAACGTATACAACCTTTTTTTTAACCAAACATAACCCTCCTAAATCTACATAAAGCAAACAAATCACAAACATCTTTTTCAATTAAATAAACAAACACCAGTTCATTGTACTGACCAGCTGTTTCATTAACTACATTAAATTAAATCATGTAAACTTTGGAAGCATGCCAGGTGTAGCCCTTTGGAAATCAGCCTTTGGGGCAGAGCCCTTAGGAAATTCGTCCATATCAATACTTTTCGGCAAATCTACACACTCTAAGCTTCATTGTGATGTGCCATATGCGTATATTTTTATCTGGTAAATGGCCTTAACCGTTTACATAAAATTTGATTGTATCACTTTAATAATATAATAGATGTTTAAAAAAGTCAGGATGTCAAATGTCAAATCAGGATTTCATTGCATTTGGCAGACATGGGAGTGATAGTCAGACTTTGATTGCACTGGATTGAACTTGGAAGCATTTCATTTTTAAGAGGATTAAGAGTAAGCACTATAATGGCCCACCAGCCAACGATTTTCTTTTGACAATATTTTTACTAGTATATCAGTATATCAGTATATCAGATATTTTCAGAGGACCTTTTAGTACCTAATCTGAAACTGCCAAAGTTCTGCACTACAAACTATTTATGTTATTTTAATTTTAACCCATCCTGAGAAATTTTAAAATCTCTCACTAATCTGTACATACACCCTTCATCAGTACCATCAAATCACTGTAGGATTTACCTGAGGATTTTGTTGATTTAAGCTTTAACACAGACCTTCAGAGCGAAAGGTGGAGAGAGTCAGTACATTCAAATATGTTTTATAAGCACAAGGCAATTGAAAAAACTGTTCCATATTACACCCTTTTCAGGCTGCAACCTGAATCTTTACCACCCAAAGACTTGCTACGTTCGTTCACGAGTTGTATACTCAAAGATTATAAAAACTGTTTTGTATTCTTTACTAAAAAGCCTAGAAATTATACACAGCCGATAAATGGGCTGTGGTGCTTTAATTATACTTTAATTAAGCAAATATAAACCATAGATGTGTATGTGCCTTTTCCTGTTGGATTCCTAGGAGAAGAATTATTATCAACCCAAATTTTTTTGTAAATGATGATAATTTATGAAGTTGACTTGACGATAACTTATTATCGCTGAATGTTCCCTTGAACTGATGATCTTGATCTCACAGCATTGATGATCTTGATGGTTCATTGTCTTAGAATTGATAAGAACCACACATTATTCAAATCTTATGTGATAAACTTCAGTTGTATGTTTTTATTACTACACAGTGGTCTATGATGCTTTAATAAATGCCCTTGTCAATGAACGAATGAACCCACAATCTTTATTAATTGCTCTGATTTAATACTAACAATATTTTGGCTATCAAATTTTTTATATACTGATACTAATACTCAATAGCGACAATATGAAATAGTGTTATCTCTTTGAAGATATGAAAGCCTGTTTGTCCTAGGAATAAGTTTCAAGTCTACTGTGTAACAATGTAGATTGCCATAATACCAGTGCTTATTTATAAAAAGTGAGGTGCCCGCCGGAACTGTAACCTATTTAATGTGATTAGTGCCTATTTATGCCAACATTTTTATTTTTTGCGTAAGAGAGGTACCGAAACCCCGGTCCGCCGCAAATCGAGCACTGCATAATACTATACATAATTTAAAACGTACTGCTAAACTCTACATTTGTTAACATCGTGTTCAAGCTAACTTCAATGTCTCAACCATACACTCAAGATTTTTCAATAAGTTATATCTAATAAAATGTAAAAAAAAAAAAAAACAATTGCTTATACTTTTGCAGGACCAAGTTGGTGTGAAACCTGAGTTCTGCCACATAATTGGCCACAGTTTGGGAGCACATCTCGCTGGTTATGTGGGCAACAATCTGAAGACCAAATTTGGTCTAACATTGGGAAGAATTACAGGTAAAAATGCTTCAAATTTGATATTTTGTTTCTTTGAAACCTGATTGTTACGTAAGGGAGGATGTAAGAGACTGGCGAGTCTGTAAATATACAAAATGTTGCTGGTTTTACGGGTTTCCCTAATTTTGTTGTTGTACACAAGCATAGGCCTGAAAAAAGTTTTGATGTTTGGTTATTTGTTTTTAGTTTTTCTGGAGTTAATCCGTAACTTTTGGTGTTACAGGCTTAGACCCAGCTGAGCCTCACTTTAGCAACACAGACCCTGTTGTGAGGCTAGACCCTTCTGACGCCATCTTTGTTGACACCATTCACTCGGACACCACTCCATTCATTCAAGGAGGTAATTAATCCAATGTTGTTTTAAAAGGGTTTCAGTAAATAATTCTCACAAAAGTTGATGTAGAAAACCTACAATATATCTCCTGTAAAAGTCAAAATGGTTGAAGAATGTAATGTTGCCAGGTCTGGGAATGGAGGAGCCCATTGGTCACTTGGACTTCTACCCCAACGGTGGGGCGGACCAGCCCGGCTGTAATGAGGGAGTCATGAAGTACATCAACCAAGAGAAAGGCAGCTTCTTTAAAGGTACACTTTTTCCCTCCCAATCTTGATTATATTTTCATTGAGTATTTTGCATTTTAACTACCCTACAGCAAACTTATAAACTTTAAAATAGAGTATAAAAATATACATACTAGGGATTTAATTAAATTTGTATACCATTTACTACTAAAAAGCTTAAAAATTCAAAAAAGATTAATCTCTGTGTCTTTAGATCTTGATAAAACACAAGACGAAAAAAGTTTGTATGAAGTAATTCTGTATTCTTATCATATGCAACATATTATGTGGGGTCAAAATACATTAACATACAGTATGTTCACAGTGAGTATGAAATAACTTGTGTATATAACTTTGTCGAATACAGCCAATTTTGTGGAATCAATCATAACTACAATGAATATAGGCTTATCTGACCTCTTTTTGAATAGGCTTACAATTAAAGCCGGGTTTTCCTAGCCGTGCAAGTGGAGAGCGGACTCCCCTTGTCTTAGGTAATTTAATGTTACTGTTTTCCTAGAAGTACACATGTTACATCGGAACACCATGTTAATCTCTTTTCTGCTCTCTGCGTTCCTCTCTCCGCTCTCCGCTTCCGCGCCTAGGAAAACCCAGCTTTAAGGATGAGGCAGACAGACAGAGAGATAATTTTCTTAAGTCAGTACCTACATGGGTAAAACTTTGCTGATTAAACAAAAAACATTAAAATTATTTTAAACGGCTTATTGTAGTTTGACTGATGATATTTGTTGCAAAAATGTTTAACACTCATAATTTTAAAATATCCATTAAGTACAGATAGAATAGATACTTAATAGTGATTATTTGGCTAAAACGCAAAAACTCACAAAGAGAGTTAAATTTGATTACCTACAGTTTTAGTTCTGAAGAACACTTCCAACAAATTTGTTTCATTGTATGCACAAATCTTGTATAATAATTTCTGCCGGTTTAATATAGGGTAATGCGGTTGGTGTGTATAGTATACTGATCTTAGAGATTCTCTTATGCTTCTTCATCCACCGCACTTCCACAAAGTGCATTTTCTATATTTTCCCACTTATTGACAGGTGTGCGAACATTCCTGGGCTGTGATCACATGAGGAGTCACGAGTATTTCATAGAGTCTGTTAACACTGAGTGCAACTTCCTGGCAGTCGAGTGCGAGAGCTACGATAAGTTCTTGGCTGGGGAGTGCTTTGAGTGTGATCCATACAAGGTGAGCGAAATATATGAATGTGTTTCCTTTTAAGATTCACCTGTAGTACAAGTATGCCTGCTAAAACTCCCAAAAACAAAATCAAACAAATTCTGGCTTTTTACCAATAATACCTAGATTGCTACTTGCATTGTATTTGGCATTAACTCAAGTTTGTGTTGTGTATGTGTGTTTAGAAAGACGGCAAGGTGTGTGCCCACTTTGGCCTGACGTCCGTCCAGTCTGTCCACACGTCCTTTCTACAAGACTGGCAGAAAACCGACCGTAGCTTGGTCAGGCTGTACACCATCACTGGAGCAGAGTGGCCTTACTGCAGTGAGTAATCTATTTATTTTCAGGCAGTAGTTAACGCAAAATGTGTATATACTTGACATTTTAAGTACATTTTTGGAACCATACCACACATTACCTCACATATTGTCATCTTAACACCATATAAACTAAGACTGCACTTTTCCAGGATCATTATACCGAGTCACAACTGTTATCTCTAACTCATCCGCCAGTTTGGAACATGGTGGTGAGATCGGAGCATTCGAGATTGAAATCATCGGAACTACCAATAAAACTCCAGCAATCAGCTTGTACAAGTAAGTGTGATGTCTTGTAATGTATGTAATCGTACAAAACCAGGTGTGAGTGTTTCTCTCTCTTAGTCAACTTCTGCACCTCTTGTTTTGGTGTCTTTTATGATCTGGTCTGTATGATATGTGTTGGTTAGGGTCCTCCACATTCCACAGACAGATTAAAAATTAGAAAACTAATGTTGACCAATCAAACGTTTTTTGGTGTCTTGCTGGCCAATAATTCACTTCTTAAGCCTGGTATAGGAAAGCCTAAAGGTTGTTTAAATACCTAACCTACATATTATACCAAAACAGTGTTTCAATTTTAAATCTCCAAAATTGATGTGTCCAGCAAACAAACAAGAGTGTTGTAATGTTCCAGAAGCCAGGGAAAACAGGTAGTTGACACTTCAGGGTTCCTCATAGCAGTAAAATTATGAAATTATTTCCCTACAGTAGCATGAACAACATGTTTAGTAGAATCACTATCTGACTCTTATGAATCACTCAAGGGGATTTGAATCACTTGCACATTGTAATGTAACCTACATGAACTTACATCTTTGAAGCACAAATGATTTACCCTAAAACATAAAAATTACCACATTTAACATCTTTAACAAACAGCTTTGGGAAGAAACTGTGATTAAAGTTGGTGAGTGTTTACAGGGAGCAGTATTACAAACCAGGCAGCCATCACAGACAAGTAGTGGCTGGGACCAACGTGGGGCCAGTGAAGAGTGCGATGTTGAGGTGGAGACATTACACGACGTTCAACATCCTCACCTGGCGCTTCCAACTGGCAACACTTCATGTCAAACATGTTAGGATAGATAGTCTCGACCACAAACAAACGTAAGTCAAAGTTGTCAGAGTCTTTTTTAATAAGTCTTGCTTGGGATTTTTTCGGTTAATCAGATCAACCTCTGCCATTCAGCCAAAACTGGCTGGGTGTTGAAAATATTTATTCGTAGAACAAATGAATAGCAGATAACTTACCTGTACCAGCCTCTTCCACCCTTCTCTGTCTTCTGCCAAGTTGATGTGTGAACCTATCGTCCTGATTTTGTTCAATACTTGGTCAGTTCATCTCAATTTCGGCCTTCCCAATGGACGTTTACCTCCAGGTGTGGCTCTTCAAACTTCATACAGTCTTGTTCATTTCTCTCTTCTTAGCACATGCCCTATCTAACTTAACCTTCTTCCTTTAACCATTGCAACAAAATCAGGGTCGGTGTATAGTGAGTGATCTTAGCTCTCTATTATTCCTTATCCGCAACATTTCTCCCTCTTGCACTGGTCTATATATTTTTCTTAGGACTTTCAAAAACTATTTTCAAAAACCATGAGATTTTTTTTTTTTTTTTTTGGACAATACCCATGTCTTGTTTCCACATAACAGAATAGGTTGAATTATTGTCTTATACAACTGTAAAGATGAGATTAACTTCTTGTAGGCTCCCAAACACTTATTGGCATTTGATAACTTAGTATCTTGTCGTATTTTAATTTTTAACTTTTTACAGTTACCCCTAAATATTTGAAACTTTCTGTACAATTTACTTCCATGTAGTGCAGGGTGGGAAACGCCTCTTAGGTTGACTTGGAATGGAACTTTTGAGGTAGACGAAAGGCCGGCAACTCAAGCCCGGTCCTCCAAGGGCTTGTGGGGGTTATACCAACAACCCGCCCCAGAAAACATACAAGTTACAAAACGTAGTTACCAAGCCTCAGAAAAAGCAGATAGCTTACCTTATAAAAAGTTTAAGTAAGCCCTACACACAGAAAACCCACAACCTGTTTGTCCAAAACACAACTCTTGTATGAACGTGACAAAATCCACCAATTGATAAAATAATGTGTTTTCTGTGTGTAGGGCCTATCTACTATGGCCTAGCTGGACTTTTTCTGACGTGAGCTAGCTTCTATCCATTTGTAACAGATCTCCAGTCCCAGACCTGACTGGTTTGATTCAACGAGGTTGTACTGTTTAAGGTTCTATCCTGACTGGTTCAACTTAACAAGGTTGTTCTGTATTTTGAGGTCCGATCCTTACTGGTTTGACTTAAGTTTTATAACTGGTAGGCTACATATAAAGTTTGCACTCATGTATCACCGATTTTTTCAGCAAGAGTTAATTGTTTCTAACATTCTAATCCAAGCTAATTTACATTTTAAATTTAACTCCTGTTTTTCCAATGTATATTTAATCACCTGTCATTTATTTCCAGGATATTCTTATGCCCTAAGAATGAGTTGGTTACTTCGGGCAAAGCTGTGCCTATGTACGAGTGTTCCTCGTAGTTGTTAAATTTTATCATTAGTTTTAACAGATAGCTTATTACCACCAAACTGTATTCAACAATCTTAGATAGTTGTGATGTGTATTTGTTCCTAATTTATTGTATTTTGTAGTAACCTTTTTATACTTTATGAAATGTTATTAAATACTTTTGTAATATTTGTATTTTACTGTTTCCTCCCATATTCCTAATAGAACTTCAGGCTTGCTAGACAGATAGAACCATTTTTTATTTTTGTTTAATTCATTTATTAGAAATTTCTTCACTGAAATATTTGGCAAACAAAAATAGGTATTATGCTTTGAACTAATTTTCAAAGGATAAATATTGATTTATTTTTACCAAAATCCTGTTTTTAAATTCTTTCTAGAGTCTTTCTTGTTTATAAAATACCCTCTTACCTGTCAATTAACGCAATTAACACATATGAGATACCTGCTCAAATCGCTTTTGAACTGAGGTAGTTAGACGAGACAAGATATGACCGTTAAATTTTGTAGATGTAGTGCCCATGGACTCTATGAACCAAAGGCAAAGGTAAATTTAATTTAATATAAAAGAAACCTCTTGTGTTTAGCTTGTTTTAGGATATTTTGATCAAATTTGACAATTTTTTAAATTCTATAGCTTACTAATAAAATGTTGTAAAAAATATTTAAAAACACACTTATTTCTTCCCTATAACAGCAAACCTAGGTAGGCCAACTCGTTAAATCTAACTATATTTAAATAGGGAATACATATGACTTTTTCAAAGAATTTTTTTTTAAATTCCAATCAGACTAATTGAAATCAGCTTAGTCTATAGGTTTTCTGCAGCGGTGGTATTTAACTTAGTTTCTCAATAAGTGGACATATTTCGATTTATCTTGAATACATAGTGTATAGAAACACTCTGGAAAGATTTGTTGTAACTTATTGTTCCTTAGGTCATAACTCTACTTGATTTTTACAAATGTATATCCATAACTTGGGAAACTCTCAAGCAATTAACTTCAAACTTTGTACATACCTAAGTGGTACACAAATCATGTGTTCTGAATGCATTTTGAAGAGGATTAAATTACTGTTAATATCGTACCATAAAGCCTGAAAATCTTTGAATGTAGACAAAAATCAGCAATTTTAAACTGCTTTAACTCATTATAGAATTGTTACCTACTTTAAAATTCTAAAACCAGGGTCGCATAGATTGTTCTTTGTTCTGTAAAACCCCTCATTGTTTTTTACTAGCATGTATGGGTAGTTTACCAAGACAGTTGCCGTGAAGGTCTGCAAGCGCTTCTCGCGGCGCTTTTCAATGGCGCAACATAGCTAACTGAAGCCCGAGCTGAGGTAGAGCGCACCCTTAACAAGAGCAAACAACCTTGTTACATTGGTTTATCATTATTGTATTAGGCTACATTGCTAACCACAATTTAGTTTGTTTCTGTCCTTCATTGTGTGAAAAACTATAGTCAAATCAATAAGTAATAGCATACCGGTACTCTCAATGACTTCAAACTAATAAAATTCTAAACATAAGGCACAGTGGACTGAGTATAATATCAGTTTTAGTATGTTATTGTACTGTTGTCACAAAGCTGGCAACGTCTGCTGAGTCATTGTCAAGGGACACTGCCATCTGACAAGAAAAACTATTTAAGTTATAGGAATAAGAGTTAAAAGCTTGGTTATGTTTTTACCAACCGTACTAAAATAGGGCAACCTGAACCATGGCCACACCACTCCAGGCCGCAGCCTGGTAGAATTTGCAACGTTGCAAGTGGTGTTGTCTAGCACCAGGTCCCATAAGATAACATGGCAGACAGAGCTCATTATTTCGCGTATTCATTTAAATTTATGAACATAAATTTATTAAAAGATTGAAAAATCTATTTTTGTAGGCCTAACTTACATTAAATTGGGGTCAATAATTTCATAGCACAGCAATCAAGCTTTTGTATTCTTAAAAAAATACACAAATTACCATTACCCGCCTCCAAACAAAATAGCTGTTACAACCTTACTTGCGATGTTGCCACTTTGAAGGCCGCGGCCAGGAGTTAAAGGTGTCCGTGCCCTAACCCACACTACCTATATTGACTAGGCCTACAATAGATTTAGTTATTTATGGTACTACTGTGAGGCACATACCAATTAATTATGAGGGCACAATCAAAGTAAATACAATGGCAAATTAATAATTTGTTTATTTCCATAAAATAATACACAAATAAAAAAATTCTATCCTAGGCTACACTGTTTGTTTAAAAGTTGCCACTGCAAGTAAACTTACAATGATTGACAAAGCCTACCTCACTTTAGTGACCATAAAAGTCTTTTGTTGATATTTTACTTGCTACAACATCAAGCAAACTTGAGACTTTCATTTCAGAGTCTGTGATTTTGTAGGTTTTCCTAACCAAACCTACATCAGTTAGACTGCACAGCTCTGACATGGTTACCACTTTGCCTTTGATTTTATCCAAAATATTACTGAGATTTCTGTCATCAGAAAATGTTGCAACAATCATACTGCAGTCTTTGTCATCGATACCAAACTTCAAAAGGGACTGACTTATATTTGTTGATATTGAAAGGTTGAAGAGTATTTCAGAATATATTGATTTTGTTATCAGTTTTCCAAGTGATTCCGCTAGCAAAGCTTTATTAGCAGCAACTCCTATTTGAAAAATATCAAGAATAAGACTAGGTTTTATTATTGCACATTCAAGTTCTCCAGAAATTACTTGCTTTCTAACCTCAGGAGCATTATCGGCATTGACCACCAGCACACAAGATAAACATTTATCTTGATATAAATTCAGTTTTTCCACACAAGGCATGACTATAAACACGATTTAAAAGGTCAACTATATAACAAAAAAGCACTTACGCATGTAGACCTACTTGAAATATTATTATCATTAGTTAAAAGTTGAACAGTTAAAGATAAGTTAAAATTCCAGATTGTCTGTTCAGTGTTCAATACATCAACTGTTTGTTGAGGTTATGTTTATATTAGAGCAGTTTTTACAGCTGATCTTTTCCGATAGGACCACTAATTGAGAAAGACCTCTAGGATAAAATAGCAGTTTTGACCTCCCATAATCATTGCCCAATGAAATTGTAATGGTATGGTAGTGACACCAACCTGGCATTTGATCGACGATACTGTAAACCAAGGAGAATTACAGGACTGGCAGAATACAATCATACAATATACCCTTCAGACAGCCGCGAAATTTAATATTACTTCATCTATGATTTAAGTAAGACCAGGACCAGATACTGATTATAGTAGGTACATATTGCCAGTATAGATGTTTTATCTATGGTGAGGGTGAGACCTATGCCCGGGACCGATTTACGTTTTCATTTTGATGTCCCCAGAGGCCAAAAACATCATTCGTTCAAATTTTTATATTTTGTGTGTGTCCGTGAACACGATAACTTGAGACGATAATTTTTGTCCGATTTTGATGAAATTTGGTTTGAAGGTGTAAGGCAGGCTAAACTTGAATGAGTCGCGAACCAGAATGGTGGGACCATGGGAACGGGGTAAAAATTGGGTTTTCTAATTTTGTACCCTCTAAACACAAAACTTCCCAGTTTTTCTCCGGACCTTTTAAAAGAGCTTAAAAAACAAATAATTTGCCAATTTGGTATATCAAAGTGCTTTAGTACAATCATAAATAAAACATTGTTTTAAACCAGATTTGATTAATATCAATAACTCTCTCAATGCACCGTTACAAGTACAACGTGGTTATAACGCAGTTTCTACCAATAAATTGGCCGAAATCTTTAAAATTAGAATTCAGGGGATTTTCCGGGTAATCAAAACTTGATTCCGGGTAATTCTGGGGATTACCACCGAATTTGCGGGTAAAATGAACAAGTTGTGTTGGCAACGCTGCTGTTGACTGCTTTACTTTGTTTTTGTTTTTGTTTTGTTTTGTTTTCTTTTTCTTGTCGTGTGGTGGTGGTGGTGTGGACAGAGGAAAGAAGTGCGGAGCGGAGTTTGATCGTTTGATGGGGGGTGCGGGTGGGGTGAAGGGTGAGTTGCATTCTTCAAAGAAAGAAGAGCAAGAGACAAAACACTGACTTTCAGGTTCATAAGGCCTTTTTTTCTTTATTTCTTGCAATTCGAGATGGTTTGTTTATACAAATGTATTAAAACCATATAGCCTAAACAATTTTTAAAATAACACAAAACACAGTAAGGTATGGCCTTGTTAGGCCTTCTTCGAATAAAACTAGGAAATACAACTAATTAGAACCCAACATAACTTAAACATGTCAGTCAACATGGATTACAGTCCAAACTTATTATGCCGCTTGTGTTTATTGGATGGCAGTGGTAATGTGTCAATATTTTCCAATTACAACGACAGCAGATCTGGGTTCTTGGCTCATAAAATTATGCAAATAGCTAATGTACAGGTAAACATTTTTTAGGTTATGATAATTTTAATATAAGTAGGCATAAACTTAGGGGAGATTGGGTATTTCAAAGACAATTTTCATCTAGGCTGTTCAATAACATTAATTAATTTCGTTAGGAGTTTTAAAAAAGACCGACATAGGTAGACCCCTACTAAAATTTTGTGAATGAAATAATCTAATATAGGGTTAGGCCTAGTCCCATGTTTTTCCTGTTATGCCTATGCTATGTATTTAATTCATTTTATTAGTGAAGCATTGCTTCGAATCTCTTTGGGCTTATAACACTTATCAGTTGGGTACACTTTCTGTATCTGAGTCGTCAAAAACAACCGAATGAAAATATCGATTGATTTCTTATCGATTGTTTAATTCAATATTGTTTGGTTATTGAATTAGGTTAACCTAACTAACCAAACGATATATCGAATGAAACAGTTGAATAATCGATATAGGTATCAAATGAAACAATCGAATAACTTAATCGATATACTATCTATCAATATTTTCATTTGGTTGTTTTTGACAACAGATATGGAAGTCATATTGAAATAGTTTTTAATAGCCTAGTTGGACAACGGATCTATAAATGTTGGGAATGTGGCTGATCCGGCAGCAAGGCAGACCAGGTCACACACACAGTGAGTTCGATAGTTGTGCTGCTGTGTGCCGCTAATTGATAATATTAGGTGTCTAAACTTATTAAATTTAATTTTTTTTCTTAAGAGCACTAAAGAGTTCAGATCAGGGTTGCCACACTTCTCAATTCTATTGGGATTTGAAGTAATTCTTCCGTGATAATTTTCTAGTCATTATGTTAGATTTTTCAGCAATTCATCTATTAAGTTACCTACTCAAGCGAGCTGAAGCGATTATCGGCTGGAGTTAATGTTTTGTTAACTTACTGTTTTTTTTTTTAACTTACAATAATAGCCTAGTTGTAAACAATTAGGTAACTTACTGACTGGCAAAGTTTTATCACAGATTGAGTTGGCATGTCAAAGCTCTTGTTCTACTGAGGTAGAAATACTTAGTCAAACGGAATATAAATGTATTTAGAAGATAACTTATGAGGTTTTAGCCACCTAAAGACATATAATTTTGATTCTGTACAATTTCTTAGATTTTTGAGCATGTAGACTCAAAACTTAACCCCTATCGTCCACAAAATGGAACTAGGATCTCATCAATTCATATCTCCGAAGTTATGGAGCAAAATCGTTTACCGTTTATGATGAATTTTCCAAACAGCTCCTATATAAAAGCAGCTTTATCTGTTACGGTACCTACCTACTCTTTTTTGGTTACGAGTCCTATCATCAAAGCGTAGACACATAAGTTTTCAAATCGTTTAATAGAAATAGTTGCAGAATAAAAACGTCTAACTTAAGTTGCTGTGAAGATATTTTGTAAATACAGATGAAATATTCTCTCCATTTGAAGATAAAACTGATAATGCTAACAATAATCCAAATGGATTATTGAGCCCCTCAATGTCTTTGTTTCTATAGTTGTTTTTTCTTAGTTGTAACTTAGAAACCAGCTCTTTCAGTTGCAAGTTAGACATTTGTATTTATCAGGATCATGTTCGTAATTATGTCATGAAAAAAATAATAACTGGGGTACCTACCGGTACCTCTTTTTTGCTTGGCTGGTTTCTAGTGTTCTAGCTTGTGCGCATGTAATCGAGGTAAGCTCCTAATGATGTTCCTAGCAGGCGTTTTCAAGTTTAGTCCTCTCAATACTAAATTATTTATTTCAGCGTCATTATAGTCTGTTTATCGAGAGTCTGAAGTAAAGCACCGCCTCACGATGGCGCGTGCGGTGGGTTAGGGCCAATGAGGGTAGAGGTTGTCACGTGTTTTGTCAAGCGACTTGGGGGATGATTCAGAGTCGTTTCCTCGAAACAACTTTCTCTTCACATCTTCCCCGTCCAACCCTTATGCGCTCAGTGGGTCAGTGGTATGTCAGCTGTCGCACCATAACATTAAAACGATGTGTATTCAATGGTAGACTAGTTGCGTTTGCTGAGGATACTGCACTGTTTTACAGCAGTTCAAATCTAGAGCAGCTTAGACAAGAAATGCAAGCTGATATAAAGATGCCAAGAGTGTGGTTCACAAAAAACTTTATGGTCATGAGTCCTAAAACAAAGTACATAATCTTCAATTTGTCTCGTATAATTTGTTTGCTGAGCCATTAAAATATCATTCTTTAAATTGTAAAATGGATCCATATTGTCAATGCACATTGAATAGGTAAAATCAATAAAATATCTACCAGGGTTAAATGTTGACTCAAAATTATCTTGGATAATACGTATTGAGGCAGTGAGACACAAATTATTGAAATATATCCGGATATTTTATATGTTAATTCAATTCAATTATCAATTATTCAATTATCAGTTATCAATCATTGAGATGGGGACGCCACCTAGGTGCGTATTTTAACCCAAATATGAGTGAAGGATGAGTGTAGAATGGTGTGATGATCTGTGTAGCTTTGTTACTGACTAAGATCAGCTGTTTCATTAGCCAGGATCATTTATTTAAAGCCCAATGATCAGGAACAGCTGGGTCCAGTTTCAAACCATCAAAAAGCTACTTACTTTTCTCAGGATCGAACCGGCGACCTTTTGATTACTAGGCGAGCACTATATCCACTCAGCTACCCATCAAGGTATCAATGTTGAGGCCAATCTGTAGAAAAAATGTTTTGAGAGCTATATATTATATTCTCTGATAAGTTCAAAAATCGAGTACGACATTGAGGTGTGGGGAGGAGCATATTACTCAAACCTAATACCAATAATAACCATACAGAAGTATTTTGTCTGCATAGTATCCAACAAAACTAAATTCGAACATTCTGAACATTTGTTTAAAGATTAAAAATTACTTAGATTAAGAAATTTGTATGTTTTTAAACTTTTAAAAGCTTTCTATGATAAAAAAGGGGAAGATCGCCACACCATAGGATCTCGGGCATTGACCCTTCGGAGATGTTTCAATGTGTAAGTCCCTAAACCAAATTCAACAGCTTTCAAAAACTTTTATCTTTATCTTGCTCCAACTTTCTTTAATTACTTGCCGATTGATATAAATACATGTTTCAATTAGGCCTAAAGAAGACTAAATTTAGACTATTTTTTTTTTAGGCCTAGATTTTTGTTATCTTACAAAAATGTTTCTATCCTCCAACGATTCCAATGCATACTATCAGAATTGTTGCCAAGTTTATCTATGATGTGTATCTATTTCCCAATTCATCACATTCTATTTCTATATGTTAATGACCAACATATTACTTCTAAACCACATAGTTTTTATATCCTAATTGCATATAGTTTAACACTCCCTGGTTGTTATTTGTACATTTTTCTCCTTAGTTAGCAAAACATTAGTCATCAAAATATTTAACTATACTATAACACATTGATAAACTGAATAGATTTATTTTATGTTGTGTTAATTCATAGACTACTTTCTGTAAATAGGAATAATATGTCACAAATTTGTAACTGTACATAATAAAGTAGGCTAATTTTAAAAACAACGAGGGCTAAACAGGTAATTTATATTGGTTTTGTTGCAAGAGTATCTTAGTATACAGATTGATACAAATTGATGTAGGTAGTTAGTTGATTATTGCAACATACTGGTACTAATCAAAAGGTTAAACGAATTTCCATTACCTTAATAACCAGGCGCGAATCAAAATATCAAAATTATATCCTAACTCTAACTGTATGCTTGCTCTTAAGGTGTTGATAGAACGTGGAAAGTTAAAATTGTCGCCCAGCCTGCCGAGGCCATAAATTTAGTAGGAGGCGGTGCTTCACTTCAGACTCTTGATGAACAGACTATAGCTTGAATAGCTTTTGGAGAAGCTACTCTGCTAACAAAACATGATCCTCTTCTTCAGAACTGTCATCTACATACTCTTGTTCTTCATGATCTGGTAAAATGAAGTCGGAATCTTTGTAGTGTCGTCAACTTCACTTTCACTGCTAGTCTCGTCAGGGATCCAGTAAACCCACATAATATCTCCTAACCGTGGATCTCGGAATTCAAAACGTCCTGAAGTCAAGTTTGATAAGTTTGTCCGTGCTTTAACCATCATCCATGAATAAAATACTGACTAACTTACACCTTAAAATAGTCTGAAATTAAATTTACAATCCTTAACCACATCACTTGATCATTAAAAAGTAATAAAAAAATAAGTTTTAAACATAAACGAAAAACATCAGTGTGTGTGACCACGTGTCACCTTAACACTAACAGAAACTGTCGGTCAAGGACTTAAAACATGCTGTGTAAAATTAAAAGTTCTTTCTCTTAGATACTCTAAAATTATATACCTTTTAATGTTATTTTCAGATGTATGAGGGTGATGGCTTACCCCCCTTAATATGTCGATCGTGTTTGAGCAAAGTCGAAGCATTCTTTCAGTTTAAAGTTCAAGTAGAAAAGTCTGATTTCTACTTGAGACAACAAGTTTGCTCTTTTCAGGTATGTAGCTAATATAAAACTGAAGTCTTTCTTAAATAAAATAAAAATGTTGATAAACAGGATTTGTTCTCAATAATCAGGCCTATCACGCAAAAGTCTGTTCACAAAGTTTACGCGGTTTGAGGGGAAGTTCCCCCACTACATTTTTTACCTACGTTGCAGCTGATTGACGTTTTGACAAACCTCACCTGTCGAGTTATTGTTTTAAAGGTAAGATCAAGTCGAGGGGATAGATTGCTTCCCCTAAAACCGCCTAAATTTTGTGAACAGAGTAATTTTCATAATTTATAATCATGATCACACTAGTTTGTCCCTTGCATAGGTTTGCTGGACATTCTTTGTAGTTGTAAAAAATAAAAAAAAGTGTCCAAAGGATAAGTATGTGTTGTGTACGGTATCAAGAAACTTTGTGTTAGCGAATTTCCCTACTAGGAAAGTAGTTGTTACCGGTACAGTAAGTAGGTGACATGGTGGTAGACCTCGGACCGATATGCTTTTTAATTTTGATGTCCCCAGAAGCTCATTTTAGCTCATTTTATTGTTGAATTAAATCCTATATTTTGTCATTTGTGAATTTAATTTTGTCCGTGATATCACAATTAAGTGAATCGCGTACAGTGACGACGACACTTTTCTCTCTGGTACAACTACAGTGAAGAATAAGATTAATACAGTTTGACAAATCAGAAAAATATATTCGGTAATCGCACCGACAAAGGTTACGACAAAGTGTCCTTAAATGTACGTGAGTTGTCGATGAATTTTTTATCCAGAATGTAGTAGACACCCTGTGTTAATAGATTTTTTAATATCACAACATGAAAAGTGTCTGTAGATTTTATTCTGATGTGGGATTATATTTTCTTTACTGTCTATCGTTCTTATTTTTTGTATGTAGGTTTTCCAACGTTAATATGAGTTGTGTTTTCAATATTTTAAAAACACTTAATCAATGTTGCCGAAAAAGGTTTACTAACTTTTTTGTATAAGAAGAAATAAGTAGTAGCCTAAATGAATAACAAAGCACCCCTGGAAACATGGATTGAAAATTGCCTAAAAACCTATATAAAACTGTCTTCTGCAGATTCATAGTTAATAGTATGGATTAATTAGTATGGATTAATAGTTAATGTAAGAAAGTAGTTTCAATCTATGATCATTGAGTACATTTTAATGACAGGTTTGGTTTGCAACTGTTTTTATTTTAGAGAACCATTTCTACCAACTTTATTTTACAATACCAATAAAATATAGTATCGTAATACGTCTACCAATTAGTGAAAATTTCATCATGTCAAAAGGGTATTTAAAATTAAATTTTTTTTTTAATTCATTGATTAGGGATTTCAATTTTATTATTGCTGGTTTCACAAAAGTGTCTGCACAAGAATTTGCATTTACAAATAATCAATTTACAGGGAGATGTTTTGACATCTACGACTGTAGACAAAACTTCAGAAAATGTTAAAAATGAGCCTCTTTCAGCCATCAAGGTAAGAAATTGTACAGCATTTGGTTCCTTACAATCCGTAATGTGTATTTTAGCAAACATTATTATTATACAGGGTTAGGCAGACCACCCGTACACAATGTATAGCGGTCAAACCAATTTAGATAGATCGTTTGTAACAACTTAACCCCCCTATTTCACCCTGTAGAATTTAGGGAAATTATTTTGAAATCTCCCAAACACACGAAAATGATAGTTTTTCGGGGATGGAGGTAGTTTATGGAAAATTTTCTAATGTCGAGGTAGTTTAAGTGATACCTCATTTTAAAGGTAGGGTAGTCTATTTGTTCACTGAAAATTTTGATGAACAATTTTTAACTAATCGTGACACTCATTTACAGAGTGTTCTTTTCATTAATTTGGGATGAAATTGTGATCTGTTACATTAATGTAGGCGGTTGCCATAAAACTAACTGTAAGATCCTACATTTTAGACATTTTTGAACATCCTGTACATGAGCATCAAGATAAGTTAAAATATTTTTTTTATAAAAATGTCCAGTGAACAAATTTGAACATTTTCCAAAAACTACCCCTACATCCATTTGTTTGGGGGGATTTCAAAACAATTTCCCTAAATTCTACGGGGTGAAAATATGGAGGTTTAAGTTGTTACAATCGATCTATCTCGATTAGTTTGGCCGCTTTACATTGTGCACTGGTGGTCTGCCTCGCCCTGTAATTCTATACAAAAAAAATCAGTAGGCCTAGAGTAATAATATTTCAAATTTAAAGATAATAAGTAATTTAGTGTAGTATTGTTGGGGGGCAAGGTCTGTCTAGTAGTTAGAGCGCGGGACTCCGGTTCCAGGGGTTCAAATCCCGCCAAATCACCAATGGATTCTATCTAAGTGATAATGCCAATGCCATAACCCCTAGGTCTAGCCAAGGCCCCACTAGAAAAACAGGCCATGCTGCAGGATCCATGATGTCACACTAGTGGATAGATTTCATTGATAAATTCATTGCCATCACCATTCCCATATGTTTTAGGTAAATAAACAAGCTGGCTGTTTGTAAGATATTAATGTTAAGAGTTTAGTACAACTATCCACCACTGTGATGTAGTGTTGCGCTGCCCGTGCTGCAGCATGGCCTGTTTTTCTAGTGGGGCCTTGGTCTAGCCTGAAGTAATGTGAAAAACAATTCCAGGCTCGTGCCTAGCGTCCTTGGAAAAAAATTAATATTGTTACAATATTGGTAAGATTTCTTCAATTATCATTTTACAAAAACAAACTGTAATTGAAACTTCAAACTAACACATGTAGTTTAAACTGAAGTTCACTGACAAAGTGTGATTTTACTTAGAAATAAGTAGAAGCAAGTATGGTGTACAATTAAACTTAAGCTTCCAAAATGAAATTTAGATAGATAGGATAAGAGTAAAATACTGGAGTTCAGTGGTTTAAAATACCTCAAAGAATTATAATTGTGTGTACAATACCAAACCAATAGGAAGTTTCAATGTTGCAGAATGGTGTATATCTCTCTGACAGCTCTTGGACTGACGGTGTGCAAAGTTTTCCTGGCCTTCCAAGCTGTGAAACGCTGACTAGTGAACCAGTATCTGTGGACCCTCCACCAGTAAGCTGTACTAGTTTACAAATTATTATGAAACACTAGCAGAGTACCCGTCCTTTGTACGGGTTGAAACCGATTTAGTACGGATAGAATTCCGACTGGCTGCCGACTGTGTTGAGGTTTCTGAATTTACTTGCACTCGGTATTTGAACTCTTCAACTTGTTCAAATTTATGGTATAATACTTCAAAAAAATACCCTACCATTGCCCCCCCCCCCCCCCAGCCAAAATATACCAACTCAGTCTTTTCATTGTTTATTTCATTACCTATTTATCTATTAGAATCTCTGTCCTCAGACACTAAACACAACATTATCTACAATTACCAGTTCTCTTAAATAAGTCCCCATTTAATGCTCATACCTAGATTTCTGTTTCTTAATGCTTTGTATTGAACTCCTAGTACTTGGATATTGATTCTGTTAGAACAAATATTTGGTCGGTAGTGGATCTTCTTTCTTTGAAATCCAGCCGGATGATCCTCAATTATTTCTTCTAGATACACTTCTAGCCTATAAGTCTAATAACAATCTAAATACACTTGAGTCCCGCTAATCCGAACACAGTTAATCCGAACGTTCGCTTAATCCAAACGTGTTCCCGATATTATTTTTCAATAAATTTGCACTATACAAAAGACAGTGGGAAAGGTAAAATAAGTTGAAATGAAGTATAAACAAAGTAATCAATTAAGAAATACAATGGTTTATTTTACTAGGCAAAGATTAAACAAACAAAATGTAATAAAAGACAAATAAAACGAAAAACTATTTTGTAAGAAATATTGCACATACTGTACTGAAAAATGAACTTTAGTTAGGCCTACTTGTTATTAGACATGAAACCCGCATCGTCATTTGTTGTAGTTTTGATTATTGCCGCGTAGTTCCACCATTTTCTCATGAACATCACATCTGCAGGCGTGGCAGTAGACCGTTGCAAAGGGCGAGGTCAAATCGTCATCACTACCCTCCCCCTCGTCGCCCTGAACATTATTTTGCGTCACTGCTGCTATGATGTCATTGTCAGTCTCTGCACTACACCATCCATTCATCCACGCCCTCTTCGACCATGTTCTCTACGACCCAAGTTAACTGGGTTGTTTTTGTTAGGCGTTTCTTCAAAATCTAACGATGTCCATAACTTTTTCCACGATTTTCTTGTCGCTCCAGCTGTGACATTTTCCCAAGATTAGGAAACAAGGAAACAAGTTGAATAAAATTTAGCCTAATGCTACAAGATTTTTGGTAAATGTTTTTGTTTTGGTTCATAACATGTACCAAAGAGTAAGAGTAGAGTACATAAAAGTCCATAAAAACTGCACTTTGGCCTATTCACAATTACAAACCTCTCTTTCCTTAACTTAAACTGTTAAAGTAAAATACCAAGCCCAGCTTTTACAATATTATAACTTGATAAGCTACTAAAATTGAGATCAAACAATTTAAAACTAAATAAAGTGATCTAATACTTATTTTTCAGGAAGTTAATGTTGTTTTATCTGAAGAACCACATCCAACCTTTGTCAATTTGACAGAGGAAACCAGCCAGGAAGATAAAGCTCTTTTAGATTTGACTCAACAAGAAGGGAAATGCCAAAAGGAATCAAGTAGAATATCAGTAAACTACACAGAAAACACAGAAGAGCTTACAGAGAAAGATGTTCCTGACAAGCCAAATTACTTGAATACTGTTTTTCATGTGAATAGTTTCTTTAGTAGGACTGATGGCTTGGCTCTTGGTAATCAAAATGAAAAGGACAATGAGCTTTTTAATTTGGATAAAAAAGAGAGTGAAGGTATAGAAAATAATAATAGTTGTGCAGAAGAAACAAACATTGATGAAAACTATGAAAATGAAGAAAACAAGGAGGATGAAGAAATTGGTGATGATTGTGATAATGTGGATTCATTTAAGTCTGATGAAACACCTTCAGGGTCAAAAAATGAGAAAATTACCTACTGTGAGCAATGTGACAAACATTTTGATAAACCTATTAGCTTAAAGAAACATCAGTCAGTGCATCCTAAAGAGTCATTCAATTGTACGTTTTGTAATAAATCTTTCAAACATAGTTGGAATTTTCAGTCCCACATAAGATCACATACAGGAGAGCGTCCATTCGTGTGTTCCATCTGTTCCAAAACTTTTACAGACAAAAGTGCCCTCAACGCTCATACGAGAATAGCTCATTTTACAGAGAAAACTCACAAATGCACATTCTGTGGTAAAGCTTTCAAGCTGAAGAAACAGTTAGATAGACACGAACGAATACACACGGGACATCAATATCACCGATGCGAAATTTGTGGCAAGTTGTTCACTCAGAAAAGTAATCTCATGAAACATTCAGTGCTACACTCAGGAGAAAAACCTTATGTCTGTCCAGTCTGTGAAAAGCCATTTGCTCAAAAGGACAATTTAAACATTCACATCATTCGGCACCACTCGCAGCAGACCCCAGTGATTTGTGATGTTTGTGGTAAGGTATTTAAAAACAAGATGACCTTAGTGGGTCACAAAAAAAGCAAACATTCGGAAAACATTAAGCAGATTATTTGTGAAGTTTGTGGAAAGTTCTTCCCAGACAGGAGCTGCCTGAACTCCCATAAATGGGTCCACAACTCTGGGGTGCCGGTGCAGTGTGACATTTGTGGGAAAAGTTACCCTCACGGTAGAGCGCTCAGGGTTCACAAGCGAATCGTACATGCAGAAGTAAGAAAATACTGCTGCGATGTTTGTGGGATCGGCTTTAAAACCAGTCAGACGTTGAAGCATCACAAAGTGGTCCACACGGGGGAGCGTGCCTTTAGTTGTGAAGAATGTGGACGATCGTTTGGCCAGAAAACTGCTCTGAAGACACATCAACGAATACATTCTGGCGTGGAGCCGTACTCGTGTCCGCGTTGCGGTGAATCTTTCAAGTGGAAACAAACTTGTGACAAACATATTCTCAAGTGTACCGGTAAGCCTCGTCAAGCGGTCATAGACTATCGCATGATTACTGAAGATTATGAATCTGTTGCAAGGTTAAACGACCTTACTCCTGATACATGATTGCCAATCAAATATTTATATCTCCTAAAATGTACACAGCTACCTGAAGACGAACTATTTATATATTGCAGGACAGTATGATTTTTCAAGGCTCTTTAATTTTGATAAGCAAGTTTAAAGGGGGAGTTCATGAAAAAAAATGTGTATAACGATATTTTTACATATTTTGGTTTGAGGTTAAATTCCAAATATAAAATTTAAGACCGTACAATTTGTATTAACCTTGGAAAAAATCATTTAAGTCAATAATGCATGGAAATTTTTTCTATCATATAATTCATTGGATCATTTTGTTTTGAGTATTTTAGTAATACAATCTGACTAAAACTTAGTTGTTTCATCTACCTAAAGCCTATTTAATTCATATAGTATAACCTTTATGCTAACATATATTGGTCTCTTATATTGACTGCCTATTTATTTTGGAAGAGCCGGGGCCCAACAGCTGCTTTCAGATAAAGGCCCAACAGCTGACTCTGTGGATTCCCAAAATTTGTATCTTTTACCCAAGTACAATATAGCCCCGCTTCTAGAAGAGATAGAGGGATGATTTTTGGTTTATTTTGTTCAGCTTGTTCAATTCTATGATCTGTAGGATAGGCTTGAAGGAAAACCTAACAAAACATATTTTTAATACTAATTTTGTTGTTAATTTTCTACAAAAATCCTAATTAAAACATTAAAAATTGTGTAGAACCATTAATTGTTGTATTCAAACCAAACCCATCCTACAGATCACAGAGCATACTTTAAGAAACACTTAGAAACAAAAAGTTATAAATGATCTTTTATAGGTTTTAATCTAGTAAACCCATGTAAAACGTGAAAAATCACCCCCTCCACCACAGGGGGTGAAAAAATTCCAACCCATTTTTTTGTTTCTATGGTAATATTCAGAAATAGTTTCAATATTTTTGGCTTATAATTAAAGATTTTTAATTTTTTCATGAACTCCTCCCTTAAAAGGCTCTTACAACAATGAAATGTTTGTGAAGAATACTGACAATATTGTATACACCATTAAAAACTAGGAAATTTAATTTTTACATTTCTTGAATCTCAAATAATCTCTTGCACTCTTGAAACATGATATTTTAAATCATCTTAGTTTCAATTTAATTCTCTGTCCGCGCCTTGACAATAATTGTAATAAGTTGAATGTCATGTATATACTAAGAGCCTATCTCTACTCTATACTATTTGCAATTTATTGTTAACTTTGCCTGATTAAAGTTATTATCTTCTAACATACAAATTCTAATTTAGCTTTAAACGGTATGACTTGGTTGTTTTTTAATACATTATTTTTAATTTATTTTTTCTACTTAATTTTCATGTTTTACTTTTTTGAAAGGGAACGGTCCAAACCCTCTTTTATTAGATATGATTAACTGACGGTTGTCATATTTTAAACTTAGAGGACAAAATTTGACTGAATGCGTTGTTTTTGACTGGACAAAATACGGCCTAAAACTAGGCAATACAACCAAAATAAGTTGCATTAGCATTAGTTAATAGAATTTGTTATGTTAAGTAGTTTTTACAATATTGTTAAAAAAACGTAGTGTGGTGTTTAAACTGCTAATTTCAAAGTTCTATTCAATAGCTTTAAACAATTACAGTCTAGTATTATTTTGCATCACATTAGTATATTATAGTTTTATCCAAGATTCTTTTTTAGATTCTTTATTATATAATCAGTATTATATGTGTTAATTATTTTTTACCATGTATTTTGATAATTTTGTCTTTTTCATGTTACAAATACAGGGTGATTCACAATCAGATGCATTGACTTAGGAAGCAAACGAGAGTCTTTGTCTTTTAATCGTAAGTTTAAAATGTTTTTATTTTGTTACTACTATTATATCTGTTACAATGAACCTAACTGATAACTCCCGTTAGTTTATTAGCCTTGAATGATAACTTATTATAATTCTAAACGTTTTGAAATGAGCAGATCTCAATGTAAAAAAAAAAAAAATATGAAAGATTTAATAAAATTGTTGTGAATCACACTGTTTGTTGGAATGTATGAAGACATTCATTTTGTTCTTATTTGTAAATGACTCATGTTAGGATCGAGGTTGTTAGTTAAGATTGTTAAGTTATGTTATTTATTTTTGTTTATTCTCTATCAATGGAAACTGATGTAGTTTGCTTGTTTATAGATTATGGTTATAGGCTCACTATTGACATTTGATCAAAAAACACTTTCGTCCTTCCCTGTAGCAGCTAACCTAAGTACTCACTAAATTTAATCTTATTTAAATCATACTTATTATTATTTAATATTATAAATTTGGAAGTTTGTGTGTTTGAAGTTCAATCACACATTTTTAGTTGAAGCTCAATCACGCATTAACTACTGGTCGGATTGGGATGAAATTTAGCATTACAATAGCTCATATTCCTGATTAACATATAGGCCTATTCTAATCTCAAAAATCATTTTGGGCTCCGCCCCAGTGGCTCTGGAATTTCCTATGTTAACTTTTTGAGTATTTATTCAAGTTGGTTCTATGATGTTCAATAGCATTAACAATTTATAATGTTTACCAATAGGGTGCAGCACTATTAATATCTCTCTATATTTTAATTCATAACAACAGCTTAATTTGAACCTTGAACTAAACAGTTACAAAAAGTTGTGATGATGCACAATGAGAACTGTCAAAGTAGGATTATTTTCAGTTATGTTTTCAATTTCATAAATAATTTTTGATGTTGTGCAAATAGGGCGGTTCTATTTTTTTAAAGTGCATAATTCATCAACAATGACTTTCTCATTTGAAAGTGTATTGTGTTTGTATGTTTGGTTTCACCTAAAATAATGTCTGGGAATTGGAGTAGCGTGTTATATTTTTAGTGCATTACTGATCAAGTCAATGACTTGGATGGAAGACTAACATTAGGCCTATATAGTATATGCCAGTTTGGAGCATGTCACATGGTCAATCTGTGCAAAATACTTTACCAATTGAGACATTTTTTCCATGAATAGAGCCAACATACCACAGGCCTAGGACATGGTAATTTTTAATTTTAATACTCTCCTACGGGCTCTGCCTTGACGGCTTCCAAAGTTCCATGCTATTCTTATGAATACACTTAAAGACTTAAAGAGTCAGCAGGACCGCCAGCCATCATGGATTTTCTGCCCATAAGGGCAATGTTAATGGTTGAAGCATATTACATCATTGTTTATTAAGATAAAGAGCTGCAAAATATCTCATTTTAAAGCTATTGAAACCGCGAATGTGATTTGCTATCCACTTTTTAATTTTTATTTTTATTATTTTTTCAAACTAATTAAATATTATTCTAGAGGTTAAATACCGTTTTGTTGCCACTGTAATTCTCTGTCGTTTGGATGGCAACCGGTTTCGACACTCATGGTGTCATTGACAAGCCTTAAAAACGTGTTCTTGTATGGCCATACTGTGTTATTTATTCCTTAATATGTTTGTGCGTGTCTCGTGTATTTGTTTTCAAGACTTTATGACCACCTCCTAGGAGCGACCAAGGCTATTAAAAAGAAAAAGAGGTTGCCTCAGTCGCGCGTATGACGTCACCCGCCGACCCGGATCTGTTTACAAATAAATAAATGAAAAACAAACAACAATAACAAAGTACTTGACAGGTGACAGCTGTGTGAATTAAAAGCAGCACCGTCCGGGTCGGCGGGTGACGTCATACGCGCGACTGAGGCAACCTCTTTTTCTTTTTAATAGCCTTGAGGAGCGACAACACGTCTTTAAGGCTTGACAATGACACCATGAGTGTCGAAACCAGTCGCCATCCAGATGACAGAGGATTACAGTGGCAACAATAAGGTATTTAACCCCTAGAATAATATTGTTAGTAATCCGAAAGGCAACACCTCAAAGAATACATAAATATATGGACTTAAGCTGTGGTTTTCTCAGCCTCTAAAACACAAGTTTGAAAAATCCGCAAAGCAATTCACACGGAAAATATATTTAAGAATCACGTAACATTTTCTCTTTGGTAATTAAGCTTACGGTGCATGATTAATATGCTTCAACATGTTTTTGAAAAAAAGGCCATGCTGCAGCTCAACACTACGTCATAGTGGTGGATAGTTGTACTAAAATCTGACAAACAGCCAGCTTATTTACCTTAAACACATGGGATATTGCAGTGAACAAATCTATCCACTAGTGTGATGTCTTGTATTCTGCAGCATGGCCTGTTTTTCTAGTGGGTCCTTGTGACACTACTGGTTTAAACATTTCCTGTAAAACTCAGATGTAAACATGACGTTAAATCCATACATGTTATCAAAGTTGTCAAATCCTTTCCGAGCCAACGCAAAGATGGTGGGTGCTTTCCAATGTAACATAATAATTTATCTTTATTGTGATTGATGACGAATTTAGTTATTTAAATCGTTGGTTAAAATTAAGTTATTTATTGTATTAAATTTGGTATTTTTTATAACATTTTGTTAATGTTTAATATTTTATATGTTCCTTATGCAGATGACAACATTTTCTATCAATTATTTAAAATAGTTTTTATTGCATTGCTCTGAACCATATGTGTATACAGTATTGTAATAAAAAATATATTTTTGCAATATGTGTTTATTTGTTCAAATAATGACTGTACCTACTTCATATAGTGTATCGACTCTCAGGGTAGGGTTTGATGGAAAAGAAGTAGAATTTAAACTACTTACTCTGAGTTTCTTTCGTATAAAGTGCCACTGACATAAACAAATAAATAGCAGTGTTGAATTAATCTTCACACTTACTGAGATAGATTGCTTAGAGTTACCCATCCCAAAATAAGGATTTTTTCCAAATACAATAGTGAAAATTTGGTGAGAAATTATCACGTATTGTCCTGCATTATAAATATTGCTACTTACATGTTACTGGTCACTAAGAATGACTATCACTTTCTTCACCTATTCACTCCCCTGTAGAGTTGTAAAAGGATTTGACGTAAAATAAGGACCTTGCGTAAAATAATTAATAATGGAAGGGCTGAGGCATAAATTACAACACAATGGTATAGATTGTGAGTTCACTCACATTATTTTAATAAGAAATCTAATTAGACATATCATGGCATTAACATTACTATAATACTCTGTCAAGCTAAATATAGTAGCTGTTTTAACACTAAGGATAGTTTCAAGTATTGCACCATGTCCATAAAAGTTCCATTCCCAAAGACAAAATTAAGGACGGTTGAGAGGAAGATTGAAGCTGATATAGAATATTTACATAGAGAAGAAATACGACAGAACCGGCGAGTCTTGGGGAAATTGTTTCGATACACTTGGATTTAGCTTGAAACAAGAATGTTACACATCGAAGGAGCAGGGCCTGAGTAGACAAGTTTTAAGGTTTTCTACAGCAACCATTCTTGGTAGGTTTTGTCAAAAGAAATGGAGCTTTACAATTTTTTATTATTAATCACTTTCACACAATTTCCATGAACAAATTTGTGCTTGTTTACTAGGTACAGATAACAATTGGAAAGAAATACTTTTATAACCATGGTTAACTGTGGTTATGAACACTAGATATGAATTAATTACGAATAGAATCTATTTTGATAACTGCTTCATTTTACATTTTCCCTCTCTCCCTTCTTGTTTAAAAGAGGAGGCTTAGGGTCACATGAGTTGAGACATAATCAAATTAGGTCATATATGATGACATATCGGGAAAGATATGTTTTATACTGGTATTAATTTGATGACTGCAGTTCCCAATTTTAAACCTTACATTTTTTTATTGAGACAGCTAAAAACTACTGGATTCCAAAAAAATAAATAAATAAAATTGTCTTTAATTTATCAAGAGTTAAGATTGCCACAACCTTTATTTTCTTTCACAATAACATCAAAGATAAGACTTTGGCATGTCAAAAACCAATGATTTTGGTATTAGGCCCTAATGTAGATTTTGAGCATAAAAATTTTAATTGTAACGTAACTCCCATAACCGAAACCCCTGACAACAATATAGTAGATAACTAATAATGATTAGTGGCAGATTATGATGAGACAAAATCATCATCGAGGTCACCAGCCTTGCACTTAATGGTTGTTTTGTAACCTTGTCTACATTTACTATCAGACTTCAAAGAGCAAGCATTTAAAGAATGAAACATATAATCTCCAAAATAATCCTTTACACCACTAATTGATTATCCAGAAACTTGGTCATCCTGATTTGTCTTGCGTACTTTATTCTTGTTTAGCTGGCATGTTTGGCAATACAATATTGTATATTTTTGAAACTTCTTGGCAATGGAAAGTTTTCCTAAATGGCAAGTTTTGATGTTTATTTAATTAAATAGGGTCTACTTGATGACAGTAATGTTTTGAGCAAGAGAACTATTTTTGAAGCAATACTAGAAAAACACAGAAAGGGAGAGAGAGGTCTTACCACCTAGATAGTAAAAATAAGTATTAAATAATTCAACAACAACAATTAGAACAGTTTATTTGAACAATAGATACCAGGAAAAGCCATATTATGGAGCAAAAACAAGTTTTGAACATTTGAATAAAGCGACTCTTGTACATAATCCTTCAACAAACTCTGTATACTGCAACTGAAAGACAAAATAACATTACAAAACAGAAGGAGTCGATAATAGTGCTGTGCACTGTACAATTACCGACATATGTGCACTATACATTCATTCTGTTTACAATAAATTCAACATTTCAATTTATACAACACCGTCCTCTTTGTTTCCGACTAGAACTTAAATCACATCGACGCTTATAAACTCTAACAAATAAATCAACACTCGCAACACACTCTTTCACTCTTAGACGTCGTAGATCCCGTGATATGTGTAGCATCGAGCAAGCATGGTCACTCCATCGAAGCGTTGTGAACACAATATATCGACTAAATCTAACATTGACATAAACGTCCACTGATACTAAGGTTTCCAGTGTATTCTCTTACCACAAGCTATGTCACATAACAGAGGCAGAGTT